ATTACATTATCAAACTTAAGCTTAAGGATGGATTAGAACATAATTATTAGAATCTTAATTTTTATCTTAAAATTTAGATTTAAATCTAAAAGTTAATTAATACATTAAAAATCATACAAATTTTATTGAGTTGTAATTAAAAACACTATCTAATTTAAATAGTTTACTTAAGGCTGCTAATTGTACATTTATGAAAGTAATTATTCATCATTAATTAAATAATTTTAGGAAGATTTAAATATGATGCTTGATGGGATGTGTGTAGTGTATTCATACTATCTTAATAAAATATCAATCTTAATGATAATTATCATCTCTTTGTTATTCCTTTCAGTTTTATTTAATTGTCTCACTTCTTTAAAGGTTTCATAAATGGAAACTTACGAAGAATATGCATCTACAAAAGTGATCAATTTTGCTGGATCTAGTAGATTGAGAGCATCAATTGAAATTAATTAAATAAATTAAAATGAAAGTCCAATGCATATTACTAGGACATAATTAGAATTCAAATGAAACAATTTAAAACTTAAAATTAATCTGTATTTTTTCCTATATTTTATTCAAGTTACAAGATTTATCTTTAAATTTCTTAATTTTCTTCTTACATTTTCTTACTATCATTCAATAATTTTACAAACTAATAATTATATATAATAATCAATACATGTTATGTTGTTCTTTATTATAATTATTCTTTTAAATTTTAATTCTTTTCAAGAAATTCATTTATTCTTTAATTAAAAATATCATGATTTAATGATTAATCATAACTTATATGATTGATCATTTATATACTTACATGTTAAAGATTATCATTTGATATAATCTATTGTATTTTAGTCTAAGCTTTAATGAATTTTTCAATAGATTTTTCATACTCCTTAATTTATTATTAATATTCTAATTTCTTAATATGATATGGTAAATCTTTTTAAGTAGGTTAACAATATTTCTCCTTCATTTATCTCTCCTTTTTAAGAAAAGCATTCATCATTCCTTGCATTTTATCACAGTAAAAAATTAGTTCCTTATATTAAGAATAATGTTCTTTAAATTTGACAATTTCTTCATTAAAACATTATTCATATAAAGCAAGATAAATTTCATTTTGATTACAATCAGGAACTTTCAATTCTGAAATTACTAATGGATAATCAGGTAATTTTTCCCATTATTCCTTTGGTTCATAGATGTGTTAATTTAATTCTGGTAGTAATTTTTATTAATCATTTCCTTAATGTACTTCCTAAATTTACATTAAAATTACCATATTTGAATTTTCATTTGTCAATTCTATTGAAATAGATTGTATATTTTAAACTACATTTGTTGAATCTGGCAATTCTATTTTAGGTTATTTCTATTGCTTATCTTGTTATTATTATTTGATTCGATTAACATTATTTGGATCGAAGTGAAATCTCATTATTTTTATTTGAAATTTATTAATTTTATAATTATAATATAAATAATTTCATAATTTTGTAGTATTAATTATATATATAAAATATCATTTCATAATTATAGTAATAATTAATATTATTATTATTTCATTGCATAATAGAATGTCTCATCTATAAAAGTTATAGTTATAAATTTAATTAATTAATTTTGTTTTGTTTATTTTATGAATTACAAATTTGTATTAATAATTTAATTGCTTCAATTAAGAGATCAATTTATGAATATTCAAATTAATATAAAATATCTATTGCAGCTTCAATTTACTAACATGCCTATTCATAATGTTATTGATTGTAAAGTAATTAGCCTTATAACAATAGAATATTTGCATATTTAACAGATTGATATTGATTGCATTTTTCATAGATTGATATTGCCTTATTGTAATTGATTGATGCATTGTTATAGTCTTTTTTAAAAAAGTACATTTAACCAATATCTGAATAGATATCAGCTATGCATTAATGATTCTAAAATAAACGAATTGCACATTTTAATGCACTTTCATATAAATTCAAAGTATCATTGAAATAACCACATTCCCTTAAATAATGTCCAAAAATAGAGTATATAATAAAATAATAAGGATGAGATGGTCCAAAATAGGAATCTAGAATTTAAAGAATTTATTCAAAATATTATAGTGCAGTATCTAGATTATTCATATTTACTTGAATGATTTACAAAAGAGGTTTAATTTAACTTGGATGACCAGGTTTTGTAAAACAAAGAGCTTTATTAGCATTTTCACAACTTTCTTCACATAATAAATTAGCAAATTCATCATCTCCTTCCTTTCTTAATAGACATAATTCTAAAGACCATTTAATAGATTGAAATAATTATTCTTGATTCATAATATTCTTTCTTTTAGATTTTCTAGCTATTTTTGATGTATTCAATAAATAAGACTTTTATTAAAGATTAAATTAAGGTTTTTCCTTTAAAGGAAATGATTCCTTAAACATTCCATTGATTAAGGATGGTGATATAGTGAAAGATATATCTAATTGTTATTATAGACAATAGAGTAACATACATTTATATTAGATAGAAAATCTAATTATAACATCAAGATTATATTAATAATCATACCATATTTATTTTTATATGATTTAAATCCAAAATATATCTGATTCTTTTCCAACACCTAAAAGTAGATTCAAAAAGTCAAGACAACTTTCATTTATTAATTTAGATGATAATTCTAATACAATTTTAATATCTTAAACATCTTTTGTATTTAATTCTTAAATCATTGAAAATTCTAAAATGTTAGATTAATCACTTTATAATTTTTAAGATAATTAATATTTTAAATTCTTCATTAAATCAGCTACATTATTTCTTAACACTTTCTTACATACTCTACTAATCATATCACAAATACATAGATCTTTTATATGTTATAATTAACACATCTAACAAATTTTACCAATATATTTAATATTAATACCTGATTAATGTAATTGTTCACTCAATTAATTAGAATCAATAGGTATTAATTCAAGAGATTCAAATTTCTTAATAAGTTCATTTAATTATTAATTTTATAGAAAATTAGATGCTTACATTAATTCATTATAATCTACTTCAGTTTCAGATAATTTAATCTATTTCAAATATGCATCTGAATTTAATGGTTTATTCCAACTTCTAACAAATTCTGGTCTTAATCTAGAAGTATTTTATACATTTTCTTAAAGTATAACAGGCATCAAATCTCCACATTTTAATAGATAATATAAGGATAAATTCTAAGGTGGAAATTCATTAATATTTTATTCATTTTCAATCCATCTTAATTCAATATATTCTTTATTTATTTTATGAACTTCTTAAAATAGACTCATTGGTATTATATTACTAATCATTTCATCTTCAAAGAATTTATGTTATTTTAGATTTAATCTAATACTAATTTAATTCATATATTATTGAATTGCATTATTTGTTACAAATTAACCATCAAATTTTGGACCATGAATTAAAGTAGAATCATCTATTGGAGGTATTGCCATAACAAATGCTCTGATTCCTTTATAATCTATTATACATGATAATGGAACTCTTAAAGGATAATTAGATTCCTCTTAAATTAAAAGTTCAATCTATTCAGCTAATAAAGATAGATAACGAAATTCTATCTTAAATATTATCAATATTTACCATTTCCTAAAGCCTTAAGTTAAGACTCTTCATATATTTATATTTCTTATTTACCTTTTTAAGTATATATTTCTTAAGATTTTAATTAACAAAATGATAATTTTATGAATAATCCATCTTAACAATAGAAATCATCTCCAAAATCAATAGTATTATCTTATTAACTATACATTATATATTTATCCTCATTTAAACAATCTGTAGGTTTTATTGTCTTCATTTAATTTGGCAAACATAATTCATCAATAATAATTTAACAAATATCCATAGCATGATCTCTCATTCTTCCTATGGATTCATGCAATGCAAAACTATTTGTGATACATTCTTCAATACTTTTTGGATCCTTCACATTTGCTAATTCTATAGCTTATAAATAATTATAATTCCATGCTGTTTTTATTCTATTCTTCACAATATTTTTTTTAGATTCTTCCTTATTCTATATTTATTATTCTTATTTTTTTTATTCCTCCACTTTCTTTTATTATTATTATTTATTTTCTTCTTCTAATTGTTATTCCTTCTCTATTCTACTCTCCATTTCTGACTAATTAATTTCCTTTTCTTTTTGTGATTATATTTATATTTCTTCTTATTTTTATTATTATTCAGATTCTTATTTATCAATTTAAGATTAAATCTATTATTAGACTTCTTTTTATTAATTCTCCTTTTCATTAGTATCTTATATAATGCTTTTCTACTTTTCAATTTCAGATTATATTTAAGTTGGTTATTATGGTTATTGTTATTATGGTTATTATTATTAAACTTATTATTATTAAACTTATTATTCTTATTATTGATATTTTTCAGGATGCTTAATTTTATCAATTATTTGAGTAAATTCTTTTACAATTTCTGGTTTAGGAAATGCAATCTCCCATATAATTATTTCTTTCTTCTTTGTAATTACTATTGGTTATTAAGCAGCCATCAAGTCTCTTCCATAACTACTATTAACACTCATATTTGTGCTTCTATTTTTCATTTTTGAAGGAAAGATTGCATCTTTTGCCATAAATGTAATTTCAATTGAATTTTACTTTTTAGCTTTTTCTGGAGGACCAATAGATAATATATTCTCTATTATAACTGATATCTTGGGTTACATTTTATATAATTCATTCATCTCTATTTTATCATAAATTTTAACATACATTTTGGTACTTTGAAATAACTAAGCATACCATTTTATAATTAAATGACTCTTTTATTCCAAAACATCTTTGAAGTTGATCTCTTTTCAATTTAGAAAACATTTGATTAATCCTATATGATATGTTTATTCTTAGGGTCAATTTACTAAGAAGAAATCGAATTATTCATAATAATGATATCAATAAATTAATATATAGATAATGTAATAACGATTCTAGAAATTAGAATAGATTATCATTAAATTTAGTGACAAACACTAACTAGTAATCAATTAATATATATTTAATAGTTAAGAAGAGGAATATATGTTGGATTTATTATTAATGCAGGTTTATTTTACTCATAAGTAAAAATTGCTTCTTTTACAATTAGATGACTAAATTTGCAGCCTTAAAAAGAATGTAAGAATATATGGTAGAAAAAACATAATAATTTGAAAATAGATTGATTTCTGAGCAAGAATAAATTATCAAATCTCTCAAAGAATGAGTGTGAATAAGAGAAAACTATTTAAATAAATATATAATTAATCATATATTAAATAAAGCAAACTCTTATATTATTGAACTTTTATCACATCTAATAACTTCATTAATTTTATGAAATTTCATATTCTTAAAGCTATCTAAATTGATATATTTAGGATATTTAGTTTACATAATGAAATGAATATGTTCTCTTTAGAAATAATTTATTTTAATTGAAAGGTATTCATTTTAAAGAATTTATAAATTCTTTTAACTTATTTTTTATTACTCTATAGTAATAATATTATCATGTAAAAATTAAGTGTATAATTTTATATTTTATTAACATATTATTAGAAATATTTTGATTCTAATTTTTTATTTAAATATTCAATTTTGTAGATTATCACTATAAAACTATAAAGCTAAGTTTAACCAATTATTAATTTAAAAAGTGGGTATCCAAAAAATAATTAAATCATAGGTTAATAATAATATTGTTCAAACTACATTAATCTAAATAATTAGAATCTATAAAAATAATGGATTCATCAAAAAATGTGAATTTGATGAGGATTATTAACTCAAGTTGATTAATTATTTAAAGCTGATTACTAAGTAAATTATTTTGTTATTTAAATACAATATAATTTGAGTGAAGTGATTTTATTTAAAAAAAATACATTTAACCTCTATGAGTTTTTATCATTTACTATTTTAATTTCAACTTTTCTCTGTAGATATAAATTTAAAGGTATTTTACTTGATACAGAAAGCATTAGGAGATAGGTTCACTAAGTTAAGTGAAATAATCATTATTATTTAATTTTTTAATTCTATTAAATTATTATTTCATAGAATTAAATCTTATATTAAAACCATTCGTAGAAAATTAAATATAATAGATAAAATAATCAATGGATTAAGCTATTCTTTTGAAATTAATAGAAAAATGTTAGGAAATTTTAGATTATTACTCTAAGCATTATTAATAAACTAAAATTTCTACTGTTTTGCTTGTTGGCTTAACAGGATCTGGAAAAAGTACTATTTTTAACTTCTTAAGTGGTGCAAATTTTTAATTTAATGCAAAATCATATCTAGAAATAATAAATAAATCAGATAATTATTCTAAAATTAATGAAGGAATGATATCTATTACAAAAGCACCAAATTATTTTTTTAATAAATAAAACAATCATTTAATTATTGATTTTCCAGGATTCTAAGATACAAATGGAGATTTTGATCAATTATTATTTGATCTTTTATTTAACAAGATTGTTACTACAGGATCAATTAAACTTATTTACATTTAAAAAAATCCTGAGGCACACCTTCTAAACAGAGGGACGGATCTGTAATAATTCTTGAAGTAGCTTAAAAATCCAAAAATTAGTTTACTATTAAATAGTTATCTGGACGATTTGCCAGATGAAGAATTGATTTAATCAATAAAACAAAATTTAACTGAAGTAAATTTACAAAATTCGATTGATAAAATTCTAGTTTTAAGAAAAGCTAAAAAGTCATCATTAAATCAAATTTTTAATGATAATAGTCGAAAACATCTATGGAGTTAGATTGAATAAGTAAAAGAAAATAAAATAGAACCATAATAACTAAATCAAAGTGAGAAGATTAGTTTTTAGATTTAAAATTTATTATTAACAATTATGAATGAATATTTAGTCCTCTTAAATGAAAATTTTGACTAGAAATATAAGAATTTATTTGAAAAAGATGCTGAAGATATTTTAAAAAATATGTAAGAATTATTAGATTTTGTAAAAAATGGAAATAAAAAAACACCTTACAAATGGTATTTAAATTTCATTGCAATTTGTGAAAAAATGGCAAATAATCTTTCTATTAAAAATCAAATAATAGATGGTAGTAAAAATTTCATAAAAATATTTCAATATTTTGAATAGTTTTCTCATCTTATTTCTGGCTATAATTAGTTGGATTATGTAAACTCGATTGCAAAATATAAGTTAAAAATGTTTGAAGAATTATTTAATTCAAGAAAAGAAGCTTTGAAGAAATCATAAATTGATTACAATATTATGAAACTATATTAGCAATAATTAGATAATAATGAAACAATTGAAAAATTGTAGAAAGAAAAGTTTGAACTCCATAAAGAGATAGAAAAAATGAAAATAGAAAAATACGAATAATAAATTAAGATAAATCAGCTCAAAGAAGAGTTAAAATACAAATAATCTCTAAAATGAATAATTCTATTAAGAATATATCAATATATTTATTAATTTTTAGTAAATATATTTATTTGATTGTATAAATTATAATAATAATAACTATTACAATTATTATTGTTTCTATATCATAATAGAGTTTTTAATTATATTTTTCATGGAAAAGTAACTATCCACCTAAAATAGACAGTCATTTTCAAAAAAACTAGCTTTCACCTTAAACTAAGCTTTTAAAATATATATTGGAGGACAGAAAATAGTTATTAATTGGATCTAGATAATATAGATGTAACAAAGGTTAGGATCTAATAATCTTATATCTTAGATGAGATACTGAGAAAATTAGTAAAGGGTATCATCAATTAGTACCTATTTTAATTTTCTTTTCTTATCATTGCTGAAAACTGGTTTTGCTAGAGATTCAATAGGTGATTTTGTTTTAAAATGAAGAATAAATTGTTTAGACTATTTAGTTTTTCTTAAGAATTTGATTTACTCTTTTGAGCAAACTTAAAATTTAATCTATTATGGGGATTGTTTGTAAATTTTGTTATTGATACAATTTTTTTGATTTCATAAAGATTTGTAGAATCTTTATAATTTAAATCTGTTGCTAAGTTGTTTCTTTTGATAATCTCTTCAAGATCATCTTAATAAGAATTAATTTAAATCTTTTTATGTTTTAATTAAGAAATTTTATTATGGTATTTCAAATTATTCTATCTCATATATTTAATAATGGTCATTAAATCAAAATAAAAATGAAAGCTATTATTGATATATTATATATAAATTAAACATTAAATTGGTTTTTTTTCATTTTTTTTGACTAATTAAAGTGAGAATTTCAATTTAGTATTTTATTGGATTTTATACTTAAACTCTCTATTTACTTAATTTTCCTATTTAATCAATATCATTTTTTTAACATTTGATCACATTTTATAGTTTTTTTCTTTAGTAAATATATTTAATAAAATTATTTTAATCAAATAGACTAATTTAAATTACTTTTATTGTATCAATGGAATCCACTCTCAATATTCTAGACATAACAATGATACTANAAAAGAAGCTTTGAAGAAATCATAAATTGATTACAATATTATGAAACTATATTAGCAATAATTAGATAATAATGAAACAATTGAAAAATTGTAGAAAGAAAAGTTTGAACTCCATAAAGAGATAGAAAAAATGAAAATAGAAAAATACGAATAATAAATTAAGATAAATCAGCTCAAAGAAGAGTTAAAATACAAATAATCTCTAAAATGAATAATTCTATTAAGAATATATCAATATATTTATTAATTTTTAGTAAATATATTTATTTGATTGTATAAATTATAATAATAATAACTATTACAATTATTATTGTTTCTATATCATAATAGAGTTTTTAATTATATTTTTCATGGAAAAGTAACTATCCACCTAAAATAGACAGTCATTTTCAAAAAAACTAGCTTTCACCTTAAACTAAGCTTTTAAAATATATATTGGAGGACAGAAAATAGTTATTAATTGGATCTAGATAATATAGATGTAACAAAGGTTAGGATCTAATAATCTTATATCTTAGATGAGATACTGAGAAAATTAGTAAAGGGTATCATCAATTAGTACCTATTTTAATTTTCTTTTCTTATCATTGCTGAAAACTGGTTTTGCTAGAGATTCAATAGGTGATTTTGTTTTAAAATGAAGAATAAATTGTTTAGACTATTTAGTTTTTCTTAAGAATTTGATTTACTCTTTTGAGCAAACTTAAAATTTAATCTATTATGGGGATTGTTTGTAAATTTTGTTATTGATACAATTTTTTTGATTTCATAAAGATTTGTAGAATCTTTATAATTTAAATCTGTTGCTAAGTTGTTTCTTTTGATAATCTCTTCAAGATCATCTTAATAAGAATTAATTTAAATCTTTTTATGTTTTAATTAAGAAATTTTATTATGGTATTTCAAATTATTCTATCTCATATATTTAATAATGGTCATTAAATCAAAATAAAAATGAAAGCTATTATTGATATATTATATATAAATTAAACATTAAATTGGTTTTTTTTCATTTTTTTTGACTAATTAAAGTGAGAATTTCAATTTAGTATTTTATTGGATTTTATACTTAAACTCTCTATTTACTTAATTTTCCTATTTAATCAATATCATTTTTTTAACATTTGATCACATTTTATAGTTTTTTTCTTTAGTAAATATATTTAATAAAATTATTTTAATCAAATAGACTAATTTAAATTACTTTTATTGTATCAATGGAATCCACTCTCAATATTCTAGACATAACAATGATACTATTATAGTAATTGAAAATTGAATGATTTATAAAGGTCTTCAAATAATTATTGATTTGAAGACCTTTATAAATCATTCAATTTTAGTAAAGGTTTAAAGAAAAAGTATTTCTAAGTGTATTTGATATGAACATATAAGTAATACTGTTTTTATATATTTTTATTTATATATTTTAATATTTCAATATTTTTATCTACGAACACCTGCTAAGCATGCTCTATAAATATTTCTAGGGTTTTCTGGGAACATATCTGCATGTATTCTTAAATCTTCAATGTTGTCTTAAAATAATTGTATTTTTTAGATACCCAATTCTCCTTTTTTAGTCCACATAGCTTCTGCTGTATATCTTTTGCACATGTCTTCTGCTTCCTATCTCAAAACTGGATCATTCACTCTACCAGTAGCATAATCACATCCTTTCCAACAAATTTGGATTGATGGGTTATACCATGAGAAGACATCTTAACACATAGCATAACATGTGCCACCATTATATCTCAAAATTTGACCACCTTTTTATAGCATAAATTCAAACCTGTTGCCATTAAATTGAAAATATAAAATTAATAATAATAAAAGAGATGTTGTTTAGATTTAGATTAATTTATAGAAATAAATCATATAATATATTAATTATCACACTCCTTAAGGGAATTTCATCATTTCTAATTCCTTTATAATTTCCTTAAAAGAAGGTCTCTTCTCTGGATCTCTATCCCAACATCTTTTAGTTAATCGTGTAAAGACTTCTGGAGTCTTTTTTGGAATTGTAGGTCTAAAATCGTTATTCAATACATCTAAAGAAACTTATAATCCAGTAATATCTAATTAATTAAATTATTTAAATACTTCTATAAGGAGGTTCTCTAGCTGCAATTTCCCATAAAATGATTCCGAAACTGAAGACATCAGCTTTTTCAGTATAAACTTATCCTGCAATTACTTCTGGTGCCATCCATTGATATGTTCCAATCTTGCTAGTCATATAATTAGATAATGTTCTTGTCCAACCAAAATCTGCTAATTTTGTTCTGAATGCTTCATCCAACAAGAGATTTAAGCTTTTCAAATCTCTATGGAGAATAGGAGGATTAAATGAATGTAAATATAACACTCCTTTTGCAGCATCTAATGCCATTTTTCTACGATCTTCCCAAGTCAAATGAATATCATGATTTTATATTACTTACCACAAAGATCCTCTTTAACAATATTCTAATACAATAGCTAGATTTGGTGGTTTAGTACAAGCACCAAGAAACATAACAATATTTGGATGTCTCAAAGCTTCCATAGCATGACATTCAGATAGAAAATCTCTTATATGATTTTCATTCATTCCATCTATCTTAAACATTTTAACAGCTACTATAGTTTCTCTCCATTTTGCTCTATAAATAACTCCATAACCTCCTTCACTAATTTATTTCTCTAACATTATATCATTAAAATCTATATCCAAACTAGATTAAAATATTCTATGTTTGATTGGTCTCTCTGGTGAGATTTCTAATGCAGATATGTCAAATTTAGATTATTATTTCTTTATTTATCTTTGAATATATGATTCTGTAGTTTATACTTTCTAATCTTTAACTTTCTTTTTAGATATTAATTCATTTTTCATTCTATCATACTTTTATTGTAATTAAATATTTTATTATTTAAGAATTTCTTATTCATTTCTATATTTTTCAACTTCTTCATTTAATTTATCTTATTCCTTATTATTATTGTCATTTTCATCTAAAATAATCTCAAGATAAGAGGGTGATAATAAAATTGAATGAAAATTACCACACACAATTCTTTAAGTTTCAGGTACTGTAAATAATAATTTAGGTGAAATTATTCCTTTCCCATTTACACTTGGTTATCCTGTTAATTATCCATAAATATTGGAACCCCATCCATATACATATTTATAATCTGCAGACAAAGCTAGACTGTGATTTCTTCCTGTAGATATTTATGATATCAAAGGTAAACCTGAAATCTTAATAGGAACATCTGAACCACTCAAATCATTGCCTAATTATCCTTGAATATTATCTCCCATAGAATAAACTTCTCCTTTACTTGTTAAAAATAATGTAAACATTTCACCCATTTTCATATCTAATACACATTATTAATTATTGAATTCATCTACCATTTTAATTTGAGTAGGTTGTTTATAAAAATCTTTATTTGATTTACAATAACCCCATAAATAAGGTTTACCACCTTCAATTATACAACCTGAATGTGCTAATCCACAACTAATTTTTTCTACTTTAAAATGAGATAAATTTTAAATTAATTTAAATTCACTTATTGTCTAATTCTCTTGATGTCCTAATGCATATGATTCACCAAAACCACAAGAAAAGATTCTATTTTTATTAGTCAATATTAAAGTATGTAATGCACCACATGCTATCTATTGAACTGCTTCATCATTTTATAAAAGAATCTAACATTAATTATCATTAGGATTCTTTTATTTAATCTTTTCTTTCATCATTACCAATTATTCCATTACATTGTCTATTGATGAAGATCTCTCTTTTAATCCTGGAGATGTAGATTAATCCCCTTCATTAGCACTTTTCATTCTTTTATGACCCTATTATTATTCTCTTGCCTTTCCATTACTATTACCAAATGGTAATAATCCATATACAAGAGTGGGTTAATTAATATTATCAAAACAACCCAAACCTAATTGTCCTTTTAAATTTAAACCCCAAGAATACACTTCACCTTTTGCAGTCAACATAAATGTGTGTTCAGCTCCACAAACAATATTAGTTATTCTTTAATCTTTAAAGATTGGTGTCAATTTAGGTTAAGTATTTGATTCATATCCTAATTGTCCAAATTAGTTATCACCAAATCCTATAACTTCATTTTTATTATTCACTATGATGGTGTGATTTTCACCTGCTGAACATAATGTTACTCCTTAATAATGTGGAGTAATGTTTTTGTTATTCTTTAACAATTATCCACAAGTGTTTAAACCTAAATTCGATAACAATCTTACCCCATGAATACAATTAAGTTGTATCTAATTATAATTATCTTGGGGATTTTGAGAAATCACTGTATGATCTTGGTGGTCGAACATCTTTATCCTTAAATTGTTTAAACATCTTCCTCGATTCAGTCAATTCATTCAATCTCATATTAGTTACTTTATTTTTAAAATTCAAATTTAATAATATTGTTAGATTATATAAATTATTTAATTGATCTATAACTATTCTTCATAACATATATGATTCATAATAAAAATCTATTCAATTATTATTATCTCTAAGACTTCTTTTTATTATTATATTCAATAATTACATTGTCTAATATATACATCTTGTTAATTTAATTAATTTTATTAACATGTAAAGAAGCTAATCATTTTCAGAAATCAAGGCATTAAATAATTGCATTCCCATTGAATTTTTTGAACAAAAAGGTCCTCATTACTATGAAAATCAATTTTAATAATTTTAAACTATATTCCAATAGAGTTTTGCTTTACATACAAGATTATGCTAAACTCCATTATAAAAATATTAAAATTATGATTTGGGGAATACTGTGATCAAATAGGGAATGGTCTAATTAAAGATTAATAGTGGGAGTTTCACTAAAACCAATATACTATTGACAAGAGAGAAATTAGTGATTCTTGAGGATAAGCAATGGAGTTAAGTTTACAATCTTAGATACTTGGCCTTTAATTTGATATAGGTATGATATCCTATTGTATCACAACAAGTGTACAAAGAATCAATACAAATTGTTTAAGTTGGAATTTAAGCTATATAAGAAAATTATAATATTTAAATGTAATGATGATATAGAGGGAAAGCTATGGTTTTAGAGTATTAGAATGATTGAGGAGAAGTTTTTCAATGAGATAGAGAAATTGTAGGTGAAGGAATTGTATTTTGGGTTGGATTTTGTTAGAGAAGAGGAATTCTTAAATTGGGCAGAAACAGGAGATATTTTATTATTCGAGTAAATATTATATAATAAAATGAAAGAACAGATCATTATATGGCTAAATTATAAAGAGGGATTACAGGATCTAAGTTTGATCATGTAGGAATGATTGTAAGAGAGAAATATTAAAATGATATATTGGTTTTTGATGTAAAAAATTAATCAGTAAATTGAATATTTAATAAATAGGGTGTTGATTTAGAGTTTTGGAAATATTTTTTGAAATAGAATAATCTATATAGAAAAGTTGCTGTTAGAAAATTACTAAATGTTGATAGGGAAAAAGTAAATTCGAAATTTCTGGAATTTATTGATGTATAATTAAAAATTACAAGAAAGTTAAAGATTAAGATTATGAAATTAACATTATGAAGTTACTACAATAGTAAAGTGATGGACTTATCAATAAAGGATATTTTTGTAGTGAGTTAATTGCAAAAGCATATAAATATTGTGATTTGTTACCTCAATAAAAAGCAAGTTCATCATATTGGCCAGTCACCTTCTAAAAATCATTGAAACTGTTAGATAAAGCCCAGTTGAGTGAGCCAATAATTATTTTGTTGGATTATGATATACATTATTAATTATGAATTAAAGTAATTAAAATATAGTGAATAGACATGGATTTCAGTGTAAAACAGGAATAAATTATTATCAAATTGGAGTTGCAATTCTATACATAGGACATTACATAATAATCTTATTTCAAACCTTAGATTATGTAAAAATATAAATTCAAAGTTTTATAAGAATCAACTTTGGATTTTGGTTACGATTTTCTCATTTATTATCTCGTTATTTTGGTTTATTACAACAAAAATAGATCCTACAGATAGAGAAATATACATTTAGTAGAAACTAAAAGAAAAGAAGTAATTAAAGATAATTAATTTGATAGAGTAAAATATGAAACTAAATTGAATTGTTTTTGTAAAGTATGTTAAGCATATGTAAAAGCACCATCTAAACATTGTAAATAATGCAATAGGTGTACGGAACTTTTTGATCATCATTGTGTATGGTTAAATAATTGCATTGGGTTAAGAAATTATAAATATTTTTTTATATTAATAGTACTTTTAGAAATTTATTTAATTACTGTACTGATTATTTCAATATTTATTAATAAGATACTAAGCTATATATACATGGGACTCACTATTATTTTAATAATTCCTGTCACATTTTTACTAGTCATGCATATCTACTTTAAATACAAAAATATGACAACTTATGATTATGTATTAAGTAAAAGGAAAAAAGAATAGAAATCTTCTTAAGAAAAGTTATAAGAAGGTACATCAAATCAAACTAATCTACAAACTAACATTATTTCTAGAAATTATTTATAATAAACTAATATAAATGTTTAGATTGCTCCTCCAAAACCTAATTTAATTAAAAAAGTAATTGATTGGGATTAAGAAGAAGCAGATGTAGAAGAAGGAGATAGTTATCATGCAAAAGAACCATTACCATTACCTAGTTCCAAAAGTAGTGCAAGATAAATGGATTCTTAATTCAATTCTGGTCATAGAAGAACTTGTCCTAATACTTAAAGGTAATTTAATTTATTAATTTATTTATAGAGGTAATGTATCAACAATTCAATTAACTGAACATAAACCAATTAGATCTTTGTTTAATGTTAAAGATTTTTAATAAATGATTGAAAATTAATTAATGAATAATGTAAATGAAGGTTCTATCATTTAATTTGATTCAAAACATTCATAAAAGACTGATTAGATTGAAATCAATATATGAAAAATTTTTGAGATTAAATATTATACATCCTAAAAGTATACTTTAGAATTATACAAATATTATTATTGGTTTCTAATATTATTTATTAATTATGTAATAAAATGAAAATGATCCTTAACAAAATGAAGATATTGAATAAAATCAAAGCTTTAATCAAAAACAAACATAAGAACAATAATAAGATGAAAATAATATAGAGGTTAAAACAAACTAAGAACAATAAAATGAAACTGACAAATAAAATGAATAATTTAATATTACTTCTTAATTTCCAAATCATGAATAGTAAGAAGTGAATAAAGAGAAAACAATATAAGACACTGATTAATAGAATGATGTCAAAGATAACTTAAATGAAAAAGAACAAATAGTAAAATAAGAACAAGCAGAAAATGAGTAGGAAAATATAAATAAAATTGATTTAAGTTAATAAAACTCAAAAAATGATCAAAATTAGGATACTTAATTTTCTAATAATACTAAACTCTAATAGGATAATAATAATCAACAAAATAACCAAGTGATTTAATAAGAATAGTAATAGAGTAAAGAATAAAAACAATAAGAAAATAAAGTAGAGTAAAATGATTAAGAAAATTAGAATTAAAGAAAAAATTAAAAAAAGAAGACCACAAAAAGAAGAACTACAAAAGTAGAAATCTAAGAGAATTAAGAATAAAATAATTTATCTTAATCAAATATAAATTAGGAGAAGGTATAAAGTAATTAAGAAGATAAGGAAAAAGAAGAAAAAGAATAAAATTAATAATAAATTGAAGAATAAAAGTAATAAGAAGAATTATTGAGAAAATAGGAATAAGAATAATAAGAATAATAAGAATAATAAGAGAAAATATAAAGATAATAATAATTAGTTGAAAAATTCTTAAAAAGCTTAATTTTTCCTCTAAAAAGATCTTAAAATAAAAGTGGTAAACAATTAGATTTTAGTTTTTAAATTGAAAGTGAGAAATTTAAATTAGAATAAAAAGTTTGTAAAAGTGCCAAAAGATATTAAAGAGAAAAAAAACCAAGAACAAAAAGTGTTATTAATAAGGAATTATTTGATTTTTACAATAAAATTAATCCATAATAACATAGAGATCAAAATTAAATGACACCTAATACATTAAAAAGAATCAAAAAATAATAAGAATTAGAGTAGATGAAAATAGATTGCTAAAGACTTGAAGATTAATAAAATTAATAATAAGAAATTGCATTTTCATAACCATAAAAAGAAAAAAAATCTAAAACTTAAAATAAATAAAGAGCTTAAACTTAAAACAAGAACAAATTAGAAGTCATAATAAGAAAACGTAAAAAATTGAAAATTAGAAATGGTCTTAGAGAGAGAATGTTAATTGACAAAGATAAGGATTCTTAATTGAAAGCTTTAGATTTTATTAAAAAAATGTAATAGAATAGAATGGCAGCAGAATAAAAAAGATAAGAATAATTGGAAAAGATAACTAATAAAATGTCAAGTGAAATTGAAAGTTTAAGATAAGGTAGTCAAATATATAGATAAGAATAATAAAAATAAAAAAGAAAATAAGCATTAGAATAAATTACAAAATAAGAATAAAAAAGATATGAAATGATGTTAGAACAATAAAAAAATGAAAAATTTGTTAGAGAATTAAAAGAAAAGGCTGCAGTTAGTAGTCATTATAGTGTTAAAAAGTTGGCATTAGGATCACAACCTTCTCTAGTAACAGAATTAGAAAATGGATAAATATACATTGAATAAAATATTGAAACAAATAGAAAAATGAATGAAAATTAATTTTTATTAAAAGAAGAATAGAAAAAATTAATAAAAGAGAATAAAATTAAATAATAAGATTATAGTAAATAAGTAAGTTTATTACATCTCCCAAAAGTAAATAATAAGAAAAATAATGAATAACACAATGAATATCTTACAACTGAAAATAAGGAATCTTTGCCAGAAATTAAACCAAAGCGTAAAAAAGCTTGGTAAATAGAATAAGAATTAATGTAAAAAAGACATCAAAATAGCGAATAATAGAAGGAATGATTAAAAATATATGAAAATTGATACAAAAATAAGTATTTTTATATCAATTATGTTCAGTTCATAAATAGTATTCGTTTTAATTACTTTTTTATATTATTATTTTTCATTTTCATTTAATCCAATTAAATCATTTCCATCTTATTTTTAAGGAAAATCAGTCCTTAAATATTATTGATTTATTAAATTTAACGAGTCTTTTGATTTTAATATATATATATATATTCAATTTTTTTTTAAATTAAATATATTTAAGGTTTGAATAAAAGAATAGAGATGAAAATTCTTATTAATGATAAAATATTAATGTACTATTTATTAAGCATTTGATTTAAATCACTTTTTTTATGTATTTTTAACTTTTGGTTAAGCTTATGTTCCTGCTCTGAAACCATTCTTTGCTCTTCTAGCAATAGATTTCAAATATCTCATTCTTCCTGTTCCTGTTGATCTTCTTCTGGCGACCTTCTCACCCCATCCACTGTCTATTATTCAATTAATGAATTTACAAAGTCTTAATCTTGCAGCTGGATATCCGCATGATGCACATCTATTTTTTTAAATATGGAATGTCTATCTGCCACATCTTTTACAAAATGTATGAGTTTTTTAATGTCTCTTACCGATTGCTGGAGTACCTCTTGCCATTGAAATTTTAATAAAAGATTTAATTAAATATAAAAGTCATTTCTAAATGTGATAATCCATTATTATTTTTTTAATTTCTTTTTTATGGACATTCCCCTTAATACCATTATTTTAATGAATCCCAATGGAACTATTTAGATTGGTACTTAACCCTGGTTTAAAGGCAAAAAAATTATGAAATGCTACTCATGTCAGTAATAAAAAAATTTTATTATGTTTAGAAGTAATATTGTTTTTGAAGGCAAATACAATTAAATTAAATGCACTAAATGTAATACAATCAATTAAGTACCCTTAATTTAATGATTCTATTAATTTATGTTATCAAATAAAACTTTAGAATTTATATTTCTTGATTTCTCATTGTTATCATTTCATTAAATCAAATATTTTAATATATATTTATATTGAATATATTGACTTATATTTCTAGAATTGTCTAATGTAATTTTATATGCAGAATTGCTCCAATTATAATACTATCTTCAAGAAATGGAATTTATTATTTATACTAATAAATTACTTATATTTCCCATTGGTTTTGAATAATCTGCTTAAATATTTTTATTTATAAAAAATCATTATAAATGCTAAATAAACTACCATATTTTTATATATATCTTGATAGTTTTTATAAGTCTAAAAGTAAGTTCACATTACAAAATAACGAAATATGTCATATATTTAATATTCTGATAATTAGTTAATATTATTATTATCAAAAATGAACTGCTTCATATTAAATAGTTTATTTGAAGTGTTTTTATATACCTTTAAACCTCATGATCAAAATATATGTTATTTATTATACTTTTAATTACAATTTTTAGCACTTTATGAGGCAAAAATATAGATTAAATATTAAAATTAATGAAATTAAAAAATAAAGATAATAGTTAAAAGGATTAAGTGATTTTTGTAATAGTAAAAGTGAAGTATTTGACAATATTAGTTAAAGTTTTTATGTGTTTTTTTTAAATTAAATAAGGAAGTAGTAAAATCATGATGCTAAAATTTCAAGAACAGTAAATATATATCTCTTTTTTTAAATAGATTAATTATGTAAATCCATAGATATAAATAAATAAATTTATAGAGAGAATGTGAATATTGACTTGAAACTTCAGAATAATTATGAATAATAACCAAAATAATAGGTAAATTATAAGTAAAATCCAAGGCGATATTGATGAATAAGGAAAAATAATGTAAAGTTTATATAAAATATATGTTTTAATGAATTTTGAACTAATGAATTTAATGAACAAACTATAATAATAAAATCAAACTTTATATTTTAGAACGTTTTCCTATTGGTTATAAAATACCCTCCAATAAAATGTTCTATTTCAAAATTTGATTGAAACTGTATAAAGTGAAGAATTAGAACCATCATCATTAGATTTAATTGTAATGCTATATCAAATGATTAAGAAACATTCCTAAAATAATATTCATTTATACATATTTGGAGATTAATTATATATTTAGTGTAAAAAGACAATTTGCATCGTTAAAAATGAAAGATTAGAAAGGAATAACCTAAATCTAATTGTATATTTTGATTTTATAGAATTAAAAAATAAATATAATAAGTTAATCTTTATTTATGATTGTTTAGTTTAGATTAATAAAAAAGGAATAACTATTTTTTAAATAATTATATTATAATAGAATGTTTTTTAAGCGTTGTTATTTTGTATTTTTGAATTATATCAATATTGTCATTCCTATTTTACTTTTTTACAGATTTCTTCTTGTTCATGGTATGCTTTAAACGAAACAGCCAATTCATAACAACGTTATTTCATTGACGAAATCCAAGGTACTCTTTTGTATGTGGATATTTTCTATATTTTGAATATAAATATATATATATACATCGATTTATCCAGAAGCAATAAATTTTAAGACTTATTTAGCCATATTTTAAATTTTTTCATTATTTTCTTGATCCCATATTTCATCAAAATGTTCTATAAGATTAAATAATAAATTTTACCAAGATAAGAGAGATATCCCTCATAAAATTTTTCAGATGAAAAAATTTTCTTTAAATATGATGTATTCATTGTTTTATTTGAAGACTCAGATCTAAAGGGAATTAATTCTTCAATATTGTCATTAGAAGAAAAATATTCTTTATAGAATACTTTTTCAATTTCATAAGCACTCATTGTCAATTCATTTAAGTTCATCTTTTATTTCAAATATTTAAAGCATTTTCTAAGAATAAATTTGATTTATTCTTCTTTTGTTTTTTTCTGATTTTGATATCGATTGATCAGTGATTCTATCAATCCATCATCTATTCTAGTTAAGATCTAAAATAATTTTATCAAAATTTTTATATACTTTATATTTAATTTTCTCATCATGCTCCAATTCCTTAATTTCTTCTTTACAGAGATATTCTAATAATTATTTAAGTTCCTATAAGATTTCATCTTGTGTATATTGTTTCAGAATTTCATTTTCTTTCTTTTGTTTTGGTAAAACTCTTTCTGATTAACTTTTCTTCGTACGAATATCAGGTTATTATACTATCGGTATTGTTCTTTGAGATGATTAAGAAAGAAGAGATATTTGTTGAAGAGGATTGAGTGATGGTATTTGTAGATTTGGTTGATTGGTAATATTGCTTTAGAGTGCACAAAGTAAATGTAAATACTAAAGGTTAACAACATAAGAATTTACTTGTAGCTGTTGAAGTTATTACAATTATTGTAATTAGGGACAATATTAAAGTTATGGTAAAGTGGGAATCTATTAAAATGGATTCATGATAAAAATTAATATTTGATCAATGTTTTTGGATTCAACTTAAAATACACAGATATTTTTAAATTAAATAAAACTGAATCTAAAATGAATCATTATATTAATATTCTTGATAATAATTTTTATATATATTTCATCATAAATGAAACTCTTTCAAATATTATAATTTTTTCAATTCTTATTTAATCTTATCTTAATATTCATTATTGTGAAATTTTGTATCTATTGCATCAAATATAAATTAATTTAAAAATTTAATCTTTCCTAACTCTTCTTCTAAACCAATAATCTTCTACATAGGAGTTTAACTAAAAATTTATAATATAATTAAAATACGAAATATCAATTTATAAGGTTCTTAAATTTTATAATTTACTCAAATTACTGCAATTCAATTCTTCTACTTATGTATTCGAAATAAGTATTTATAAAAATCGCATAAGTTTTAAATCTCCTATTTATTCCATTAATTTATTGACTGAATTGATATTTGTATCATTCAAATCCAAAATTAAACTTTTCATTTATTATTATTAAGGTATAGCATCAAGTACACTTTAATCAAAATTTTTATTAGCAGATATTCTTAAATGTTCAATCTTTTATATAGTATCCAAAATTCTATGTAATGAAAGACTACTAATATTAGTATCTTTAAAATTAAGTGATAATGATTTTAAGGCTGTCAAATATCCAATTTTTTAGAATAAATTATCTGCTTATGTCACTCTAGTTTTACTAAATTGTATATTAAGATATTCAAGATTTTATAATTATTTTAATAGATCTCCTAATTAATCTATATTATTTAAATTTGTATTATTAAAAGTTAAAGTTAAATGACATAAATTAATACAAAAACTTATTCCTTACATTAAATCAAAAATGTTTTCTAATTATAAATCATCTAATTTGATAGTCAATTAAAGTAATTTATTTAATTTTCTAATGCAAGATCCAAGTGGTGCCAAATCAGTAATTTAAGTTCCTGAAAAATTCAAATGTAATTCTTCTAAATTCATAAGTTTGGAAACATTAAGTGTAAATTGCTCTATATTATTTAATTATGTATATCTAAATATTATATATATTAATATATTACCCTGTAAATATAGTTAAGGATTTTAGTTAAGTAAATAAATGAACATCGAATAATTTAATGGATGTTATATGAGTATTATTGAAATTCATATATATTGATTCTAATTGAATATTTTAATTTAAAACTTGTATTACATTTGAAACATCAGTAATTTAAGTATTAGATAAATCTAAATGAAATCTATTTAATGTTGTAATATGTGATGGTATAATATTTGCATCATTTATTTTTGTATTTCTAAAATATAATTATATTAATACTATGCTTATATTTTGAGTACTTCAAAGATTTCACTTCCTTATATTGCATCTTTAAGTGGTGTGATATCACCTATGTTGGGATCAATAAAATTTAATTGAAGTTTTTATAATGAGAAGTATCTTGATAATATTAACATTTGTTCATAAACTTCATCTTAATTATGGATAGTCCATTCTATATCTTTTTTTTCAGAATCTTCTTTGAATTATTCAATCTTTTCTCTAATTTCACGTGTTGATTTATTTCCCATCTAAAAAATTAATTTAAATAATATATATATATATATATGAAATGACATGCAATGTATCAATAATTTATTGTTATTTAATTGATCCAATTATTGATATTAGACAAATTACAAACTGATTTTCTTTCATTCTTTTTTTAAATTAATTAAAAAGATGTCCAAGAAAACAACGTTTCATTAAATCATAAGTGTAATTGGAGATTTGCATCATCATACACTTTTGTCCCCACTTAATTAAGGATCTGCCAAAAGATTAAAAAGGGTTACATTTGAGACAGAAGCACTTTATCTCGAATTCAGATCAACTGACAGTCCAATTAAGGTGAATTCAACTCTTTAAAAACATCTTTCATAAAGATCAATCTCAGTTATTACCCAACCTTGAAATAACAAATGATTATTATATTCATAAAATATTTCATCTCATTTATTCATTCCCTTTCCAAATCAAAATTTACATATCAATTAAAATTATAAGTGATGACTCATTATCTAGAAAATCTAGAATAAAGATATACAATATAATTAATCCATAAATATTATATACCTTCAAAATACATATGATATAACCATATTAATGAGTTTTATAATAAGTACTTATGAATTGTTAAGCTGATTCAATAGAATATATATATATATTTTGTCTTTTTATTTTAAATATTATGTTATGAATAAAATATAATATTTATTAGGAATTACAATAAGCATCATAAGCTTTTCAGTTTTAGTTAGATTGAAAATGATGTTTTTAATAAAATTTTAATATATATATGTATATTTCAATATTCATAATTCAAATTTTGAATTCTGCCTATGCAAGTATATAAGATATAAAGATTGTAGCATTGGATTGTTCAACAATAAAAGGGACAGCCTTAAATAGTTTTGCATATAAAACAGATGGATCTTTACAATTTGAGTTTGTAATACTTACTTCTGGAAATGTGGATTTAATATTTCCAACATTTTGGAATGGTTCACCTTCAATTTAACCTTTAATCATTGGAACCACTACTTGTAGAGAAGTAAATATCATTAAGATTATAAAGACTATATAAAGTATAAGGTGTACATAAGATAATAATAAATTTACATGCGGTACTTTAAGAGCAGGTAATTAAATAATAAGATGTAATAATGTGAGGGGACCACACACAAATAAATAAATAGGAAATTTCAATATATAATTTGCTTAATAGTCTTGTGATAATATTCTAATCAACAATTTCTAACCTTATGGCGGTTCAGTTGTATTTTCATCTAATTCAACAACAGATTTATTGCCTAATACTGATAAATTGTAAATGATATGGGAAAACATTGTATTACCTATATCTTTTAGTTCAAATCCATAAATTGAAGTTTAGATTATAAATAATGGTGAATTTGTTACAACTTCAACAGTTAAAGGTTATGTGTCTGCTAGATCTATTGGTTTATTAGAATAACTTACAGTCATTAATCCAAGTTTGATTAAAGCTTAAATGCCATAATCAATTGCTGTTAAAGATGTTTCAATGAAATTATATATGGAATCATTAAAAGTTATGGGCAACACTTAATCCATTTAATCATAAATAGATTTTAAGGATTCTAATGATGTATTACAATATTAGATTCTATTTCCAACTATTACAATTTAGAATGATTAATTAACAGCTAGTTTGAATATTGATTCAACAGAAATAAATAGTTATTCAAAATATACTTTTAGTATAACAATTAAGAATGTATTGAATTCAGCAGGATTTGTAAGAATAGCATTAACATAAACATTATTATCATCTAATCTAAAATGTTATTGTGATAATTTAGTATCTATTCCAATTATTAATCCAGATTATATTGATATTGGTGGATGTTTGACTACAACTGGTACACATAATATAATTATTCAAAATGTATTAAATCCAAAATCTACTATTTCAACTATTTCTATACCTTATATTTAAACTATGTAGAATGGTTTTTCAGTTGATAGAATGATAAACTTTCAATATAAATCACCTTCATTTACACCTGGAACTTTAAGTGTTCAATATGATAGACAAGGAAATAATATGAATGTAGTTGGAGGTCATTCTTATTTCATTTTAAAAATTATACCTAAAAATAGTATACCAGCTTAAGGATTATTAAAGATGGAAATACCTTAAGAGATTAAATTTATTCATTAAAATGCATAATTTTGTAATGTGGATATTTATGGTTGTTAAATTCATACAATTTAAGATTAAGTCATAATATTTAAGTTTTCATCATCAATAGAAGCTTTATAATAATTTATTATTAATTAAATATCTATCCCAATTAGAAATCCATATGCTACTAGTTAAACTAATTATTTTAAATTTACTACTTATGATTAATTCAATAATATAATAGACACAATCTCTAATATCTAAGGATATTATGTTAATACTAGATCATCATTTGATGGATTAATTATTATAGAATCTGATTAACCATTCAAAAATGGATAATCCAATACATTTTATTTCACAATTAAAACAAAGACTCCTCAATTCTATCCTATCCAAATGACTATCAAAGTTGGTGATTTAACAATTAATAATAATCCAATATGTAAATTAGAAGGAATTGTAATTAAAACTTGTACTAAAATATCTTCAAATCAATTAGATATATAAATTGAAAGTACTGACTTAATCTTATAACCAACTATTTTGAAGTTATCTGTTTCATCTATCAAATGTAAAGATACTATGACTAAGAGTTAAGATTTTGAATTTTCAACTTAATCTACTAATGGATTAATGAGTTATCAACAAGGACCATATATAAACAACATCTTATTTGGTGACATTACATAAACTGAATTAAAAGTTGATAAATAATATTATGGAGCCTAAAATGCTGCCTATTAATTTAATTTTGTTTTACAAAATGGATTAATTCAAGACAATCATTAGATTCATATATTATTTCCATTTAATCTTCCATAATCAGGTTATTCATGCAAGGATACAAACAATAATAAATTAATGTGTAATATCTAATCAAATAACATTATTGTTTTGACTGGACCATTTGATTAAACTTAGTTATAATACAAAATAATAATTAATGGGCTTCCTACTCCTTAAAATGAATAATAACCAAGAACATTTACTATTAAAACTTACAGAAGGATTGAGCATATTAATTATTTAGTTGATAGTTCAATTAATGGAGCATTTTAATTTAATATATATTGTCCATAATTAAATAATTGTAAAACATGTAAGATTATTGATTATGATAATATATAATGTGAGACTTGTTATATTTCAATGATATCAAAATTTATTTATATGAAATCAAATGTATGTGTTGATTAATGTGGAGATGGATATTATTAAAATGATTAAGAATTTTCATGTTAATAATGTCCTAATAATTGTTAAAGTTGTTAACCCATAAATAATATACTAATATGTGATAAATGTTTTGATAATTATAAATATTAAGATGGTATTTGTGTTGATACTTGTGGTGAAACATATTATTTACCATTTACATCTAATAATAAATGTGAAAAATGTGATAATGAATGTTTATTATGTTCAATGAATTCATCTTATTGTTCAAAATGTTAAGCAAATATTCCAATAAAAGATAATAAATGTTATAAAAATGGATGTTTATAAGGATATTATTAGATATACAATTCAAATTAAATTTTAGTATGTGAATTATGTCCATCTACATGTATAAGTTGTAATTATTATAATTAATGTACTTAATGTTAACCTGGATAATATTAATTATAAGGTACATGTAGATCAGATTGTCCTCTTGGATATTTTATAAATGAATAACAAATGTAATGTTAATAATGTGTTTCAGGATGTAATTAATGTTCAAATGATACTACATGTGTTAAATGTTTAGATGGATATCTATTAAAATAATAATAATGTGTATTAACATGTGGAGAATAGTATTATATTGATATTGCTTAAACTTCTTGTTTAAAATGTAATTAATATTGTAAAACATGTGAATTATAAAATGGAATATAATTATGTACATCTTGTATTGATTAATATTTCTTTCATAATTTTACTTGTGTTTAATAATGTGAATCTAATTATTATGATCTAAATAATGAATGTTTTTAATGTTCATCAAATTGTTTAACTTGTGCTGGTAATCCAAATACTTGTACATCATGTTTAATTTAAGGAGACATACCATAATTTCTAGATGGAACTATTTGTGTCTCAAAATGTTAAGATACTTATTTTGCTGATATTACAAGTGGAAAATGTATATAATGTCCAAATACTTGTACTAAATGTACATCATTAACAAATTGCACTTAATGTAATTAAACATTTATACCACATTACTTGATATAAGGTGCTTGCAAATAAGAATGTCCAAATAATTATTAACCTATTGGATTACTTTGTGAATTGATACCAGAAAAACTTATAATCAACCATGAATCTAATAGATATTTACCAATTCCACATGTGATATTATTTGCATTTTTTACTATCTCTGTGTTATTGTCTAAACAATTTAAAAATGAGACTTATATGCCAGGTTCAATTATAGGATTAAGTACTCCCTTAATATGGTCATCTTGGTTAACTGTATTATTTTTATTATTTAATTATTATGAATTCAAATAGTTATATTACTTTTGGATAATAATAAGTAGTTTGGCATTAAATTATTTATTCAACATTTTACATTTAATTTTGATTTATTAGAAGATTTGGAATGATCATGATTTCCTAAGATGGTAATCTTCATCATTGAAAAATAAAGTTACTAATTTTATTTTACTTTCTTTATCTATACTTATTTCATATCCACTATACAAATTAATAATGAGTCGTTATTTTGGTTTTTCGTTTTTCAAAGCTAAAATAGTAAATATTAAACCCTTTTTTTACTTTAATTGTCTTAATGTACTTTACATAACATTTGTTAATATACCAATTATTATTAGTTGTATATTTATTGCTTATTATGAATCTTCACATAATATTACATAAACATTTATAAGTGCCATAGATTCTATTGTTGTTACTTTTACTAATATTTTATTATTAATTTGGGAAACTTAGAAAACTGAATAATTTTTTGATGAATTCAACTAAAATTATTATTTTAATGAATCATAATAACATTTACAAAAACATGAAATTTCTGGTTATTTTCAACATCCTTTTGAATAGAAATCCTAAGCAGAATAAAAGATTGATATGTCAGATCTAGATGCATAGGTAGTCAATTAAGAAAATGATATAACCAAATAAAAATCATAAGAATAATCTTGTAATATAAATGGTATTAGTATAATACTAAGTGATAAAAATTCAAATCCTGTATTTCAATAAGAAAGTGATAGATCCAATTAATTTCCTTAAAAGTAAATAGTTCCCTCCAATCTAAAACATACTATATACTATAAAAATGTATAGAATAATTAATTTGAGAATCCTGATGATGAACCTCCTTATGCATCTCAAAATATCAGTTCAATATAGTCCCAATCAAGTTAACATTATTAAAATTCTTTCAATGATCAAAGTCAATATCCTTTAAGTTTAATTTAAAATTCAGAAGAACCAAATGAAAATAGTTAATTATCCATATTTTATGAAGAGAAGAACAAAGGATCATCAAAGAAATAGAAAACTATTTAATAATAATAGATAGAAACTAATACTCCTGATCATTATAATATGATTACTAAATTTAAAAATGATAATAATGAGAATGATCCTCAATAAATTAATTAATAAGTTGAAAAATCAGTAAGTTCTTGTAAAAAGACCTAAAAATAATTAAAAAATAATTAAAGAGAAACCAATCTATTATCAAATCGTTAATCATCTAGAATAGAAATAACATAAGTTTAATAATTAGCTAAATCTGCTTAATTTTGTAATGAAAGTAAAAAAGAATTATCATCAAATAAGAGTGGATAATCTTTAAGTACCTAGACTAATAAAGTCTAATATAAATAATAAATAGTAAATTAAGAATAACCATTATGTTAATCATAAATATATTAATATTCAAATATGGATAAATAATAATAATAATAATAATAATAATAATAATAATAATAATAATAATAATAATCAAATAGTTCATAAGGAAATAATATAAATTAATAAATAATTGATAATTCTAATCAATTTATATAAAAAACAAATAATTTAAAATAATCTTAGCATTAAAATAATTAAGAAGATGTTACTAATGATTATTAATTATAATTAAAAAAAGTACAAGATTAATAACCATAATTTAATACTGAAGGATCAAATGATTAGAGTAGAATATAAATTTTAATGGATAGTAGAGTTATTGAAGAAGATTAAAATATATTTTAAGATTAGATTCTAATACAATAAAATAAACCTTAAAAAATTAAAGTAAAAATCAGATAATAGAATTTAAAGAATGAGTAAGACAAAATTGAAAGGGAATCTGAAATAAGAGATATATTTGATTCAAATGATTCTATTAATACAATGTCTGATCAAGATTGGGGAGAATATCAAATATCACCTTCAGAATTCAATTCACTTAATTAAAGATTTGAAAATGAATAAGAATTAGATTTATAAATTCATATACCTAGTTATAGTAAAACACAATAGAATTACAAATAAAATAAATTAACTCCTTTAAATTTGGAATTTGTAGATGAGAACAATGATTAATAATTTTAAGTCGATATTACAAGAAACCTTTAAATATAAAGAGAAACAAAAAAACAATAATTGTAGAAAGTATATCTCTAAAAATTTTAGAAAAATGAGAAAGTTGCATATAGATCAAATAAATGTGAATTCAAGAAGAAAAATACTATAAAAAATCATCCAAAAGATATATCAGATGCATATATTGATGATTAGATAGATGTTGAAGATATCAACTTTTGAATTAATTAATTAATTAATTATATATATATTGAATCTATTGTATATCTCTTCTTAACTATATTGCATAATAATTATGAATATTTAAACAGTAAAATAAAATAATTTAAAAAATATTATCGATCAAAATCATGTTAATTAAAATTAATTTAAATGATTAGATAAACTATATTTAAAATAAAATAAGATAATAAATCTTGATTTAGAACTTTTATCTAATAATTTACATTATCAGAAATTATAGAATAATATGACAAAAACATTTATATTTAAATTATTCAATTTCTTAAATAATCACTTAAATTAGATAAAAGAATTGAATTTGTATATAGTAAGGTATATTGTTGGATAATAAATGTTTTTATTTCATATTGGCTGAAATATGGTGTTTTTAAAAAATAAAATTGTAAATTGATTATTTATCTATTAAAATGAAATGTTTAGATAATAATTATGAATGGTTAATATCTTAAATTTATATAATGTATCTAACTAAAATTTTATTTATAATAAAAATGGCTGATTTTTTGGTTATCTATTATTTAGTATAATTATTTTTTTTAATAAAAAAAATAATATGAAAGTTAAATAAATAAAAGAGATATTAGATAAGCTTAAAGAAAAGTATAGAATGGAGATGAACTATATTAAACTTAAGGATAAATTTAGGTGTGAATTTTTTTTAAATTCTCTTAAAATAGCAGAAGGATAGGGGATATCTAAAAAGTATGCTAAAAATGATGCAGCAGCTAAGGCTTATGAAATTTTAATTTATTCTGATTATTCATTCGCAAGAAGAACTGGAATAAAGATTCCAGATGAAGATTATAAATAACAGTTGGAACAGTATGCTTTGAAGAAAAATTTTAAAGTGGATTTTCAAGAAGGAATAAAAAATGAATTTGGATATTCATAATTTTTAATTTAGTATGGAGCAAGAACTTAAGTTGGTTATGGATTAAAAATTAAAAAATGTATTAATTACATGTCTTATTGTATATTAAAGAAACTTGAATTTAGTGAATAAGCGAATTAAATAAAAAATTAATAAGAAAATACCTAAAAAGTTAAATTTATAATTGTAAAATAACAACCTATAAAATAAAGAGAAGATTAATAAATAAAAATAGAAGATAATCAATCTTTATTATAACCTTCTCCTCATATTGCAAATATGATAAAGGAATTGAAGATTTAACATTTTTTAAATAGTTTAATAATTTCAGAAGATGTATACAACTTTTTTAATGATTTCATACTTTAGTTATCTTCTTAGAATGACTTTTTATATAGGACAATAGGATCATTCACTACAAAATCTATACGTACTTTAAAACCAGAACTTGATATCTTGATTAATATTCCTAAAGGTAATTTTCATTAGTTTGAATAATTTTTAGATAAGACTTCAAAATTATTTTAATATAAAGTATTCAGAAATAAAAAACATATATAAATAGAATTGCCATTTTAAACAAAGAGTAAATTCTTGAGATGGACATTATCATCTCTTAAAGTTAATATGTATATTAAAAAGAAGTTGACTTCTGATTCTTTAATTCATGATGAATATATGAAATAATATTAAGTGTAATATCTATTAAATAGATATTCAACTCAATATCTCTCATTAATTCATCAATGGAAAGAAGACTCAAAAATTCCATTAAATTCAACCATCTTAGACTATTTAATTGTTTAAGTCTCAAATTATTTCTAAACAAAAAATCATCCTTTTGTTGTATTAAAATAACTAATATTCCTATTAAAAAATGGAATTCTTGATGATATTCTAGAATTTGAAAAAGGTGAAATTGAACTAAACCCATTTCTTTAAGCAATTCCAGAACATTAAATTATATTTATTAAAAAGATATCTGATTAAAATCGTAAATAAATAAAAGAAATAGCTGAGTAATATGATGATAAGAAAATTTAGAATTGGATATCAAATTATATGGATTGATTAAATAAGTATTGTATATAATTCATTTCTTAGTTGTTTATTTTGATTTTTTTATATTACTTTAATTTCTAAGAGGATATCTTTACTTCTTATCTTAAACTATAAAAAGTTAATTTTGATCTTGAGAATTTTAGTAATTTGTTAAAATATTTAAATGTTCTTTATAGCTTTTTGAACTTTATAATGAACAACCTTTATCAATTTTATTTTTTTATATACTTTAACAATTATTCTAGATAACTACTTTAGAAATACTTCTGTTATTATTATTGTATTTCTTATCAATTATATTAATATTAATTTCTTTTGGTTCAGCTTATAAATTGAAATACTTAGAATCCTCTATAGAATCTAAATCTATATTACTTTATTATCTCAAAATTGATTATATTAATTACTAATTTTAATCTATATTATTAATTTGTTTCATTTTAATTTTATATTCTTACTAAGTTCCATACATAAATTATTATTGATAATCATCCAAAGATATTAAATCAGACTCTTAGAAATTTCTATTGATTTTTGGTGATAAATATGATAATTGATATTAGAATAATCCTAAATTCTTGTTCTTAGACTTAGTTTAAACTGATGCATTTGTAGTTGATTTACTAAATAAATGCATTGTTTATGGAGGCTCAGATTTATTATTCTATGAAAAACTAGTTTAAATTTCAATATCCTTTTATTCTTTAGGAACATTTAAAACAATTGATCTTTCAGTCATAATTTCACTAAAAGATTTTGGAATCTATCTTTAAGATTGTTTTGTACTGAATTCATTTAATTCAATTATAGGTTTTGTATTAATTAAATTACAATTTTTATTTGAATCTAAGTTGAATTATTCACTTTTTTATTAAATTTATTAATCAATAGACATTTAATTTTACTTTATTTATGTATTTATATTAGTCTATTGTTTTTATTATTCTACTTATAAATTGGATACTTAATTAATACTTTTATTTTATTTGATTGAAAATTAATTGAAGTTAAATTTTGAATTAAGATTAGTTTAAGAAATTGAAATTGATTTTTGATCGGTTGAATTTAATTTATTTAATTTGAATTACAATACATCAAATTTATTGATATTCTCATTTTCATTTAATTTTGGAGAGCAACAAGTAGTTTGTGTTTAATAATGTTATTAATTATATATATTTGCCCAATTTCCATTGTATTGAGTAGAATTTGAAAATTTTCTTGAATTATTTATTAATCTAGCATCATGAGATAATGGAAGTATAATAGATTACCATATATCAGATGTTTAAAGTGGAATAGTATTTTCATTAATTTAATGAAGTTATAATACTTATAAATCCATTTAATGTTTTGGATTTGATATTAGTAAGTCTTCATTAGTTTATGAAGATTATCTACTTCTTCCAACACTAACATGAAGTTTTCCTGGTTTCTAAACTAACTTCAATTTTGATTGTAGTTTCCCTAATGGAGTTGATCTGATTGTACTCTTTGATCTGACAAATTTCAACTGACTCATCAAAATTTATTTATAAACAAAATATTAAGTTGTATTTTATAATGATAATTATATTATTAATTTAATGGAATAATAACACAAAGGTAGTAAGTTAAGTATTTATTATGAGTAATTACCGAACCTGGAGAAACTAATACAAGTAGTCAACAGTTTTTTAGTACAAATACCCTATTTTTAAACAATGTTGGATTGAGTACAAATATTTCATCGAGTACTTTGAGACATACAGCTCCTTAGATCTCATTTCCTAAGGCAAATAGATTTCATACACAATCTCAATTTTAATTACCAACCAAATTAGAATTACCATCACAATTAGGAAAAAGGTTGTAATCATAAAATTTATCTTTATTTCAGATACACATAATAAGGTTTCGGTAATAAGAAAGTGTTTCAATATGAATGGCAAAAAGTTAATGCCAAAGAATTCCCAAGTCCTGATAGATATAGAGTGAGATAAGATCCTGGAATAGATTAATTAAAAAGATCATTCGGATTGTCTTGGGAAGCTTACTCAAAAACTTATCTTCCATATAATAAACATTAAGCTCCTGAAGTTGCTAAATTTTTGCCAGGTATAATTCTTATTAATTTGAGGTCCTGGAGAATATAATGTACGTTAAGATCTAGGACAACATAGATATTAATTTTAGTTGAAAGGCAAAGGGAAGATGTTTAATGATTAGAGAGAGAATGGTGTTCCAGGGCCTGAAACCTATTAACCTCAAATATCATTGACTGTTCCTAATCGATTTTCAGTAAAGAATTATATACAAATGAAATTTAGAAAATATCATAGGGAATAGGAGTAAAAAAGAATCCATTTTAATCTATGAGTTTTACTCCAGGTCCAGGAAGATATGAATAGAATTCTGCATTTGATAAAGTATCTAAAAAAAGAGAATTTATAACAAAACCAGGAGAAAAAAGACCATTTATATGAATGTATTTTTTAAAATACACTTTATTTGTATTTCATACAATAAATGTAATTTATTGATTTAAAATATTAAATGAAAAGAAAAGTAATCATTTCATTTTGCCTATCTATTCTTTTAATAATTGATTTCTTAATTCATACTCTAATAATTCATCATTCTCAACTGAATTTTTTGATATTGATTTTTTTCTCATAGGTGAAGGTGCAATTGGTTTCAAGATATTTTTAGCAAATTCTATACCTTTTTATCTAACAGTTACTTGTTTCTATTCACTTTTAGGAATTCTTTATTTAAAATTTCTATATTCCCCTTTTACCTTTAAATATTTAAAGATAATACATGTTCTGCAAATTCAAGCATTCTATCCATTTTATCCTTTTATTATTACCATTTTTCAATAGACAAAGTTGGACCTAATCCTTAAGCAGGATTTTTTAAAATAGGTTATAATTTCAATAGTTTATATTAGCTTAAAGTATATGGTTTATAATGAAGCATAGAATTTTTGTCATCCTTAAATGAAATATTTTTAGATTAGTTATTTTAATCTTATTCCTCTTTTTTCCATTATTCAAATATCATCAATTATTCTTCTTAATGTCTTCTAATTAATTCAGATAATTCCCTTTATTAAATAAGATGTAATTCATGTAATTTTCTTTTCTATTCTTCTGATAATTTTTCATTCAATCCATACTAATTCATATTAATATGATTATAAAATAATTAATATATTTATATGTATATTCTTATTTTAAATCACTTTACTCTTTTTTTGTAAAAATCTTAAACTAATAATATTTGATTCTATATATAATTATTCATCAAATTTTTCAATTTTAATTCATTTTTGATACTCATTACAAAAATTGATTAATAATAATATTAGTATAAAACTAATAAGTAAATAAATAAATATGCGAAAGCATACTTCTCCTTATAGAAATTAAAAACCAGGATCTTCTTTAATAAGAGTACTTTATTAACCAGAATAATAATAAACAAGAAATAATTCAAATGAGAAAAAAAGAAATAATTTTTCGCCAATTAGATTTATTTTAAATTCTAGACATAATTCCTTTGAATATAATACTACAAAATAACCATAAATTAAATAATCAATTATTTCCACTTTAAACAGAAAACATTTTCAACTTTAATATATTATTGGGATTGGTGGTTTTGGAAGAGTTTGGAAAGTAATTTACAAATAATAATATTATGCAATGAAAGAAATGAGTAAAGCTTTAGTTATCTATAAACGAAGTGTGGCTTCAGTTATTAATGAATTGCGATTATTATAAAATCTTAATCATTCATTCATTGTTAATGCAGTTGCTGCCTTTTAAGATAAATAGAACATATATTTAATATTGGATTATTTATAAGGAGGAGATTTAAGATATCATTTAGGTAGAAATAGAAGATTTAATGAAGAATAAACAAGTATAATTTGACCAATATTAGAGTTCTTTATTTGTTGTGTCATTGTGGGTTTGGAATATTTACATTAACATCGTATTATTCACAGAGACCTCAAACCTGAAAATTTAGTTTTAGATTCAAAAGGATATGTAAGAATTACAGATTTGGGAGTAGCTAAATAATTAGATACTTTTTAGATAGATACAAGTGGAACTCCAGGTTATATGGCTCCAGAAGTAATGTGTGGATTAGAACATGGTATACCAGCTGATTATTATTCTTTGGGTGTTATAGCTTATGAATTAATGTATGGAAAAAGACCATATTATGGATAAAATAGAAAAGAAATTAGAGATGCTATTCTGTCTAAATAGGTTTAAATAAAATAGAAATTAGAAGGTTGGTCTTTGGATGCTATTGATTTTATCAATAAATTGATTTAAAGAAAGCCATCTCATAGATTAACAGATGTAAAAAATCATCCATGGATTAGAGATTATCCTTGGGATAAACTAAATAATAAAGCTATTCAAGCACCATATGTTCCATTAAATAATGACAATTTCGATGTAACCCAAATTCAATATGAAGATCAAGAAAATCAATTAATAATCAATCAAACAAGTTTCTTGATTTCATAAAACTAAAATGTATTTGATGAATATTATTATGAAAAAGAACAGAAAAGAAGATCATCATTAAATCGATCATTTCTTATAAAATGAATTTATTATTATTTATTTATTACATAATAAATTTTGTATAATTTTATTCATTATTTTTAGATAATTAAATATTAGTTTCTACATTTATAATCTTCTTATAATATAATCTATAAATTTCTTATTGTAATAAAGATTAATTTATTTAATAAGTAGAAACAAAGTAATAAAACATTAAATTATAAAGTTGTATATATATATATATTTTTTGAATAACAAATGTTTTCAAGGTTATGATATTTCTTTTGCAATAGTTCTCCTTCTTGTTGTAGTCTAAATAGATATTTTATGATATTTACTCTAACTTCAGTCTTTTTTTATTACTGCTTTAACATATCAATTTCATTTTCCAATACTACTACTTATTATTCTGTTTCATTAAATTGTTTATTTAAAGAAATAAACTTATTTTTCCACTAATTTTTTTCAACTTCTAATTCTTCTGTATTAGAAGTAACAGATATATTAGTAGACAATTCTTTTATCCTACTTTCTAATTCTCTTTAAATATTTAAAATTAAAATTACTTAATCTCTTCCTCTTTTTCATCTCCCAACTTTTTTTCTTTGTTATATTTCTCTTCCCATTCTTAAATTAATCGATCTCTTTCTCTCAATAATCTATTATTTTCTAGTATCTACTATTCCTTATTCTTTGCACTTTTAGCATCTTCTAATCCTTGATTATAGGATTCAATCAATAATTTTGAATGTTATTAAATAAGGTAATTTAATTCTGTTAATTTACTCATTTGTTCATTTATGATTAGTTACTAAATATAATTATATTTATACATATTGTCTACTAAGATCATCTAATTTATTGCAACAAACATGTTCATCTAAATTTGACTTATCTAAACTCTTTTCTGATTATAATCCTGATTTTTCAGAACCTATTCCAAATATATTGGCCTTTTTATCCTTTGATAAGTAACCTCTTTCAATTTACTATTATGATGCATCTAATGCACCGTTGATATCTTTATTAGCCAGTTCCCATTTCAAATACCCTTTTTATCTATTATACTTATAATTCTAGTTTTAATGATTGAATTTCTAATTACCTCATTAGGACTCTCAAAATTACTCATTAGCAATAAATTTATATTTATAAATGTATAGTATATTTTCAAATAATCATAATCATAAATTCCTATTTGCTAATGTTCCATATTGATATGATGAAATTTTAGAATTTTGATTTTCTTTGACAATCTCATATGATTCAACCTAAAAATAGATAAATATAATTATATACTTTAAAAGATCCATTTTTCTATTTCTTAAAAGTATCTAATTCAGCATTTGATAAAATTAATTATTCTTACTATTTATGATATTCTCTATTTAAATTAATAAATTAGATTTTCCAAGAATCAACTTCTTAAGATAATTATGAAATTTTTTCATTGTAAGTAGTAACATCCATTTAAGTGATTAATTTAATTTTTTAACTGTCACATTCTTCTTATAACTATTTGATATTCATTTTATTTGATTCTATTTCTTATAATTTAATTTTTAAAAGATTACTCAATCTCTCTATTTCATTAGAATAAACAAGATTTTTTTATTCTAATTCTTTTAATTTATTTGCTTCACTCAATTAAAATTATGAAAATTATAATCTAATTTTTTCAATTTCTTCATTTTTACTTCTTAATTGCATAGTCAATCTCTCAATTTCTGTACTAAGTAAAGCAAATTTCTATTAATATTCCTTCAATTATGTTATATCTTATAATTTATATTTTAAATTTTCTAATTCATCATTTTTTTATCTTAATTAAGATGACATTTTATTATATTCATTAGTAAGTCTATCTATTTCTTCAACTTTATGTTAAAGACTTTAATGTAATCTATCAATTTCTTAATTTTATAATCCAATTTTATTTTCATAATCTTCTACTTTATAATGATCATTAAGTGTTATCTATAATTTAGATATACAATTTCTTAATTGATCATTTTCTTATAATTTAATCATTAATGAATTATTAACTCTATCAAATTCTTATGCTAAATTTTAATATTTAATTTCATAATCTGTATATTTTTAATATTCTTATAATTAATTTTAATAAAACATAAGTTATTATTTATACTTATCTAATTCATCTTATTTTATTCTTATTCTTTAATTAAGATTATTAATTTCTTCATTTTATAATTTAGATCTAATTTCATATTCTTGATATTTAGTAGTATCTTATAAAGTCATTTAAAGAGTTTAAATAATAGATTATAATTTAGATATTTCTTCATTTTTATTGACCATTTCATTCATATATTTATCTGAAATATTTTGATTCTCTCTTAATTAATTATCAATATTTTATTTATAATTAATTTCTCTATTTTTTAAATCCTAAATTTCTAATTCAGATTCTCTTAAACGTTTAGATAGAATCTCAATTTCTTTAATATATGTTTATTTAGATTGATCATATTCTTCTGATTTCTATTTAAGTAGAATTGTAATTCTTTCAAGTTCAGTAGTTAATTATCCTTAGACTTATTATTATTACATATATGATTGTTCATATTTTTTGGTTTCAATTAAAGTTTTTTGCATTTATTATAATTATGATTGACTTTAAGAAACAAGTACATTTAATCTTTAAATTTCATTTTACAAATATTGTTCATTATCTTAAGAACTCTTTTTAATTCTCTCATATTCAACTTAATGTTATTGAAATGCCATAAATTATTAATTCATTTGAGTTACTTTGATTTTTAATTATTCTGATTCATTTGTAGTTTCACTAAGAAGAGTATTTACTCTATTTAATTCAATTTAATATTATTATAAATTGGTTTCTAATTATTATATTCTATGGGTGTCTTCAATATAAGTAACTTTCTCTTGACAAGTACTTTTGAGTCTATGGATTTCATTTGTAAGTTCTTGAATTTATTTTTCATATAAGGAACATTTATTTTTATAAAATTCAAGTTCCTCTCTAGATGGCTCCATTACTTTAACTATATCTTAAACCTTAATATTATATTAAGATGAAGAAGGTTTCAACTATTGAGTTTCTAATCTAATAGGTGGTTAAGTATTTTATTATTGAATAGTTCTTGTGACATAAACAATATTGGGAGATGTTAATAGATCTCTTGTATTGGATTTAGATCTTTAAGATTTATGAGGATCTTGATTTTGTTCTAGGAATTATTGGGTTTAATAGTAAGATATCTGTTAATCCATGAATTCGTTAATTATTTATTAATAAAATTATATATTTATATTATTACAACATAATTCATATTAATTATTTTTTGTAGGATGCCAATTCTTCTTTATTCTATATAGTAATAATATAATAAGATTACACCACAAAAATGCATTATCAAATAGAACAATCCTGTGCAGAATAGCATAGCTCCTATAATGAAACCAATAATATCACTTGCAGCATTGGCTAATTAATACACAGCTAAAGATGCTAAACTTAATAGATAATAAATTAGGCAATTACTAGATATTGAACAGTCCTCTACCTAACAAGGTGCTCAAGAATCTAAAATTTTTATCAACAAATTCCAATTTCTATCCACTAGCAAAAAGTAGTATGCCAAAAAATCTATAAATTTATAAATAATAAACTTACATTAAGAAGAAGGGCAAGAAGAATGACATGAAGAAAGAGAAACTAAAACTTTTGAATAAGATGGATAATGATATAATTTGTGTGACTCCTATCAATATTAGCATGATAGATGATATTAGATTTGACCATTTTATCATTTCTATAATTGAAGGCATTCTAAAAATAAGATTTAATTATTGAAATCTAAATATATATATATATATATAATTCATATTTATAATGATAATCATTATTGAGGTTTATTTTCTCCCATGTCTCCTGCACTTCTATTAGCTTTGTTTCTTGATTCGTAATACCCAAATTCGGATGGCAACCTATAACTTCCTGGAGCAGGTGTTCCAGCTGATGCAAACATTCATAATAAGAACAGTACCTTTACCAACAGATCCTGTTCTTCTTGATTCTTTTGGAAAACTTCTAACATTTGAAGAATGAAATTTAGAAATAAAATAATGTCCATCTTTTTGAATTCCTGTTTTATCTACTGGATATGTACCAGGTCCAGGAGCATATAAGTTTGTAGCTATTTTAATAAATTATTGGATATTTTACAAAAATCTTTAACAAATCTTTTAGAATTTTTTGGATTAAACAAAGTAGCACAAGAATTATTGTATTTTGATATGGGATATTTACCAACTGGATTAACAGCTGGTAATGATTCATAAGTTCCTGGTCCTGGTATTTCTTTTCCAGTTAAAACCATAAAATTAGTTTTAGGTCTTTATCTCATTGTATAACGAATGTCACTTAAAGTTGAACCTAAATCATAAGTTCCAGGTGCTATAATAATATTGATTATTTTTACCAGGAGTTTTTGAATTCAAATTTCCTAGAATACCAGTGCTTGCCATTTTTTCTCTACTCATACCAAATTTATTTCCTTTTGCCTTCTTTTGATTAATTTCAACATCACTTGTAATATTATATTATTATGGAGATGGAGTTGTAAAAGCAACTTTAGTAAAGTCAGTTCTTATATATATATTTTAATATCTAATACTTTGTTCCTTTTCCAATACCAGCTGATCTTTTTTCAATTTATGTTGGTAAATCATAGAATGCCTTTCCACAACTAATTTTAAATTCATATTAAATACTTAACAGGATTTGCAAGACTGCCAAATCTATCTGATTTAGAAAATGTCCATAAGTTTTTAGCAGTACTATTATTAAGTGGTGATCCACATATCTGCTAACAAGTTGAAACAGTTATTGACATGATAAATAAATTAATTAATAAAGAAGAATATATTAATAATATAATTATTATTAATATAATTCTAATTAACTAACTTATATAAATAATCTAATTACTAAAATATTAAAATAAATTATATTTGATCATTTTGTTGGTTCTTCAGTTTCAACTTTTAATTATACTTTTTTATTATGATTTAAAGATTCCTTATAAAATACAATAGGATTGTCAATAATTAAAGTATTTTAACTTCCTTTATTCTTTAAATGCCATATTTCAGTGCAAGCTAATTAAAAATGATTTCCCTTTTTTAATTCAATAAGTCTTTTAATATCTGTTTCTTCATAACTCTTTGATTTTAAGTATTTTTCTAAGACATCTGAATTGAAATTCTTAATTGGACATCCATGATATTCATCATTTCCAGGATTTTATTTCTAAATCATATTAATATATATTCTACCATATTATATGTACAACTATAACATTGATAATTCTCTCTCTTTCCTTCTAATCCATAATTATGTCTAATATTGTACAAATATTATTTATCAAATTCCTATTCACTTATTTTTTATTGAAATTGCACTTTATTTATATTATTATAAATACTTACTTTTCATATACTTAACAGCTTCACCAATTTTCATACCTGCTGATTTGAAGAATAATTGGATCTACTATCTTCCACCATGTCTTAAATGATGATTAGATTCTAATCTATCTATCAAATACTCCATACAAAGTGGAAAATGACTAAAAATATTTTTCTTTATTTTACTCCTTAGCTTATTATCTAACTGTCAAAGCATTTAAAGAGTCTTACTCAAAATTCTAATACTTTTAACTTAACATTCCAGAATCTGTTTATTAAATTTTCATAAACATGTTCATTAAATCTTTATCTTTCTTCATTTCTTCATATTAAAATGTATTTTAATGAGATTGCATTCTCTTTCTCATTTTACCTAAAAATAAATCTAATAAACAGTTATTTCTAAGATTAACATATATATAATTACAATTCATCAACATGTATATATGCAAATCCATTCTTTATATATGTATGTAGAGATTAAACAGAATATAAAACATTTTAAAAGGGAGTCTAAATATTAAAGATTCTTACTTTAAAGAATTTTTGATATGTATAAACATTGTTGAAAATTCTGAGTTATGATTTACCAGTTCCCAATATTACATGTTTTCCTAAAATATCAACTTAATTGAATAATCTTAATTATTTTGGTACATCTTCTTCCCATTCTTATTTAGATATATGGGATATTTGATCACCTCCTAATAATAATTTATAGATTTTTATTAATTTATCATTTGTTTCATCATGCCTAAGTTATTCCTCACATCTTATTTAAAATAATTGCTTTTAGTATCTAATAAATTCATTAATTTTTTCATCTGAGTCTGAATAAGCCAATTCTAAAAAAAAGTGCGCGGCATTATCTTCAATCCAAAATTTATCATTCCCACCAAAACAACCATATTCATTATATTATTTAATAGCTTTTGAATATATCTCTATTAATTTTGATTAGTCTTTTAATTATTCAGTTTCTTCAAACTAACTAAACAACCTTTAAGATTAATATTATTATTTTACTAATTCACTCTCTAATAAGCCTTAATACGATCAACACACATTTTTAATAAATCTCTCTTACTGATTTCTTCTGTCTATTAATCCAAATATGGTTCAATATATAACATGGCTTCATATCCAATTATTTACTTTTACATTATAATAATAATAATTAAGCGGAAAAACTTTCATTAAATCTTATTTTATGAATAAATATAAATCACAAATTTCAATGATATCCAATAACTTACAAATCCTAACATTAACCAAAATACAAAACATGCCAATATACTTTCTGCAAAATAAAATAAAAATTAAAAAAATCCATGCATATTCATAAAATAATAATAACAAAAGATAAATCCAAATATATATATGATACATTATCCACCATTAAGAAATGATATCCATTACCAATTATAATTCCCCTAATTTAATTATTTGTAAGTTTGAATAATAGATAAACAACCTACTATAATTAATAATTGAATATATGAAAAGATCAATAAAGCATATTACTCAAATGGTTTATCACTCCATGTGCTCTACATAATGTAATTCAATTCTATTACAATAGATCTTATAATATAAATATTTTTAATTTACATGAAAGGTATAATTCCATATAAACATCCTTTTGCAAAATATAAATAATTTGAAATTAATAATTTCTTTTTTAATCTTTACTCAAATAATTAATCTACTGTTCTCAATCTACCTGATACTCCTCCTATTATTGTTAATGGTAAATAAACAATTATTAAAATGAATCCTACAGAAAAAACTGCTGTAAATGAGAAAGTTGATGTTGTTCCAAATAATAAAGATATTATATCAATCATAAAAAGAATTACAATAGCAGATATTGGAAATAATAAAGTGGCTATGATCAAATTTATTACCCAATTCTTTCCTCCAAAAAATTTATAAAACTTTCCTGTTTAATAACCATTAATTGCTAATTAATTATAAAAATTTAATTACATCCACAAAAACTATATATAATTATTCCAGCTGATTTTATAGATCCTTTATGATATTCAAATAAATCAAATGATCCCAATATTAATAAAATAAAAATTGTTATTAAAAAATGAATACCTGTTCCAAGTAATGCTGAAAATAATATACAATTAGTTGGAGGCATTAATGATTCATTTTTGATTGATTTCCATCCTTAAGTTTCAATTTCATTTTCTTCATCTGGTATATTACTATAATCAGTTAATATTGATCTCCTCAATACTTAGAAGACATTTAATACTAAAATTAAGATTACTATGCTTTTAAATATTAATAAATTCCATTTTATATTATGATCATGAACATTTATCATCTCATTATATTATTTGATTTTAACAGTAAAATAGAAATTAATCTCTATATTATCATCTTATGAATTTATTAATTTAAAATCTCCATCATTCATTGTTATATTAGCATACATTAATCGTTAATCATTTGATACATATAAATTAAATGTAATTTTATTCTTTAAATAATATTTCCCATCATTATAATATCCTACTACATCTTGCATTATAAAATCTGTCAAATAAAATTCAATTATGTATTCTTGATCTATTGCATCAATCCATTTATTTATTTCTTTATTTGTAAAATTTCTTTAACATAATTATTTATCTTCTATTTTCTCTTTTGAATTGAACTTGTAAATTGAAGTCATCTATTTATCACCAGATAATGATTAACCAAATGTTTCTATTATTTCATCTAAATCATTTGGTTTACAATATGGCAACTCATAATATGTATATGTCTCTGAAGGATTATCTTTAGGTCTTATTGTATTAACATATATCTCAATTGAATTACAGAAAGTAATTAGACATAATAAAACAATAATCATTTAACTAATTAATATTTTTTGAGAATTTAGAGTAGTTCAATTTAAAGTATTGGTTTTTTTAGATAATCGCATAACCCAGAACGATCAAATTATATTAAGTTATCTTTTGTATCGTAAGCTGAACAAATTACAATTCCTGTTTTCTTGCATCCCATTGAAATTATCTAATATATAATTATATAAATAAACTTACTTCTTTCGAAGTTTCAAATCCATTTAATCCTGGTAATTCTATATCCATAAAAATGATATCATAAAATTAGCAATTAGTTTAGAATTTTTCTTTTACTTTTTAAATTGCTTAATAACCATCATAAGCCTAATCACATTAAATTGCAAAATGATTTAAAATAGCCTTAAGAGCAATTTAATTAAAAATTTAATCATCAACAATTAATATCTTTTTACAAGTAGTATTACATTCATGTAATTATAAAGTTGATATTTTAAACGAGAATGTTTTATTAATTATTAATTATCCTGGACTTTCTATAGATCTAAATTAAAAATAATTTGATTAAGGTATAATTATACGTTCACTAAATTCCTCAACAATATTTGGGCTTTCAAATGATTTGACACCATCTGATTTTTATACAATTTTTTCTGAATTCTCATAATGATCAGTATTATCCTAATAACAATATTTCTTTATGATAAAGTTATCCTCTTATTACCAAGATTAAGATTTATTTAGATTCATAAAACCACCTGTATTTGATTAATTTCTATTTTAATCTTATTCCTTTTATAAAATTTAATCCTACTCTTTTTATTATATTTAATCTTAAATTAAAAAGCTTATACTACTACTATCAGCAGAATTTGATAATATTTCTATATTTTTATTATTATCTTCAATAAAACCTGAAGCTAATTTTGCTGCTAAATTTAATCCAAAACCTAATTCTGAATGTGTTATAATATCATTACAACTATCATTATCTTAATTTTTCATCATCATAATTTAATTAAATGAAAATTGTTTCTTTCTACTCATTTGTGTTGAATTGTTTTCTACAGCCACTTATACTGTAAATTCATCTTTAGCTATAAATATTAGAGTTATTTCTCCACCTTATATAATATTATTAAATTAATGATTTAAAATATTTAATAAAACTTAAATGATTCTTAATTTATCTGAATTCAAATACTTTTCAGATAAACTAGATTAAATTCTTATTTAAAATTAAATTTTCTTTTAAAATATATATGGAATAAACATTTATTCTATTTCATTTATTAGTTCATTAATTTAAAATCTGCAGAAAAAATAAGTAAATTCATTTAACTGATAAGATATAAAATCCAATATATTATTCATTTAATATTATAAAAAAGAAGTTGAACATTAAAGTAATTCTATTTTTTCTGTTAATTCTTATTCTTCTTTTGTTATATCACTAAATATTCTTAAATATTATTAATTTAAATTAAGAGGTGTTCTTAATTAGAATAATTATTTTTTTAATAAATGATAAAATTATTAATTTTTAAGTTCAACTTTTTAGAATTTCTATTTATAAGTGATATCTCTTAAAATTAATACTAATACAGGTTAATATAATTAATCTCCAAACATCTAAATATTATTTTAGATCAGAGAATCTAATTATTAGTTTGTCATTTAGGTTTAAATTATTGTAAGTTTTAAAGATTTATTTGATTCTAAAGAAAGATTAAAACGAAATTAATTTTAATTATTTTATGAGACTGGAGATTCATCAATACTACTTTTTTCTCCATCATATATACCATAATGAAGAAATTATTATGTCAAATATTTATTTTAATTTAGTAGAACATCAAAAATGTCTAATTAAACTTTATTTTATTATGCCTTTTTTATTATTTCTTCTAATGTTTATTAATTCATTTCAATTTTTCTATTATTTTAGAGTTACTAGAATTATTAACAATCATCCAAATTAATAATATGATTTCTTATATAATCTTTTAGTTTTGACAATATTAATTCTTCATTCTTACACTACATCAATTTTAAGCATTTTTTATTCATAAATTAAAGTTTTTAAAATTTATTAAGAATGATTAATCCATCTGGAAGTAATTGTAAAATTTTTGTTATAGAATTACTAAATTATTATTCACATTTATCAGCATCAATAGACTCTTTTTTTCTAATTATTGATAGTAAATCATTATATGATTAAGGTTTATTAGTATTGTTGCTAGGACTTCTAATTTTTTCTTTGTCTTTAGATTAATCATTAAAAAATATATGACTAGATTCATGTTATTTTATAATTTTTCTTTTTGATAATCTTAATGAATGCATATATCGATCAGTCTATTCTTCATCATTTAATTGCAAAGACAAACGAATTTTTGCTGATATTATAGATTTTTCATCACCTAAAATAGCAATTACAAAGACTAAAATAATAATGATGCTTTCTAAAATTGTATAATCAAATTTAATAAAAATAATTGAGAATAATCTCAATATTATATAACAAGGGTAACAAAACCTTATTATTTTTAATGAAATTTGTTTAGTCACTATTTCTTTAATAATATATTAATTAGTTACTATAAATAGAGTATTTGTATGATTTGAAAAAGGATTAAAAAGTTAATAGAGGAGTAAATTTATTTCTGTATAGGTGATAGTATCAGCAAGAATTAATAATAATAGCAATAAATATTAACCTTTATTGTTAATTTTTCTAAATTATATAAGCAATCCTAGTTTCATAACTAATGATGTTGATGCTAAAGTTATGATTGCAATTTAATGATTCCATTTGAATATAATGGATAATATAATCCACCATACACATTGCAGTCCTTCTAAAATTAAAATTATGTTTGTATTCATTATTAATATTAAATTTTTCCAGCAACAGATTTTATGAATTATCTTTAAGTTTAAAATTACTGAACCTACAAATTAAGGATTCTTAGAAATTGAAAGTATTTTATAATATAATAAAAAGATCAATTAAAATTCTTTTGAAAGACTTTCCTTAACACTTCTTCTAATTCATCCTATTTTACAGGTTTTGGAAGAAATGTGCAGATTCCAACTTTTTGTCCTTCAATTAAATTTTCTTATGTATCATACGCTGAACAAATAACTATAATTGATTATTTTTATGTCAATTCATTAATCTACAAAATATAATACAAATTTACTTAATAACTTGTTTAAAAGCCATTAATTCCAGGCATTTCGATATCCATAAATATTAATTTATAACTAGAACAATGTTATTCTAATTTTATCTTAACTTTTTCAATAGCTTAAAATCCATCAAATGCTTAATCTGCTTCTATTTAGTAATGTTTTAGCATCAATTTAAGTGCTATTTAATTAAATGGAATATCATCAACAATTAAAACATGAACACATTTATCACATAATGAGATGCTTTTATGAATATTATCTTAAGGTAATATATTTTGACATGAAGGAACGAATTTATGTGAGAAATATTCAGGACTAATGGGTAAACAAATTTATGGTTATTTGATATTATCATTAAGTTTTGGTGTATTCATAGAAGATTCTGATTCATAAACAAAATTATCCTAAAATTAATAATCATAATCTAATTTTGAATTGATTGATCTAATTAACATTCTATCATCAAATTTTCTCTCACTTAATGTATTTTAAATACCTGATTAATTGAATCTTCCAGTTATTTATGATATTAAATTAGATTAATATTAATCATTTATACTATTAAAGAAATTCTAAACTTAAAATTATACTTTAGTTCCTTGATTTTTAATTGAAGTGATTAATAATTAATTATTATTAGATTCAGCTAACCCTTCTACTAATCTAGCTGCAATATTTAAACCTAGACCTGCCTTTTAAGAAACTTATTAAGTTTTCAATCTTGCACCATACTCTAAATTTCCATTCAAACTATTTTAAATTAGTGTTAATTTATCATCTTCTATTCCAATACCATTATCCTTAACTTATACTTTTAGATGAAATAGACTCTTTTATTTTATACTAATTTTAACTTTACCTCCTTCTTTTGTATATTTAGCTGCATTATTTAATAAATTAACTAAAATTTAAAGTATTCTTTGTTTATCATTACAAATAATTGAATCCTTTAATGTTTATAATACTTTAATTTCAAATTTAATTTTCTTCTATCTCATTTATATATTATAGAGATTCTCAATTTCTTAAATGATCTAATTAATAGTAAATCTTGATAGATGATAAGAAAAAGAGAAAGATTAAATGGCAGCATAATCAAGTATATCATTAATTTAATGAATTAATAGTGTTATAGAACACATAGCTATATCAACATATTCTTGTACATATTTATCTATAACCTTATTTTTGATTAAATTTAACATATGTTAACATGAATTTAATGGAGTTCTTAATTCATGAGAGAATGATTTAATTAGACTATGGTGAATAATTTATTCATCTTTCATTTATTAATATCTAAGTTTACTAGTGACATTCTTAATCATAATAAGTAAAACAGGCATTTCAGTATCATTATTTACTTATATATTAAGTTTACTTGAAAACTTATTTTATGAAGGTAGAGATATATATTCTTATTATTAACCAGTCATTGAAGTTGGTATGATAATTAATTTAAGTTTCTTTTAATGAATTTTATTCTTCAATTCAGATTCCAATAACCATTCATATATGAATACCTATTATTATAATGTCAATTGATCTGTTTTAGAATCATCTTAACTATATGCATCTCCTTTTTAGTCCAATATTCCATAATATTTTTAAGGATAAAGCATAATATCAAAAATATCTGCTTTTCTATTATCCTTTTCTAATTTTCTAACTATCCTTTAAAGAGTATATTAGTTTATTTATCTATTTAATTTTGTTGTTTATAAAATATTCGATATTTCATTTTCATTATCTGACATTTTTGCATTATTAACACAATACTTAATCTTTTCTAAAACCTATTCACCTCCTTAACATTCTAATAACTTTTCACATTTATTATTCATATAACTAACTTATTATAATTGATTTAAAATTAAAATACCTTATGGAAATATATTTATAAGATTTTAGTAAAACATATGTAATTATAAATCTGATTTTTCAGAAACCTTATTATACTTTTAAGATTTTGACAAATTAGTTAAATTAGAAAATTATCCTATTTTCAAATCACTTTGTTGATCTTTCATTAAAACGCTTTAGCTTTTTAAAGGTGTTTAAATAAGAGAGACTCTGCTAAAGGATTTTAATAATGATTATTATTGATGATTTGGTGATTCTTTATCAACTACTCTTTTTAATTATAATTCTGGTATTTTAGTTTTGACTTTATTAGTATTATTAATAACATTAATCGTTTCAACGTGTTATTCATTAGTTAACAAATACTTAATAAAAACTATAATGATTATTAATAGGCTTTCTATAGAATAATAATTAAATGAAATAAATGTAATGGATAGGAGCCTTAAAATAATATAGAAAGGAAGTCCTAACTTACATATTAAACTCCATTTTTAAATTGCAAAATTCAAATAAGAATTGTATGTAACTATTATTAATAAACTACTTGAGAAGATGCTCAATGGGTAATTGTAATTAAAGAGTAATAAAGATTCAATATAAGTCACATAATAAATAAGAGATACTATATGCACAAATATAAATAATCCATACTTTCTAATTATCAAAATTTATTATATAATCCTCATTGTGACACATCCTATTTGTAAATAAAATGCAATATAATTTATTGGTTAGATAAAGTATAAGGCCAATAACATCCACCATAAATTTTAGAGAATATTGGTTATCAATATAATGTTCATAGCAAATAATTTGAATAATTGCTTCATGCAGTAATGAAAATCTTTTTATTTAATTAAATTACAACATATTTGTTGATCGTAAACATTTATTAGACAAAATATTTAATTAAAGATTGAAAATGATTAAAAAAATAATGTAAGATTGATAATTAAATAGTAAAAATAAACAAATTAAAAACTTTGTTCATATTTTGTATAAATACTTTTTTAAGATTTTATCTAACTCTTTTTTATTTACAGGTTTTGATAAGAATTCAGTTATACCTACTTATTAGGCAAAATTATAATTTTCAAGAGTATCATATGCAGAACACATAACTATTATAGATTAGACACCTGGAATTTATGAGATCTATTTATAAACGTAGTTTTACAATTTAGGTTGTTTTGAAACCATTTAAACCAGGCATTTCAATGTCCATAAATATTAATCTAAAAAATTTACAATGACTTATTAATTTCTATTTTACCATCTCAACTGCTTAGTATCCATCAAAAGCAGATTCAGCCTTTATTTTGAAATGATTTAGCATTTGAATGAAAGCAATTTAATTAAATGGAATATCATCAACTATTAAGATTTATGAACAATTTTCACATTTATTTGTTTTAATTTAAAATGATAAAAGTGAACCTTATTTTTTTGATTATTGAATTAAATATTTTTTGAATCTATAAGTACTAGTTGGAATAACAACTGAGTTGGATAAATCTTCATTAATTTTGGGACTATCTATATGATCTTTTAGTATGGTTGATTCATTTAATGGCATATCAAATTTTTATTATAGTCCTTTCATTAAAGTTTATGATAATTCTGATTTTTAAATAATATGAGACGAAGCTGGAGATTAAATTTCAAATCTTCCAGTTATATTACTTTATTATGGAGATATCAAGAAATCTTAATTTATAGATTCTTAGTTTTAAAATAGAAAAATAACTTAAGTTCCATTATTAAGACTAGAATTGATATCTAAATATGTTTTATTTTAGTTTAATCTTTTGACTATTTTACCAGATATTTTTAGACCAAATCCAAGACCAGTATCATAAGATATTTTACATGAAGGTTTACAAAAGGATTTTCTAATTTATTCAAGTTTATTTGATTATATTCCAATTCCATCATCTCTAACAATAACTTATATCAAATTGCATTTCATTTGTTTAAATGATATATTAATTTCTCCAGCAGGTTTAGTAAATTTACATGAATTATTTAATAGATTAACTAAAACTTACATAATTCTTTGTTTATCATTGATAAATATTTAATTTTATAAAGATTAATCATATTAAATATCTAGTTAGATATTTTTATAATTTACTTATTAATCATACAATTCATGAATCTCTTAAATGAGATCTGTTATACAAAATGAAGTTGTATGTTAAGAAAAAGTTTTTGATTATATGGCAGCAAAATCTAAAATATCATTAATTTAATAATTTAATAATTTAATTGAGCTTTATGCTGTGTTTAAATATTGATGTGTAATTTCATCTTTTGTAATTTCTTTAATTATATTAAGCATATGTTAACAACTATTTAAAGGAGTTCTTAATTCATGTGAAAATGATTTTAAAAGTGAATTATTAATAAGTCTTTCTTTTTTTAATTATTTAACTCTATTTTTATGAGTTGTATTTTTAATTAAAATAAGAAGTATTGGTTAAGGAAAATCATTAGAATTTTATTTTTTTGAATTACTCAATCCATTTTATGATATTGCTTCTTATTAACTTAATGTCATTTATGTTTAAACTAAAATAAATTTGAGTTTTTTGGAATCTTCACATCTTTCTTTATTTATTGAACCTTCAAAGAAATAAGTATGTTCTTATAATGTAGAAGGATCAGAAAAATATATAGATCCAGAACTACTTCTATCTTGTTCAAATGATCCATTCTATCCTTAAAATAATGCTTTTATATATTTATTGGGATTTAATAAAACATCAAAAATGTCTAATTCTTAATAACTTTATTTGTAAATTCTGATTATTTCTTCTAAAACTTTTTAAGTCAATTTATTTTTATTTCTAGTTATAGATTAAATTTCATCAGGTATATCACAATTAGACAAACATTTTTTAATATATTCTACTACTCTATCTTTTCCTTCACATTCTAAAAGTTTCTCACATTTTGAACTAATGAATTAAACTTACTAGTATTTATTTAACATCAAAACTCCTTCTGGTAAAACATTAACAAGATTTTAATAGAAATTTTATAATTAAAAGTCATTCCTATCTACTATTAAATGAGAATATTAGATTTTATATCCTGGTTTAAGTTTAGAATGAAAAGTAGGTATTGGAGCACTTTCTTCTCTGTAAGAATCTTTGATGTTTATTTAAACACTATGTCTAGGATACGAATTTTTATCTGGATTAAGAATAAGTTTATTCGAATTTATACTAAGATTCTTATCTTATTTAAATTAGGATTATTATAAGGAACTAGAACAATTTTATAAGGATTGATCCAATTTTGGATTAGATTGAGTTGAGCTTCCTGAAACATTCTAATTAGAAAAATAAACTAATAAAATTAAGACCATTAGAGAGGATGCCTCACATCGTTAAATATGAAATTCTATGAATATAAGTGAGATCAATCTCATTAATATATAGGTTGGGAATGCAAATTTTGATAGTATATCTAAGGATTAAGTTTTTATTAGTATTTATGCTTCCATATAATTTAAAAGGATTATTAAAGCATTGATATGATTTAAATATAATATTTTACTTTCCAAGTTAATATTGACCTCTGTATAGCATATATTATTAACCAATGTTGCTATGAGAGTATATCTATCATGCTACCAATTCTTTTTTAGATATATCATAGATGCAAATAGTCTTGTTGTTATGCATAACGAACACAACAAATAATATGTATAATTTGTCTACTTTTATATCAATAACATTTCAATTATCCACCAGATTTGTTAAATAATTTGAATAAGGAAAATGTATCTATGATTCATAATATAGACTTATCCTATATTGAATTAATTTATTAAAATATGCGTTAATTCTAAACAAAATATATTATGAAATTCATTATTTAATTAACTAATATATACCTAATTAAATTAGATAAATTTTTATTTAGATCGATTAATTTCTACTAATCATTCTTCTTGGTTCTTTAATAATTAATCAAATTATGCAAAAAATAAATTAAAAATATATCAATCAAATTAGATTATTCAATAATTCCTATATACATATTTAATTTTGGCAGGAATTTGCAAAAATAAACTATTATTAATAAATAATTCATTTTATCTACATATATCTGAATCAAAATAAAATTAATTCTCATATTATTAATTCCATTATTGTTTAGAATCAATTAATACTTACATCTTAATATCTGTATTAGATTAAATGTAAATTCTATATAATAAGTAAAATTATAACCCTTTTTAAATGAATTATCACTCTACATATTTTCTGTATTCCTCAGAGAATCAATTTTTTTTTAATTCTTTTTGATTGTATCTCAATCAACTTTAATTTTATTCTAACTGACTGTAGAAATTATCTGAGATCATCTATATATATACACATATATGTAAGCATTTTATGAGATTATTGGTTTTCTCAATATCTGGAATGAAATTTGAATATTAAAAAATAAAAAATTAAATATAATTAATTCCTTATTTTTAAATTCAGAATGGATTTCTAAAATACCATCATAATCTACTTAATATATTTTTTATATCGAATTTCTAATAAGTGATTAAAATTATCATCTAAATAAGCAGAGAATTTTTATTACAATATTGTGTAATAAAAAGGTAATATCTTATATTTATTAATTGTTTATAAATGATTTAAATATCACATTAAGTTGTATTATTCATTTATGCCTAAGATAGTTAAATTAAAAAAATTAAGTTAATAATTATTGTCTTTAAAATTCTTTTCAATTCTATAAGAGATAGAAATTTTAATAGTTTATTTGATTATTAAAAACTATAAGAAAATTTATGGAAAATAATATAATGCATTGATTATTCTAAATTAAAATTCTTGTAACAAATAATATATAATATATAATAATTTATTCACTCTTTAAACAAATTCTCATATGAATATATAAATTATTTATATCTCTAAGTCTTGATAATTATTCAAAATATTTTAGTTGTCTAATTTAAATTAAAAGAACATTTAGAATAGTAGTTATAATTTAAAGAGACATATCAATTTGATATCATAAAATTATATATTATTCTGATAACTTTGAATTTAATCAAGAGAACATAATATATTATTGTTTTAGATAAACAAGCACAGCACATCATTTTGTAATTTATTTATATTTAATAATTAGATTGGATTTTGTGATTTTTTGAATATTTATAAATTTGCTAACGTAAAGATTTTAGCATCAGTATTTGTTATATCTAGTATATATGAAATAATAAATAATGGGGCATTTCTAATGAATTCAATTAATAAATGAGAACAAGTTTATACATTCAAGTATAAAATAGTATGTTCGATATATTAATATATAAAAATGTGAATGTTCTGAAATGCAATAAAATGATTAATAGCATATTAATAAATTAAAATATTATGATAAATTAGTAGAATGTGAATCTATAAAACAATGTTAAGGTTCAATCCATATTAGGTTTCATACCAGCCTTAGTGTTTTAACACATTCTTGAAAATTAAATAAAGGGGATAAAAACCTAAGTTCCAGAGATTCAGTCATTTAAGAGTGTAATAATGTTTGCTGATATTTGTGGATTTACAAATTTAACTGAATAACTTTCTAAAATAGGACCAGAAGGATCAGAAGTGATAGCATTTGCAATTAATAGATATATGGAATTGTTGATTAAATCAATATCAAAGAGTGGAGGAGACATATTCAAATTTGCAGGAGATGCAATTATAGTTGTATGGCCACCTCCTACAAGTTATAATGATAAAGATGAATAACTCAAAACATTATTACGTTAAGGAATATAAAGTGCATTAGATATTTAATCTAAATTGAATGATACTTTCATTTTAGAGAATATCAAACTATCTGTTAAAATAGGATTTGGAGTAGGAGATATAAACATTTTATATGTAGGAGGAGTGTTCAATAGAAATGAATTTCTAGCTACAGGTTAAGCTTTGATATAGGCTTTCGAGAGTGAGCATTGTGCAACAAAAGGAGGCTAAGTAATAATATCTAAGGATGTATATGAAATGGTGGGATAGTATTATAATTGTTTAAAAGTTGAGGATCGTCAATCTTATTTTGTGAACTCTAATAAAGGAGCAAAAGTATAGAACATTTCAAATGCTCTATTAATAAAGAGTAATATAAGTGCTTAATCATTTGAATCAATAAAGAGTTAATTAATAAGATATATTCCTGCTGCCTTATAATAATATATCTATGTAAGTATTCGTATAAATTTAGGTAGATTAAGAAAAATGGAGTTCTGAATTAAGAATATTAACAATAATGTTTATTAATTTAAGTATTGATTTATCAGCAGCTCTTACTTCTAATGGGTTAAGTCATATTTAATAAGTTATAGAAACTGTATAAAAATCAATATATGCATTCTAAGGATCTCTTAACAAAATATTAATGGATGATAAGGGATCAACATTAATTGTAGTATTTGGTCTACCTCCTATGGCTAAATAAGATGATCCTGCTAGAGCAGTGATGACTGCTATCACAATGAAATCAGAATTAAATGCCATTAATTGTGGATGTAAAATTGGAATTTCAACAGGGTGTACCTTTGCTGGTGTAGTTGGAACTAGTGGTTCTAGAAGAGAGTATGAAAAATATCAATATTATATCTAGATATTCTGTTATTGGTGATGCTGTTAATTTGGCAGCTAGACTCATGTAAATAGCATGTAAAGATGATGAACATTCAATTTTACTTGATGTAGAAACATCAAAGGAAGCTTCATATAAAATGAATATATCATATTATAAATCTGTTATGGTAAAAGGAAAAGCAGATAAAGTTAACATTTATTACCCAGAAAAAAATTTGGAATTAAATAAAATTAGAATTCATAATCCTTTCTTTCCAAAACTTCTCGATAATTATTTATTCGATATTAGCAATCTAAGATTAATTTAAAGTAGAATTCAATTATTTTAATTCTAAAATGAATCTAATGTATTATTGAAAATCTCTGGGAATTAAGGATCAGGGAAATCTTATTCTGTTAAGTAATGCATAGATTTCTTTTAAGAAAGTTTTAATTTTTTATAAATTAGATTATGTTCCTTTTTATAAAAAGAACAATAATATTTATATGCTATTAAAATTATATTCTAATATTTACTAAAATAGATAGGTATCTCATTAAATAAATAATATGATATATAATTATTTAAGTAAATATTTGATGAATAGGATCAACTATTACAACTCTTTGATTTTGAACCTGTTAGTTAAATTTAATTATTTGATAAGGAATTAAGAAATAAGAATGATTCTTTAGAAACATTAGATATTTAAATGATCAAAGAAAATATAGACTTATTATTCAAGAAATTTTAATCAATAACTAATTAACAAAAGTTAATCTTTGTTTTAGATGATGGTCATAATATAGATGAAGATTCTCTTAAAATAATTAGACATTTAATTAAACATAATTAATTCATTTTGCTCATTTTTATATTTAGACATGATTATTTTGAATAATTTTAATTTCATGAATAACATTAAAATCAAATTCAAATGATTGAAGATGGATTAGAATCAATAACATCTAAATTAAAAGACATCAATAATTTTGAACATATTAGTTTTAAAAATATATCATTAAATGATTATTAGGTATTGTTAACTGATTTATTTCATATCAATAAAATTAGATGTTCAAAGAATTAAGAACCATCTAATACACAAGATAAGAATATTTTGCATTATGAATATATTAAATCCTAATTGATGTAATCAAATACTTAAGAATTTTTCTTATAAACAATCTATAGAAAAACCTAAGGAAATCCTCTTACATTCATTACATTAGTATTAATTTATATCTATTATTTTTAGATTGAAAAATTATTGAAGTTTAATTATATGATTGTAGATAATTAGTTATAAGATGTTGTTATAGTAAATGATTCATTTTTAAATATATTAAATTTAGATGAATTCATTATTTTAGAAGCTCCATTAAATAAATTTAGACTTAATTCACCCTATTTAGATAAGGTAGGATGTTTAGAATTATTGATACTCAAAGTTGCATCTATTATAGGAGATATATTTGATGTACAAACACTTAATAAAATACAACCATTTAAAGAAGTCATTTAAAAAGAAAATTTGATTAAAATATTAAATAGTTTAGAAGAATTAGAAATTATAGAAACAATGGAACTTAATGATTTAAATAAGTATTACAGATTTGCTAAACCATTTCTTAGAGAAATAATCTATTAACGATTATTATTCTCTTAAAGAAGAGAATTACATAAATATTATGCTTAAGCATTATAAGAAATTCCATCATAATTTGAAATTGATGAAAAATTGGAAGCTCAAAGATTGGAACATAATTGGATTCTAGCTGAATAAAAGTGGAATAGTTAATCAAATATTAAATCAAGAGGATTAGAATTATCTCATAAAGCAAAAAGATCGATAATAATTAAATCCATATAAACTAAATTAATAGCTAAAACTAATAATATTAAACTTGGTTTATTAAAAAAGAAATCAGATAAGAATGTTACTTGGGCTGAAAGATATTGTTTAATGACATAAAAAGAATTAAAGTATTATTATAATGAATAAGACTATCAAAGATAACCTTAGAATGCTTTAGCAACAATAATTCTTAGTAGTATATATTAGATTGTTCCACTAAATGATAAAGAAAAAGTTAATTAAAAATATGCTTTTGAAATTAGAACAGGTAATTGGTTTAAAAGATAAAAATTAATGCCAAGAAGAGACTTCTATTTCTCAGCAACTAGTGAAGAATTAATGGAAGAATGGACTATTTATATTGAATTTATGAGAGTTAAAGCAACTTATGATGAATTTGTTAATAATTTTGGAAAAATCTAATTTCCAATTGCAAATTTTAAAGAATTCTATGATATGAGTTTAGGAACAGAAATGAATAATTATCAATAGAAATAAACATAAAAGAAGAATAATAAATCTAGTATGATTTAAACATAAAAAAGAAATACTGTTCTATCTATTAATAGTTTTTTTAGATAATCTATTGTTGAAAAGAAATAGAAATAAAATAAAGAAGAACTTAAAATATTAATTTCTAAATTTTTAAATAAAAGTTAATTATTACTATTTACTCATATATTCCAGAATTCAATTTCAACTAAAAATCCAATTATAATTGGTTAAAATACAAAAGCTATGTTAAATTTTGGATAATTCTTCATTAAAACTGCATCAGAATATTCATAATTATAATAATAAGAAAATGAAACTATTTAAACAGAAGAATCCCCATAAACTAGACCTCGAGCGAGTTTGAACATTTCAGAATAAATAATATTAGAAAGAAAAGCTGAATCTATATAAGCAACTCTTAGAAATACAAAAAGAAAATAAACAACTGAATAGTTTTATAATAAGAGATCAAAAAGTTCTGAATTTCTTATTTAGTTTAATGAAAATTCCAATTTGGAATAATAATAACAAAGTTGAGTATATAATAATTAATATTTAAAAAAAGATAATCAGTAATTAAATTTGGTTATTGTTACTACTTTCATAAGATCATCATTGAAATTTGATATTTCATAAATGAAAAGAATTTATTGTCTACATAAAAAACATTCTTTGCTTTTTTAAGCCATTTCTAATCCACATTTGTAACAAATTCCACCATGACCACAAATCATTAAAACAGCATTGGGTGGATTATCACAGCATATTATACATTTCTAATTAGATTCAATTATTTTATTTTAATTTTCTTATAATTAATTTGATTCTATTTCGACTGTTTATAAAATTTTTTTTGTTTAACCTCTTTCAGTCATTAATTCTGTCATTTTTTATGATTATTAAATTAAATCTGATTTAGTTGTTTATCTAAAAAATGCTGATGATAGCTTTTTTAAAAATATCTATTGTATAGTCTTCTTTCTTTCATATTATTTCTATTAACTAACTTAACAAGTAGGTAATTCCCTTTATGATTCAATTTCAGTTTATTATGATTGTAATAAATAAACACAAAAATCAATGATAGAATCCCATAATAATTTAGTAATGGCACCAAAAATAATAAAATTAAAAGAAATAGTTGAATAAAATAGAACTTCACCAATCTTTATTGGTAAATCAAGGCCTAATTTATTGAAAGTGTTAATAATCCACATTACTGATAGCATGCTGCTGATAATTGAAATATATAAAGCCCAAAGGAGAGATTTATCTAAAATTAAACAGATTTTACATTCTTGAGGAACTGTCTGGTATTGCTTGAAGATTTCATTAATAATTTTTGATATAAGTACAATTATTAAAGTAAAACAAGTACCTACTAAAGCACTCAGAAACATCCAGTACCACCAAAAGGCTTAAGGCCAGGTCCATTCAACATATTTGCTGAGTTTTAAGGAAATGCAAACACTGGCCACCAGTGATGAAAATCTATAAAAGGTTTTTAACTATATTGATAATAAATTTTTTGTTACAAATCTAATAATGGAAGAATATTCATGTGTTATTTAATTTGTACAGCTTTCTTTAGTTCTAATAACAAATGATAGAAGTAAGAACATATTTCCGAATATATAATATTGAAGGTCGGTGTAATATAGGATTATAACAAAATTCTAGGGTGATATATATCGAAATTACATATGCCATAATATGGAGTACATGATCAACCATTTTGATGATTTCTTTGTTTGAATAATAATAGCAAATGAAGATTTCTAAGGCAATACTCAATCCTAAGGGTATTGCAAAAGGTATTCTATCATATTGAAATAGAGCAAATAACAATGCAAATAAGTTGTAATAAATGTAATGGATGCAGAAATAAGATATAATTTTCTTTATTTTGGTTCTAAAATATCATTAATATTACTTTTAGATTAACATTTGTTTTGATAATAATTAAATAATTTATTGGATCAAAAATAATATTTTTATGTTATAAATTTATGTATATCAATGTCATTGCATTCTTTAAGCGCTCATTCTACTCTAGCTGCCTTGCTAGTCAATACTCCTTTTTGAATTACCCAATCTGTTAGTTGATTTCCTTCTAAGAACACTTGTCAAGGAGGTATCCATATCTCCTTATTATAATTCTGATTCTCTAAACAATTCAACAAATTAACACCAACGTTCAGGGACAGCAATCTTTACAAGAATTGAGAATATGATGCTGCCAACACCGAATCCAAGACATAAGAGGTGTTATTGTAAAGTTAAGTGAGAAACTTTAACAAATTTACCTCCATATTAGATGAGCACGCATTAAATAATCAACGTAAAAGTTTAGACACCCCAAAACAAAGGGTTATTACAAGCATTTGCAAATGGATTTATAGTCTTGTAATCCAGTTGTCTGCAAGAAATAGAGTTAAAGACTTGCATAACAACAAAAGTTTAGAAAAAAATACTCATTTAGACTACATTTTTATGGAACTAAATAAATAAATAAGTAGATTACTTTTTATCCAATTAATTCTGCAGGCATAGATAAATCCATATATTAAGGAAGCAAAAATAATATACCGCATAGTATACAAATTTAATAAATTGATCCACCTACTATTGTTCTATTCATAGTTGGTGACACAATTTTATCATCTCTTTTATATGGTTATCTTTCAAGTACAGTAATGCTTGGAGGTTCAGTTGCTAAGGCTAAAGAAGCAAAAGTATCCATAATAAGATTAACCCATAACATTTCAATAGTATTCAATGGAGATTCCTTGAGAACCACAGCTCCTAAAAATGACATAAATAATGCCACTAAATTGACAGTCAATTAAAATTAGATGAACTTCCTAATGCAATCATATATGTTTCTACCCCATTTCATAGCTAAATTAGTAAATTATACTACCTGTAATAATGGAACTAAAATTATCATCTAATAAAATGATATCTGCAGCATCTTTGGCAACATCAGATCCTGTAATACCCATAGCAAATCCAACATCTGCTTTCTTTAAAGCCGGAGCATCATTAGTACCATCTCCTGTGACAGCAATAACATTTCCTTCAGCAATCAAACCTGTAACCAAAATATATTTATCTTCTGGAGATGCTCGAGCCATGACTTTCATATCCCTACTAACTCTGGCAAAATTTTCCTTATTACCTACAACTTTCACTGTTTTTCCATCAACAATTTCATCCTTTAATCCTCCAACGAATTCTCTAAACTTTTTACCTTCTACTACTTCCCATTCACTTATTTCTCTATTTGTTGGTAGTATTCCACATTCTTTAGCAATAGCAGTTGCAGTAAGAATGTTATCTCCTGTAACCATTCTCACTTTTACACCAGAGGCATGGCATTATTTAATTGAATTAGGTACATCAGGTCTAATTGGATCTTTTATGCCTGCAATAGCTATCAACACTAAATCTTTATCTAAATCATCTTCAGGGATATTTTATGCTATTTTAGTCAATTATGAAATCTATCCTCTAACATTTGATCCATGTGATTAAGGATCAAGATCTCTATAAGCAATGGCTATTGTTCTTAAAGAATCTGAGGCAAATTTTTGGATAATATTATCATAAATGTACTTTTTCAATGATGGTTCCAACAACTATTCAATACCATTTTTTCCTATGTATTTGCTACATTATGACAATACTATTTCTGAGGCACCTTTAGTATAGACTCTAATATATTGTGATTTCTAATTTAAAATGACTGTACTCATCTTCTTTCTTTTACTGTTGAATGGAATTTACCTTAATACCTTATCACTTGGTCTAAATTAATTAAAATTATATCCAAAATTATCTGCACATTCTAATAAAGCACATTCTGTCTTATTTCCTATTTGGATCCATTTATTTGTTTATGGATCCTTCTCTGGAAATGCATTTGAATTATAACATATACTTTCACACATTAATTCAATTGTTTCCTTCTTAATTTTATTTTTATTAGTATGAACTTAATCTTTAAATATTTCTTATTCAGTCCATAATGCTACAACTTACATTATATTTTATGTTAAAGTCCCTGTTTTGTCACTACAAATATTATTTGCTCCACCCATTATTTCACAGGATGATAAATTCTTAACCAAATTCTATTCATCTTTCATTTTACCAACTGAATATGCTAATGCAATTGTTACAGCTAATGGTAATCCTTCAGGTACTGCCACAACAATGATTGTAACAGATATCATGAAAGATTCCACTAAGATTTGTAATGTCTTAATACTCAGAAATGGAAACTTACCTAAATAACAATCGTATCCTAAATGTCCCATCAAAGCAATAAATGTTAAAATGGACACAACTACTCCCAATTTACCAATATCTGAAGCGACACCTTCTAATTTTTATTATAATGGAGTTGGAGGATTCTCTTGTATTAAAAGTTGTTTTAACTTTCCAGAAACTGTATTCTAACCAACTTTTTATATTTATATATTTCTTTACCTGCTAATACAATCATTTGTCCTGTTCCATCAAGACATTTTGTTCCTGATATTAAAAATGGACTTACATGTCCTCTAGCTGCTTCTTTATTTACATTTAATTAATTGTGTTATTATTATGCCATCTCATTATATGGTAACTTCTTTATCTCATCACTCTCACCTGTCATAGGTGATTCATCAATTTTCACTGCACTTCCTTAAACCATCATGCCTATTTAATTTGATACACTCTATTACCATCTACAACAAACAAATCACCTAAATTGAAAATTAACAAATCTCCAACGACTATATCCTTTGTTTGTATTTCTGTTACTTTACCTTCTCTAATTACTTAACATTTTCCATCATCTAATTTTCTACGTAATTATCTAAACTGTCTCTCCTTAAGATAATTATTTCCTGCTGTTATTGAAATGATCAAGAATATTGCAAAAAATATCGTTGCTCTAATATATATTATACAATCTAATACCCTTCAGTCCATCCTGTTTTTACTCCTTCATTGATCATACCAATCACAGTTGAAACCAGAGCAGCTATTAATAAAATCTGTAGCATAGTGTCTCCCAAACATTCCATAATCAATTCACATAATGTTGTTGGCTCTTTTTCAACTGGTGTATTGTCTCCATACACTTGTTTTGACTTCTCTATTGCACCCTTATCTGAAAATCCTTTCTAATCATATACTAATTATGATTACTTTTAAATCTGTATTTAATTTCCTTGCAATACCATCGTCATCTCCATATTATTTTACCTTTTACATGCTTATACCCTCATTGATTGAGTTCAGCTTGAATAAATCTGTCAAATCATCTATAGTTAATTAAGATTGAAATTGTGCTTCCACATCTTTTTATTATTTGTAGCTCATTAAATTCAATGAACTAAATTTAATAATACATGATTAAACATTTCTTATTGCTATTTATTGTTCAAAAATATTAATTTAATTCTTTTAAAGCCAATCAAGATGTGTGTTCTCAGAATTTACAGAAATAAATTTAAAGAAGCATATTTATTAATTATTTACATACAATAATATTATAAATATTATAATTAAACCATACAACTCATTTTTTTATTTCAAAAGTATAAGACTTGCTTTTTTCTAATCAAAAAGATTTATTAAATTTTTATACTAATTATTATGTGAAAATTAAACTTTATCAATAAGATTTGAATTTAAATTTAATTTAAAATCGATTAGAATGTGCTCTAAACAATCGAAACAAATAAATAATATCTAAAATATATCATGAATAAAAATGTATAATAAAATAATAATAAATTTTGTTTTTAGATGTTTAAAATTATTTTTTGAATATAACGGAAAAGATAGACTACGAAATTATATAATGAAAAAAAAGAATTTGAAATTTAATGAATAATACTTAATTTATTGTAGATCTTGTGTAAAAGGATTTTATTTTTCCTTAACTCTTCATTATAAAGTAATAGTTTAATTCTGCATACTAACATTATTCTTGAATAAGACATGTCAACATTTCAATAACATATAATGTTATGATTTCAAAACGCTAAATATTATGCAAATAATTTATTGGACTAACAGAATCTGATTGCAAAAAACTTATATCCATAATAATTCAAATTATTTCGAAATATAATACTTTTTCAGTTGTATATTTAAAAAAAAATGCATTTTGTATAGTCTAAGATGATAAAAATGCTTCGATAAACAAAGCTGTAGTATATTCCAGAAGAATTATATATATATAGGGAATAGTTGTTATTATAAGTTTCATTATTTTAACAAATTCTTAACATTATCAATTTTATAGCTAAATTTGTTCCTTCTATTGTTATAATAACATCTCATGTTTTGGTTACCAAACATATAATGATAGAAATCCCATTACTATGATTCCAAAATTTAATATTATCTGCATATAGTTTGCTGATCTGGTCTTCATTGTTGCACATGATGATAATAAAAAAAAAAATGCTATCCATATGAAGACTTTTTACTATTGTAGAAATATAATTTACTTTCATCCATGTTCCTGCAAAAGCTAATAAAAATGAAAAAATTTGCTGCATGTCACCCCCTTATTCTTCTTATGGAGCACCCTTTATTAAATCGTATGTATATTTCATAATTAAATTACTAAATTCAATTAAATTTACATGAATTATTTATTATTATCCTATATATTCTAAAATAGCATTTTTAATGTAAAATCATATGATGTCAATAATTAATGTTTGTTTCAAAATATTTATGATACAAATTTAGAGCATGGCTTAAATTAATTAAAACTAAACTACTCTGCTTGAGTTACTCAAATCTACTTATAATAATAAATGTATTTTAGGAAAAATAGATTGTAAAAAAATTAGTATATTTTGCAAATAAGAATACAATAATTTCAATTTAACTTATTCTTAATTAATTATAATCATAATCTGAATAATAAGAGATGAAAAGTAATTGAGAAAAATCAATCAATTCAAATATTAAGATAATTTCGATTAATATTTTAATAATTTGATCCATATAAATAACTAAGAAGTACATTGAACTTTATTAAAAAATAATTTAAAAATATTAATTAAAATGTTAATTTTAGTTAGGATTTATAGAATTAATAAAAAAATAAAGAGTTATAATTATAATTATAATTCAATTTCTTTTCCTTTCCTTTTTGTAACTTAATAAATAATTTCCTTATTCAAAGCAAATTTGTATATAGTTGAAAAATTAATGAATAGTATTTTTAATAATCAGCGCATTTCTAAATTTTGTAATTCTAATTCATGCATTAACAACATTCATACACTTAGATTAGCATCTTTGGTATTTATCTCAAGTTTCTATTCTGGTGCCAATTATTTAAACTGATCTTAAGAGACACAATTTTCTGTATTAATCATTATTAACTATAATTAACTAAAAATTTCATTCTCAGCATTAATTTCCAAAAGTTTTCAATAAAAGTGTAAATTCGACAATTTTCAATATAAAATTGAAAAAAAAAAGCCGATGTTTCAAAGCCTTTTTAAGACTCTGAAAATATTCATATTTTTATTTGGGGATCAATTAGAGTTAATTGGTGAATTTAGAATCAAGAAAATGTATAAGTTTTTTACACACTTTTATTGGAAGAAACAAATTGATTAATTTGTTAATTGAATTAATAAATGCGTTACATAAATAAGTTAGTTGAATGTAAAAATTCAAAAAAAAGAAGAGATTTTAAAATAATTTCAGAAAAATTTGGCAAAAGTAAATAAAGTATAATTTTTGGGAGTTCTAAATAAAGATGGCATATATAATAATTTAAGATATATATACAATTAAAAAATATTTTTGATATTCGGAGGTGATCTAGACGATTTTTGATAATAATTGAACTTGAACATAACTTTGGAAAAAAAGATAAACTTTATTTAAATTATATAATAATTGAAAGAAATTTAATTAGAAAACCAAAGTTAAAATTAGAGTTAATAAGAGATAACTTCAATCTTCAAGAAGATTTTCCACAAAATGATTTAACTCTGCATATATAAAAAAATGATTGTTTTANTTTATCAATAAGATTTGAATTTAAATTTAATTTAAAATCGATTAGAATGTGCTCTAAACAATCGAAACAAATAAATAATATCTAAAATATATCATGAATAAAAATGTATAATAAAATAATAATAAATTTTGTTTTTAGATGTTTAAAATTATTTTTTGAATATAACGGAAAAGATAGACTACGAAATTATATAATGAAAAAAAAGAATTTGAAATTTAATGAATAATACTTAATTTATTGTAGATCTTGTGTAAAAGGATTTTATTTTTCCTTAACTCTTCATTATAAAGTAATAGTTTAATTCTGCATACTAACATTATTCTTGAATAAGACATGTCAACATTTCAATAACATATAATGTTATGATTTCAAAACGCTAAATATTATGCAAATAATTTATTGGACTAACAGAATCTGATTGCAAAAAACTTATATCCATAATAATTCAAATTATTTCGAAATATAATACTTTTTCAGTTGTATATTTAAAAAAAAATGCATTTTGTATAGTCTAAGATGATAAAAATGCTTCGATAAACAAAGCTGTAGTATATTCCAGAAGAATTATATATATATAGGGAATAGTTGTTATTATAAGTTTCATTATTTTAACAAATTCTTAACATTATCAATTTTATAGCTAAATTTGTTCCTTCTATTGTTATAATAACATCTCATGTTTTGGTTACCAAACATATAATGATAGAAATCCCATTACTATGATTCCAAAATTTAATATTATCTGCATATAGTTTGCTGATCTGGTCTTCATTGTTGCACATGATGATAATAAAAAAAAAAATGCTATCCATATGAAGACTTTTTACTATTGTAGAAATATAATTTACTTTCATCCATGTTCCTGCAAAAGCTAATAAAAATGAAAAAATTTGCTGCATGTCACCCCCTTATTCTTCTTATGGAGCACCCTTTATTAAATCGTATGTATATTTCATAATTAAATTACTAAATTCAATTAAATTTACATGAATTATTTATTATTATCCTATATATTCTAAAATAGCATTTTTAATGTAAAATCATATGATGTCAATAATTAATGTTTGTTTCAAAATATTTATGATACAAATTTAGAGCATGGCTTAAATTAATTAAAACTAAACTACTCTGCTTGAGTTACTCAAATCTACTTATAATAATAAATGTATTTTAGGAAAAATAGATTGTAAAAAAATTAGTATATTTTGCAAATAAGAATACAATAATTTCAATTTAACTTATTCTTAATACATAAAGAATATTTAACTTTTCTTAGTTTTATTTAAATAACAAAATTAAAATATAATAAATCAATCAAATTGCGCGATTTTTTAATTATAATTGAATAATTTAAATTTTCCTAGTATTTATATTATCTATTAACAAAATAGATTTATCATTAATAAATATAGCATTAAATGGAAATAATACCGATTTTCTATTAATATATATTGATGTTTAATTGAATTGAATTATTGAATTGTAAATCTGAATTACAATTCTTCATAAAATAATTGTTTTATTTTAATTTTAATTAGTATTCGATGATAAAATTGTGTCTAAATTGTATTCGCGGATATTGATTATTTGAATTAAAGTTAATCTTGTTGTGAGATTGAAGATGTCAAATGTTTCAGACAGGTGTTCAATACATCAAAAAGTGGGGATTGCTGTCGAATGCTTGATAAGGGGTGAATATAATTATTCAATTTTATGCGAGAATTGCCTAGCTGAGAGAGTTAACAATAAACAAATATTTTTATTGAAAGATGCGAAAATAGTGTTTGATTAATTTAGATTATAGTGTTAAAGTGAATTTGAAGGGGAGTAAAATGAGAAAATAAGTTTCTATAAAAATCTGCAAGCTATTGTATAGAAATTGTAGAATCATTTTTTAGAAATATTTGATTAGATAAACAATTAAATAAATGAATAACTAGAATTTATCACTTAAATTTTAAGTTAGGGATAATTTTAAAATGTAAACTAAGAAAATTAGAATTTTAATCTTAATATTAGAGACTTTGGAGAATAGTTAATTGAAGAATTAACAAAATTTGAAAAAATTAAGAAGATAGGTTAAAAGTAAAATGTAATCGATTTTCAGAATAAAATATAATATGAAATATTGAGACTACAATAAAGTGATGTATTAAATGAGTGTCTTGAATTATTAATATCTGGGGATGAAGGGATGTAAATTAAATTAAAGAATCAAAATGATAGGGTTATGTAATATCAAACTTTTTAAGTAAGAATATATTAATATATTGTTAAAAGAGAACTCCAAAGTTAGATTTAATTTGTAATGAACATGACAAAGAAATAATATTATTTGATTTAAGTGTATAGTAGTAAAGAGAGAATCGAGCAAAATGCGTTGAATGTGACCCGTGCATGTATACTTCATTATCAAAGTGTCAGAATATGTGGAAAAACTATGAAAAACAACAATAAGAAATATTATTAGAATTTTATTCATCCAGAAAATCATAAATTGGAAGTATCAAGCAATAGCTTCTTTAATTGAGAAGTTCTTTTACAGAAAAAATCAATGAAATTATATAATAATTAAATGGAATTATGTCTTAGACTGAATAGGAGGTGTTTAAAATGATAAATAGTATGAATAAAGATTGGAACATTATGACTTTGGATGAAGTCTTGGATATAGCTGATATATTGAGTAAGCCAGAATTGATGAAGATTTATTTGAAGGAGATGGAAATCAAATTTAAAATGAAAAATTTAAATATTGATAGCATATTCTAAAATAGTATTGAAGGATTATAAGAAATTTATAATCAAATAACCTTATTAAAATTATGTGTTATTCTTGAATAGAGCAGAGATACGAATAATTATGAAACACCATAAAAATATGATAGAAAGCAAAGTTCAAATAGTATGCATAGTGATAATCATTCTGTTGAAATAAATACATCAAAATCAAATTAGAAAATAATGAAAATTAATAATAAAATTAAATCATTAGAAGAATGGCGAATTCAATAATTAAAATGGTCAAATGCATATATAGATTATTAATTATTTTATACTAAAAAATAAGCAGAATGGTGCAATGCTATAGCATTTAATAAAGAAGGAAATATTATGATAGCTGGGTGTATATTTTCAATTAAAGTATTTGATTTTTCAAAAGGAAGAATAGTACAAACATATTAAGCAAAATAACATTAAGGAGATATCAATTGCTTATTGTTTAGTAAAAAACTCAATCAATTTATCTCTGGAAGTGATGATAAAACCATTAGAATTTGGAAATAAATTGATAAGAATGAATGGAAATGTATATAGGTGTTACAAGGACATGAAGATTGGGTATTGTGCTTAATCTTAACTGAGAATGAGAAGATACTTTTTTCAGGCAGTAGAGATAAAACTATAAAGAAATGGACTAAAAATGTAGATAATTAACAATATGAATGTACGTAAACTTTAGATCTCCATACAGATGCAGTGTTAGGATTATCAATAAATAAATCTGAATAATTTTTGGTATCTTCTAGTTATGATAAATCTATTATAATTTGGGAAATTAATGAATCATTACAAATTGAAAAAAAATAAATCATCTAAAAGGAAACCTATGGCAATAGAATTCTTTTTATTAATGAAGCATAATTTTTATGGTAACCAAACAATAATGAAATTGTAGATATATATTAATTCAATAGTCAATCATCATCCTTTGAGTCTTCTTAACATAATATTTAGTAATACCAAGCTGATGATGATTATTAATATTTTCCATCTAAATTTTTAACATCAAAAGGCTTATTTGCTAATATTCATAATAAATTTATCTATATTACTAAATAATTAAATGAGAACGAATTTCAGGTAATCTAAATAATAGAATTTGATGATTATCGCAAATTTGGAGCATTTACTGAAGATGGAGAGTATTTAGTAACATGGCATTACGCAACTTGTGAATTTTAAATTAGAAAAAATGTTGGAACTTCAAGAATTTAATGGTGATTTTGTTATTTAATATATATTATTAATTAGTGTTTCATAATTAATTACTAATTTATTAACAATACTATAATAACAATGTATTTATATGGTATAGATATAATGATAATAAAATTCAGTTTTCTTTTAATAATTATAATATGTATTAGAATAGATGTTAATTAAAGGATTTTTAAATTCAATACATTTATTGTCTGATATTAGTAATTAAATGAGAAATGATTTTATATAAATTACTTAATAATTATAATTAATTAAAATAATCATGATTACTTAAAACTAAAAATGGATTATTTAGTTTATTGTGGTGAGATTGATGGTAGATGAACTTGAATTTTTTTTTAACTACTTACTTTTGGTATTGATAAATGGAGATCCAATTAAGTTTAATATCTATTTGTAGCATCTTAATATTAATATATATATTAATAATTACTATATTTATTTAATTATCTATTCTTTAATGTTGTAAAGTCTTGATGAGAAGTAGTTTTGGTTAGTGCAAAACTCTTTTTTAAAGTTTAAACTCTATGATGATTAAAATTAATATTTGTCTCTGTTTGAACCCGAGATGTCATTGGAATATGATGATTTAACAGTATTTCATTAATTTCATCTGATTCTTAAGTCTTCAAATAAAACATTTATTCTTAACAATTATCTCTCATATATTTAATGATATTCAAAGCTTTTATGATCTTTAATTTTTATAATTTTTACAATTAAGAATTTCTATGTAAATGAATATGTCAATTTGATTTCTCTATTAGTAATAGGATGTGATTTTGATTGTTCTCCTAACATCCAAGGATGTTCAAGACATTGTTCAGCAGTCATTCTATCTAACGCATTATGACAGATTGTATTTCTAATGAAGTCCTAGGCCATTCTATAGTCAATAACATTTTTTACTCTGATAGATGATATGGATAGATTATACTAAAGTCTTAAGAGATTAATTTATAATAATCTTTCTTTGATACACCATCCTACCAAATAGGATGTTTATTATTGCACATTATCTAATAATAAATGATTCCTAATGAAAATATATCAACTGCTTAAGTTTATTCTCCTCCATTTATCACTTCTGGAGCTATATAAAAAGGAGTTCCAACTTATTAACCTATAATGCCTCTACAAACTATTTAATAACTTAATCCTAAATCTATCAATTTCACTAAGTTATTAGCACAAATGAATATATTTTCTATTTAAATCACAATGATTTACCTGGTTTCAAGTCTCTATGTATGATTCCTTTGCGATGTAAAAATACTAATGCATTTAACACTTATTGCATAATGTTTTAAACTTCAATTTCTTCGAGACTTCTATCTCTTAATATCACATCCAAAGTTTAACCTATCAATTTCTCCATTATTAAATAAATATAGTTGTTTGCTTTTAAGACTCTGTGCAATTTCACTATGTTTGGATGAGAACACTCTTACAATAGACATGACTCTATCTCCTATTCAAAGTATGGAGTAACCTTAAATTTACACATCTTCTACTTTTATTGCTACTATCTTGTCTAAACTAGAACTGTAAGCTGCAATTACAATTCCAAAACTTCCTCTACCTAAAATTTCAATAAAACAGTAGTATTCACTCAATAATATATCGTTTAAATCATCAATTAAACTTTTAGGATCCATATTTAATTAAATTATAATAATATTTATTGCTATTTTTTGTGAAATTTCATTTTTATTTGTTTCTCTATTTTTATTTTTTATTTTATAATTATCAGCTTAATAATGTATATTCTATTTTATATTATAGTTATCATTAATACTAGTTACTAAAAGAATGAACAAAATTATAAATGAATATAAAAATCTATAATCATCTATTGTTTCTACTGATATAATCTCTATATTTTTTTAATGCCTTTCTAACATCAGGTATATTAGATTATGCAATCTTCATTATCAAATCTTTAATTGATAATAATTCTCTGTCATCTGATTTTCCAACCCAAGATTATATGACTAATCCATTCTCTTATTACAATTGAAAATTTATAGGAGTGTTATCAATTATGATTGTTTTCTCTAAAGGTCTACCTATTTTACTTAAATCCTATTTTTAAGATTGAATAATACTTTAATAAAATGAATTCCATTATATATTGTGTGATGTCGATATAATCTATGATCAATCAAATGATCACATTGGATTTGAGAGATAGCATTATCTGCATACTTTATAATATTTAATGTTTTACATTTTACTAGCTTGCTGTAAATAAGATTATTTCACAAAATGATTTAATGCTTTCGAGAAATTGGAATAACCATGGTCTTGAGATAAATTTATTCAATTATTCACTCTAAATATGATAGTAAAAATTTGTACAAAATGACCCATAGTTTCATCCAAATCCATTATTATACACAATTATTTTTATAATGGGGATTTTATGAATGGACTATTCACAAGATCTACACTCACTTAAGATTTTCTTTTATAAATAACATGAGATGCTTTAAACAAAGTTTTTAATGGAGATTAAAACTCTTGTTTTTTTATTTATGTTGTTGACAAATAAATAGCATTTCTTAATTGTGGTCTACTTATTGTAACATCTAAAGCATTTAAATGTTATAATTAATATCTGCATGTTATTATTATTGCTTGTATACCCTAATTATCATTATGTAATAATTTTTCAATTATAGACTTAATGAAACAATTATTTTTTTTTAATTCTTATATAAAACTTAAGCAAGGATTATTCTTCTCTAAAATAACATCAATCTTTTATTATAATAAATCAACTAATTAATTTCTTTACTTTAGATGTTTAATCATTTTATTCAAAAATAGAGCAAAATTCTCTATTAGTAATTTTATTAAGACCGTCATTTCTTACTAATAATTCTGTTAATTATGAAGTAAGTTTTCTTTCAATTAACATTGTATAAATGAAAATACAATATCACTTAAGAAAATACACTCCCAAAGTACTTTTTAAGTTGTTGAACCAGCAAAGAAATAAAGATATTATTCTTGTCTAAAATCAAACACTGCTTCCCAATATAATTAAAAATTCAGTTATTCTTTTTTATTTTATAGATTCTCTAAAATAGCTTTCATATTTTATAATTGAATTTGTCCTGCATTAATATCAAAAGATTGATTAATTTGCATGAAAGTATCAGCTTATGAATTAGGTCTTGTGAATGTAGATGAGAAAGTTCCTTTCATACGATCTGTTTATCTAGTTATACTTCTTTTAATGCTTTCACTATCGTTTTCAAGATATTTTAAAGTTCTTTTGGCCTACAATAATGGAGTTTCTAGTAATTTTCTCTAATTTTATAATTCTCTGATCACATGGTAATTACTGCTATACTTAATTGTAAAATATTCTAATTCAAGTTTTCATTTACTTGTTATTTCATCAGAACTTTTTTCAAATTATGCTAATACTAAAGACTGTTTCATTGATTATTATTTTTTATAATATATATATCAAAACTTCATTAAATTTTCATTCTCATTTTCTGTATTTAATATAATTTATCTTCTTCTACAATCAATTTGTACTATTTTATGCTATAATTCTAACCTATTATCCTTTTAGGTCTAAAAATAATATGAAAAATTAATAGTCTAAATTGATTATAAAACATTAATTGATTAAAACAACTTTTGAGAATTTATAATCCATATTTAAGAAATATTTCTAACTATTAAATATTTAAAGAAGTGCGCATAATAGTTATTAAATAATAAAGAAGCTTTCGATAATTCACTAAATTTATCGTAAAATAATATTAGATCTTTATTTTATGGATATTTAATGAAATATAAAAAATATGTAATTAATAATTTAGACGCTTGAATTATCGATTTTTTAACTAATCTAAAACAGTAATATTTATTTAATCTAGAACAAAATTAAAAACCATAAATCAATCTTTTTTTGAATATAGAAATGATAGTTGAAGATTTTTAGAAATTATCAACCATAAAGTATTGAGCACTAATTAAGTTTATTCATTAAATTTTTAATGATTGAATAACATCACTAAAAGAATAATATAATATTCTAATAAATAATTTTAATTTTAGATACCATTCTTTTTTCTCAATTCTAAAGTTCTTTTTCTTAAAATAATATTATATTAAATAAACAATGTAAAGTATTAGAATTTCAACTCATTTTGATATTAATAATTAATTAAAGTTTAAATAATTGTTTTAATAGATTAGTTATTTATTCTTACTTTATATAAATTAAATATAATTATCTTATTAATTATATGAATAATAAATTTAAATCAAACAGCTTGGCTTGGATCTTCTTTAGCTGAATATAAATGAGGATGGATATTAGGTAAGACTCCTCCATCAGCAATTGTTGTATTTGCCATTAATTTATTCAATTCATCATCATTTCTAATGGCTAAAAGAATGTGTCTTGGATTAATTCTATTCTTTTTGTTATCTTTGGCAGCATTTCCAGCTAATTCTAAGACTTCAGCAGCCAAATATTCAAGCACAGCTGACAAATAAACTGGAGCACCTGCACCAACTCTCTCTGTATATCTGCCTTATTTCAAATATCTTGAAACTCTTCCAACGGGGAACTATAAACCAGCCTTGTGTGATCTAGAAACTGATTTATGAGCTCCAGCTGCCTTTCCTCCTTTACCTGCTTTTCCTTTTCCACCTGATGACATTTCTTTTTATTTATTTATCTTCATGCTAAGACACATCAATTTTAAACATATTATTTATTCTTTTTTTCTTTTAATTATCCAATCATATTCTAGATTTCAATAATCTACAACAATAAAGAATATCCAATCACATCTCGAGAAACCTTCATCACACCATATTTCTCAACTATATTCTTGCCAAACAACTTTAATTACATTTTAATTTTTAAAAGATACATCTAAGATATACATAAAAATAAGTTTATATGATTAAATTTATTAATAATTCATTAGATAATATATTAAATTAAATACACATAAAGAAATTTTTAAGAACATATAAATAAAATTACTACTTCTCTTAATGTTCATCTTAGTAAATTGTTTAATTACCTTATAATCAATGATTTGGATAAATAAATTTATTTAGTAAACAAAAATTTACATGCTAATTATGCGTTAATTAAAAGAAATTTATTTGAAATCTTAGATTAGTAATAATAACTATAATAATAATAAAATAATAAAGAAGATAAATAAACTGAGTTGAAGGAAAATTATATGATGAATCAGATGCAGAATCATATGTTTAGAATGCAGAATAATAAGCTAAAAGAGTTGTTATAAATGAAAATAAAACAAACAATAAAAATAATAATTTGTTAACAATAAATAGAATTTTTGGAAAAGAAAATTGAAAAAGACTTAAGGAATTTAAATTAAAAGAAGCAAAAAAAAAGGAAAAAATTTAACTAACCGGAAGAGGAATAAAAAAGAAAATTGAAACAGAATAAACAAGAGAAGTTTGATAAATAAGAGGTAAAATACAATTGCGAGAGTTGAAAAGAATAAAAGAACAAAGAGTTTAATAAAAAATCAGAGAATTATAAAAACTTAAATTAATTAATTTAATTAGAGTAAGTTAGTGCTGAATTAGTTATACATAAAACTGAGGCTTTGGACAAGTTTAACAATTAGAAATGTTGGATTAATTAAATAGTTTAATTTAATAGATGAAAGATGATATATTCATATAAATAAAACGAAATTGAGGTATGTTATTCAATCTAAATAAACAGAGCTTATTAATATATATCAAAACTAGATGAGGAATGCTAAAGAGTGAATTGTTGAATTAGAGAAATTATATAATTAAATTAGAACCCTCATAGTAGAATTTATTTAAGATCAATGAGTAGAAAAATAATTATTTAACAATTTATAATAGGAATTACAATAATGAATAATAATAAATATAATTATATAATAAAATGAAATGTGAAGTGAAAACTGTTAAACTAAAAATTCTAGGACTGACTGATTTAAGTAAAATTATAAGAAATTCTTCTTATGAAATAAAAGTATATTTTGGAGGTGCAAGAAAAGAAACTAAAATATTAAATTACTATGTTGGTATATAATTATATTATTAGATTAGCATCTGAATAAATTGAAATAAATTAGGATTTAGAATTGAGCAGTATTCATGGAAAACAATTACAATTTTGGTTGTTTGATAAATTGAAAAATAAGTTTATTGGAGCAGGATCTTATGAATTGAGTGAAAACTAAGTTGAAGGATTTCAATTATTAGATTTAAAAATTGATACAGTTATAACATGTGTGTTGATGTTTGAATTGGCTGTTGAAGTGAAGGATATTTATTAGCCTGTAATTTTAGAAGATGATAATGTGATTTTGAAGAAAGATGACTCAGAAGAAAAAAGAAAAGAAGAAGAAAGGATGGAACAAGAAGAGAAACTTAGAAAATAATAAGAAGAGGAAAGAAGATTATTATAAAAATAAAATAAAGTTTCTATTGTTACATTAACTAATAGATATGTTGAAGATTAATCTTATTATTGAATAATATATATATAATAATAATATCAATATGATTTTATTTCCACCTTAGTAGGTTTTTTGAATTTATTTATTATTCGCTTTACACTAAAAATAAATGTATATTTTGATGGAATAAATCTAGATAATTTCCATTTCAAAAATAAGTTTATTCTATTGATTACATTTTAATAGTTATCAATAGGAAAATATAGATTATAAGAGTACATTCTCTCAAATTCTTCAGATTACTAATCCGCTCTTTTATACATACTTAAATCAACCATACCTATTCCAGTTGGTATGCGAATATTAGATCTAATAATTGGACTAACAGTTGATCTAAATTAAGTAATAGTCCCTTATCTTATAGGAATAGTTGATAATTTAGATGAAAATCTTTTCATAGATTATCTAACTTATGAAGAACTTTAACTTTGTCTTCCTAATTATCTTCCATATGGAGAACTGGTTTGTTCATCTGAATGTTATCTATTTGATAAATTTAAAGTATCAGAGTCTTCTTCCCTTATTCTTGATAAATTCTTTTTCATTTTATCTACAATATTACTTGGTGGCCTTGATTTAGTGTTATTTCTTAATCTTTATGATTTTTTTTAACTTTGTTAACTATCTGTGTCTCCTTTGAATGTAAGATGTGGAGTATTTTTGATTCTTTTAACAGATGGAATAGGAACTTCATTAGCAATTAATTATGAAGAAGTAGCTGTTTGTACCAATTATTAAGTTTACAATGGATCTTATGGTGTTGATGTTCTTTTTATTTTTTATGGTTCTTATGGTACCAATGAAAACTTATATAGTTATTATTGCTGCTATTAGAAATCTGCTTAATATTAGAATTGAGCTGTGCTTAGAGTTCCTTTTTAGTTGTTTGGTCTTATGATAAACATTTAATCGTTTTCATCACAAATTTCTTGTAGAACTTTAGAATTCTCTTTAACTTAATCTTATTATTTTAGTATGCTAACAATAGTTCTACAATAGAATATCAATATTACCCATCCTATTTATCTACTAGCCTATTATCAGAATAAACTTCATCACTTTAGTAATCATCACTTAATTCAGAACACGATTCTAATTCATCATCTTAAAAATCCTCATCATCTTCATCTTCATCATCATCATATATGATATCATATTTTAATCTAAATATTTTTAGTGCATCATAATTTTACTATTATTAAATTTATTAATTTTACAATCAATCTATAAAATATTCTATTAAATTCTTTTCTTCCATCTCTAGGTGTTCTAGAGAAGCTAGACCTGCATTATTAATTATAGTTTTCTTATTTGTATACTTTTTCAAGATCTGGAGTATATCTCCAAATGGGACACTTAGATATTAAATGATCTGAAGATTGACATGAGTAACAAACCATATTGATAATATTAAATTATTGATTCAAAAAAGAATGTCTAATAAAGTAATATCTTTCATGATCAATCTTATTTTATTAAATTAATTAGATAAATTTTGATTATTAGATCTTATATAATGAAACAAAACCTTTTGCTTTAGCAGAAGCTTATCTTAATTATCCTGAAAAAAATGAATATTCACCAAAAGAGTCTCCAGAAATCAAATTAGCAAATTGAGTATTTTAGTCTAGTATTGAGATTTCACCAGAATCAATAATATACAATGAGTTATCATCTTGTTTATTCTTTTAAATAACAAGTTCATTTGGATTAAATTTAACATATTCCATAATTTAGGTCAAATTTTTAAGTGTATCTTTTGAAAATTTGAACAGAGATTTACAATTAAACAAAGCCTTAATTCTCATTTATAGAAACAATTCTTCTTTAAGTGCAGGTGAAAGTTATTAAATTAATATTTACATCTAATTTTCTAAATGTATATAACAATATTACCTAATCATCTTTATTATCTTATTATTAAATAAATCGAATATAATTCCTTATTCTGGCTGACATCTATAATGTAATCCCTCTTTTAGATAAAAAGTTATTCATTAATTCCATCTATCTTAAACTATTGTTATAATTCTAGTATTGCTACTTCATCATAAAACCTGTATGTTTGATAATAAATGCTATTAACCAACAGGATATAAACATTATTATAGTTGAATATATTAGTTCTACATTTGTTTTAATATGGATCAATCCTAATCCAATATTTAATAACAAACTTGTATTTATATAAATAGCATAACAATATCTTGTCCATTCATCCTCATCCTAAATATTTAATGTCATTATCCAAGAATTTTATTCCTCAATACCTATAAAATGCCAGAAACAAGAACATAAATGAATTGCGTACAATACTATCACAAATATCTTATAGCAACCAATATCAAATGGTAGAAAATCATTTATTCGAAATATTAAGAAGTTCAATTTCTAAACTCCTAAACCAATTTCAAATAATAAAATACACCAAATCAATACCTAATTTGTAGATAAAAACAATAATAAAATTGTAGTCACTAAATAAAGAATATCAATTATAGTTTGACTTTTAACACATTATAATTTGTACGTTATATCGAAATTTACAAAATTACCTTCTTTAATTTAAGGCTTGAGATAATTTAATGCCAAATCAGAACCAATTATTAAGATAGCTAATATTTCAAAAACAAGGTTTGTTTCTTGTTTAAAACTTACTTTGAATGGCAACCAAATACACAACATTATAATAAAAACTATGACTATGATATCCCAAAAAACAAAACATAAAGGATCAAAATAATATTTATTCTTACTATCTTAAATAGTATAATGAACACTATCTTCTAAATAGTTTTCAATTAATAATTATTTTTAATATCCATTAAAATAATTATCCCGATATATGTATGCTTTTTAAAGAAGTGTTTTAGCAAATTTTCTAACAAACTTTTTGTCAAATAAGTTTCTACTTACAGATTCAGTCAAATTTAGTTCAGAATAAAGTTGTTACTTGCGCGAGGATCGCATACCTGAATTAAATTAACTTTTCTTTAATCTCTTTGTTCCTGACTCATCAACGTTTTTACTATCAGCTCCTTCAGAATTCACATTTAACGTCTTAGCTTTTCTACTCTAATCAAAATGATTTAATCCATTTTCTCTATAAGAAATGAAAGATCTTAATGGTTCTGTTATTGGAGATGGGCAGTTGATAAATGATGAGTTTATTGTTGGAGGTTTTAAATCTGATGGTGTTTGCATTAGTTTAGGTAATTATGATTATGAAATGTATTGCCGTTTGACTAATTCTAAATTATGGGACTCATTATCAAAGGAAGAACTGTAAGAATTGTGCATTTTTATTTTAATAATTATATTATATTTGAAATAAATTATTTTAAATAAGTTAATATTATTGCCAAACATATTAATTCATTTTTAATTTTAAATAAATATCTAAACCATATCTCTAGAAAAAAAAACATTATTAATATTATAGTATCAACAAATTAACTCAAAAAAGTGATTTAATTTTTATATTTTATCAACTAAGAAATGAGTGTTTTAAATCTATTCAAATTATTAATCAAAATTGTTATAGAAATAATTAAATATCAAATTTTATACATTGAATAATTCTGAGCTATTTTTTTTAAAGTAATGAAGAATTTGTAGATATCTTAATCTTTTCAACTGTTATGTATACAAAGAATTCTACTATACTTTGATTTAAGAAAATTCATTAAAATCAATCTTAAAGAATATTCTTTATAGGTATAAGTTAATAAATAGCTGATCTTTATGTTAATGATAATATTTCATGAACATAAAACATTAAAATCTCAACAAATAACTATTTTTGGATTAATTTTGAATTAGAAATTACTTATTATTAATAGCTCATAAAAATCAATTAGATTATAAAAGAGAAGAGAATTAAGTAGCTAGATCCCTTATTTAAATGATTAATGAATTGATTTAATATCCTTATCATCTATTCTTAATCAATCTAAAGATTAAAAAATAAAAATAAGATTAATGATTTTCAACTAAAAATTAGACCTAATCATTCAAATTTTATTGCTTTGTAGTCTTCTTCCTATTCTATTCCAATCCATCCATATTTTTTTTTTAATTCACTTATACCTTAAAGTAATTACAGATTAAGTCTTGCAGTTTATGGAATAATTTGCTCTCTTGTTATAGGATCTGTACAACCATTCTAAGTGAATTATTAAAAGATGCCATTTTTTTCATAAGTCTAACCGGTATTAAATAGAATAGGTTCATTCATAATCTCATATGATATTACACATATAAATGATTAAGGTATTGGTATTTCTTAAAGCATCTTTTTTTAAGTTTACTTTTCTAAATAATTCCAATCTAATTTAACCTTTCTACTTTATGCTAATTCAGCAAGAATACTTTTTAAAGATTAAACATCTATTAAAATATTATTTTATGTTTATACTTCTTCTATCCATTTCTTAAGCGATCAAAAAAACCATCCTTTTTCCTTTTCCTAAATTCTAATTTATTAGAACCTTCAATTTATTCTTTTATTAGTCAGCATTATCCTTTATATACTCATATGCTTTAAAATAATAATAATATACTACCCTAGTCTAAGTATTGCAAACCTCTATGAGCCTATTTTATTAATTATTCACTTATTTATGGACTCTTCTATACTTCTAGCAGAATTATTGTTCCATAAATGAAATATGCTCTAGCATTTGTTTAATCAATTTTAATTGCTTATTCTGCATCTTATTTGGCCTCCTAATATCTATTTAATAGTCTATATGCCACTGCTCTATTGGAATAGTAAATGGAATCTGTGCCATACAAATTCTAAATATTTATTCAATATACAATAGCTTAAGTATAGCATTCAATAGCTTTTTAATAGTTTTTTTGAGAGAAAAAGTTATTCCCCTTTATTTTTTCTTCCAATGATTGCTGTTTATTGTCTGTAAACTAAGGGGTTGAAGTAATATTGATGTTTTTCTAACTAGTTGATTAAGCCGTAGGCTTTTTAGCAGCTTTGAAGACTTTCCTTTATTACTAAGGCTATTATTATGGGAATATATCTTCTGGTGGATAATTCATAAATTAATAGGTTTCATTCGAGTGTGCTTATCCCATTAAAGATTAATAAATTATTAAATTGACTTCAAAAATACAAAACTAACATAATGATTAAATCAAAAAGAGCTTTTACGTTTATTTGTATCATTTCCACCATCATATGCGTGGAAAAATTTCATTAAGTCATCAACTTTCATTTAATCAAGTTATTCATTATCATCATATTCACTACTGTATATAGAACTAGCCTTTAAGTCTTTATTTTTTAATGCTGATCTATTTTTTGGATCTATTGTTGTTTCTGAATTATCACATAATATATGATTAATTATATATTTAAATAATCGAATGACTTAAGTATCCTAAATTTAGAAAATTGATAAAATTACTTAAGAACTAATTTTGATCTCTTCTAAAGAACTTTTTGAATTGTCTTTTAAAAACTATTTAATAGCAAATAACATAATTGCTGCTATTTTAGATTTAGAAATATGTCCATTGAATGGTTCCAACAATGGAAATGCAATTGATTTGACTCCTAAGTTTGCTGCTAATTGTAGACAATTAATCATGCATTCATAAATGTTTTATCTCTCATGCGTCTATTATGAATCAATCATTTTATCAGTATATATATGAACTCCATCTATTTATTACCTAAGACCCTCTTATAAAGATTCTGTTGGTTAAAAATCAGTAGAACCATCAGTAGTAAATGAACTTTTCGGCATCATCATTGTAGTTTCACATCCACTTGATAGCACAGTGTATATAATATAATCAAAGTCCATCTTTTATTAATGTCTATATTTATACATCTCCTGCATGTGTATACACTACTTAACCTAATTCAAGTTTTCCACCTTCATTTAAACGTACTTATTTAAGTTCATTCATTACAGACTACCCTCCATATTTTCTATTTTAAATAATTATAGAATACTTAAGTAGATCCTCCATATTTTATCCCATTTTAAGTCTTGTGCTTACAATTAAAACAATTGTGTCGACATCTTCATTAAACAATAGCTTGCTATAACTTAAGTTAATTTGGCAACCAGCAAATGAAGCATGAGCTGCAATGTTAGGTTATAAACTCATTTTTGAGCTGCTTCCAAAATGATCAGAGCCGGAGCAACATAATGTTTTATTACCCATATTAATATAATTTAATAAAATAAATTTACAATTACTAAATAAAATCCTTATTTAAGATTAGATCAATATACATAATATTGAAAATTATCGTGAAGAATTAACAATTATTAATATTTTAAATTACTTATTATTAGTATATTTTTTAAATAGCTATTGAAGATTATTGTTATTTTATTGTAAATTTAATATATTGTTCAAAGAATACTCATTCTTTTTGATGCTCTTATATAGCAAAGAAACCATCTTCAACTAAATGATCTTAATATTCTTCTAAAGATTTCATTATTCTATTAATATATTACGATTTAAATACCTTTAACCTCTCATTCTATCAAGTCTGGTGTTTAAATCTTGAATTAATCTTTGCTATTCCGAGATTTATTAATCTTTAGAATTAATAGTCTCATCATTAGTTGCTTAGTCTCTTAATCTACTATTTTCTTCAATTAATTCGTTCATTCTTTTTAGCAAATCTGGATCGGATTACTAAAATATATAAAATAATTACATTAGCGATTGAATTGAAAAATATTAATTCTTTTAATTAAAGATTTCTTTCCATTACACCAATTAATTTTTCAGCTGCCATTTTTTTATGAATAAATTTGTACTGAGTTGGTTAAATTGAACTCTTCAACATTTATTCACCTAATTTCTAACATTGGGATGCAATTAAAACTAATTCAGTAAATCTAAATTTCAAATGTCTACGGAAAACTCTTTACAAAGTACTAAGAGCTACCTATTAACTATGTTTTAATATAATTGATTCCATTTAGGATTTCTACTAGGAATCTCGAACAGGGGTCTATTATAAGAAACTTGAATGTGATGGTTAGAATGAACTTGCATCAGTTATTCCTCTTCCAAAGTGTTCTATATTCGTAAATGCTCTTTATCTCACTCTATCGTATGCCTTCAACAAATTATTTATCAACTTCTTGCATTTTACTATTTACAAAGTATTCAAGCTGACAGCTTTTTATGTGGTTGCATTATCTCTCATTCTCCAAAAGGCTATTTATGGAGTAATTCTTGTGTTCTTTGCTATCATTTCGGCTACTCTCTAGAACCATTGATTTTAAAGTTTTGGTCCTCTCCAAATATCTAATGCTTCTTTCATTAATTCTCTATCTTGTTTCATATTGAATAAAAGTAGTTTTTAAATTGCATTAAATACTGAAATCATATTCTTCTTAACAGCTCTAATGTTCCATCTCTGGAAATATATTCTTAATTTTATTTAAGCAAAGTTTTGGAATAAAAGAATCGCCTCTCTTTTTAATCTAATCTCTCTTTCTTAAGCGGTTTCTTTTCTATTTGTTAAATTTGATGATAAACGTTTCCATTCTACAAAAGCTACATTTAATTAGTTCATTTTGTGTTAGTAGAATAATTAGATTGCAAGTTTCTTCTTATCTGAAATATCGAATGCTTCTGCTGCTCTGCTGAATTCAACAATTTTATACCATTTCAAGAATGCTTTCTTTTAAGCACTCATACAATTATACAACATTTTATTTATAGCATATTTTTATTTTGCTTATCCATCTAAATAAATATTATATAATTAATGGTATGTTGTCTTTCTAACCATTTGAATTTTGAATCTATTAAGTGATTTTTCAAATATGCTTGCCTTCATTTGCTCTAATTCCTTAGTTTCTGGTAGAGCTTTCCATTTTTAGAAGGAAACTTCTATCTACCCTACAAATGTGTGCAATAATTATATTTGTAATTTCTTTATTAAAGCTTGCTTCTATCTTTCCTTTGAAAACTTTCTCAAAACGTCTCGCAATTTGCCTTAATCATTTGTTCTTAAATTTCTATGGAGGGCAAATAGCAACAATCTTTTCTTTTCATCATCAAGTTAAGTTTAAATCTTAGCTTATTTAGCTGAATTATTCCAATGAACAAAAGCCCATCTTAAAACATTATTATAGTTCATTAACATTTTATTCAAAACACTTTCTTATTATTTATTTGGTTTAAATATAGTCTATATATGCCCTGCCAATGTGAAGGCAAGCGTCTAGAATAAATTGGTGGTATGTTTGCATGTTTCTATTGACTTATGTAATCTATTTATATCTCTCCAATATAAGAATAATCGTTTATTTTAACCCATAGCAAGAGTCATTAATTTTCTTAAACAAAATAATTTTTTGCTATTACCTTCTTAGAAAACATCCTTTAATGGTTCAAATGATGATTTTACTCGACCTCTAAAAAGTAAATCTAATGTTCTTTCAAATTTTCTTGCATTCTTCATTTATTCAGTATTGACTGGTTCAGGTAAGTTTTTCCATTTTTAGAATGCCTTAATAGCACCTCCGAATTAAGTTGCAAACAATTTAGCAAAGAATCTATCTTGAACTGCAGTAATGCTTGAATTTCTTCTGAATTTAGCGAGAATGGCTCTCAATCTTGCATAGTCATTATTCTTAGAGAAATTATTAATGGCTTCCAATAGCAATTTCTTTTTCTCATCAGTCATTGCCCCTTATAATTTTTCTAATTTTCCATCATTATACCATTTCATGAAGAAATATCTTAAATTACTATCAAAGTTTCCAATAAGTCTAAGCAATGCCTTTTCTTTCTTTTATGATTCTTCATCAGGTTTTAATGGAGCGATATTATTCTTGATATGTGAGCCTATAAATCCAAACAAACCAATGACACATTTGCATCTTTCTACTTCTTTAATTAAACCAACATTCTTATTCCATTAATCCAATACTCTTTATTATTCAGATTCTTATGTCTTGATCATCAATATGATTGCTCTCTTTTTCAAAGCTTGTGCATCATCATAAACTTCTTAAAGTGGATTCCAAGTTCTTTTCCTCCAAATATGAAGGGCAAATTTATTTAATTAGGCTTCAAACTTACTTGCTTTAATTAACTCTTCAGCATTAGCCTCAGGAATATTTTTCCATTTATTAAATGTATCCCAAACAGCTCCAATTTGGGTTCTTAATATTCTTGCATTAATTTAAAGAATCAATTTCTCCTTTTTATGGGCTAAAGAGAATTTAGCTAAAATTTATCTATATAATGCAAATTTATTTCCATTTTCAAATTAGACTAATTATTCAGTCAATTATTTTTTCTTCTCAACTGTTAAAGCATCTTCGAAGTTTTAATTCATTCTTTCTTATTGGGCTCTATTTCTCCACAAAAAGAATGCTCTACTTAAATTTTCTGCTTGACCTTAGAATATTAAATGTAAAGCTTTTTCTTTGGCTTAGGCTTCACGTGGATTTTACATTATTGGTTGAACGTTAGCAGTTACGATTTAAGCTAATCCCACAAATAATGCTGTAGTCAATCTACAAACTTCAATTTATTTAGCTTATCTATTTTATTGAGCCCAAAGTAAAAATAATCTTTTATGAGCACTCATACTCTTTTCAAATAATTTTCTTAAACACATTCTTTTAATGTTTAAAGCATCCATATAATCTTCTTTCAATGGATCAAATGAGACTTTTAAGTGAGTGTGGAAAAGTATGTCTAAAGTTCTTTCGAATTTTCTTGCATTCTTTAATTATTCAGTATTGACTGGTTCAGGTAAGTTTTTCCATTTTTAGAATGCCATAATAGCACCTCCGAATTAAGTTGCAAACAATTTAGCAAAGAATCTATCTTGAACTGCAGTAATGCTTGAATTTCTTCTGAATTTAGCGAGAATGGCTCTCAATCTTGCATAGTCATTATTCTTAGAGAAATTATTAATGGCTTCCAATAGCAATTTCTTTTTCTCATCAGTCATTGCCCCTTATAATTTTTCTAATTTTCCATCATTATACCATTTCATGAAGAAATATCTTAAATTACTATCAAAGTTTCCAATAAGTCTAAGCAATGCCTTTTCTTTCTTTTATGATTCTTCATCAGGTTTTAATGGAGCGATATTATTCTTGATATGTGAGCCTATAAATCCAAACAAACCAATGACACATTTGCATCTTTCTACTTCTTTAATTAAACCAACATTCTTATTCCATTAATCCAATACTCTTTATTATTCAGATTCTTATGTCTTGATCATCAATATGATTGCTCTCTTTTTCAAAGCTTGTGCATCATCATAAACTTCTTAAAGTGGATTCCAAGTTCTTTTCCTCCAAATATGAAGGGCAAATTTATTTAATTAGGCTTCAAACTTACTTGCTTTAATTAACTCTTCAGCATTAGCCTCAGGAATATTTTTCCATTTATTAAATGTATCCCAAACAGCTCCAATTTGGGTTCTTAATATTCTTGCATTAATTTAAAGAATCAATTTCTCCTTTTTATGGGCTAAAGAGAATTTAGCTAAAATTTATCTATATAATGCAAATTTATTTCCATTTTCAAATTAGACTAATTATTCAGTCAATTATTTTTTCTTCTCAACTGTTAAAGCATCTTCGAAGTTTTAATTCATTCTTTCTTATTGGGCTCTATTTCTCCACAAAAAGAATGCTCTACTTAAATTTTCTGCTTGACCTTAGAATATTAAATGTAAAGCTTTTTCTTTGGCTTAGGCTTCACGTGGATTTTACATTATTGGTTGAACGTTAGCAGTTACGATTTAAGCTAATCCCACAAATAATGCTGTAGTCAATCTACAAACTTCAATTTATTTAGCTTATCTATTTTATTGAGCCCAAAGTAAAAATAATCTTTTATGAGCACTCATACTCTTTTCAAATAATTTTCTTAAACACATTCTTTTAATGTTTAAAGCATCCATATAATCTTCTTTCAATGGATCAAATGAGACTTTTAAGTGAGTGTGGAAAAGTATGTCTAAAGTTCTTTCGAATTTTCTTGCATTCTTTAATTATTCAGTATTGACTGGTTCAGGTAAGTTTTTCCATTTTTAGAATGCCATAATAGCACCTCCGAATTAAGTTGCAAACAATTTAGCAAAGAATCTATCTTGAACTGCAGTAATGCTTGAATTTCTTCTGAATTTAGCGAGAATGGCTCTCAATCTTGCATAGTCATTATTCTTAGAGAAATTATTAATGGCTTCCAATAGCAATTTCTTTTTCTCATCAGTCATTGCCCCTTATAATTTTTCTAATTTTCCATCATTATACCATTTCATGAAGAAATATCTTAAATTACTATCAAAGTTTCCAATAAGTCTAAGCAATGCCTTTTCTTTCTTTTATGATTCTTCATCAGGTTTTAATGGAGCGATATTATTCTTGATATGTGAGCCTATAAATCCAAACAAACCAATGACACATTTGCATCTTTCTACTTCTTTAATTAAACCAACATTCTTATTCCATTAATCCAATACTCTTTATTATTCAGATTCTTATGTCTTGATCATCAATATGATTGCTCTCTTTTTCAAAGCTTGTGCATCATCATAAACTTCTTAAAGTGGATTCCAAGTTCTTTTCCTCCAAATATGAAGGGCAAATTTATTTAATTAGGCTTCAAACTTACTTGCTTTAATTAACTCTTCAGCATTAGCCTCAGGAATATTTTTCCATTTATTAAATGTATCCCAAACAGCTCCAATTTGGGTTCTTAATATTCTTGCATTAATTTAAAGAATCAATTTCTCCTTTTTATGGGCTAAAGAGAATTTAGCTAAAATTTATCTATATAATGCAAATTTATTTCCATTTTCAAATTAGACTAATTATTCAGTCAATTATTTTTTCTTCTCAACTGTTAAAGCATCTTCGAAGTTTTAATTCATTCTTTCTTATTGGGCTCTATTTCTCCACAAAAAGAATGCTCTACTTAAATTTTCTGCTTGACCTTAGAATATTAAATGTAAAGCTTTTTCTTTGGCTTAGGCTTCACGTGGATTTTACATTATTGGTTGAACGTTAGCAGTTACGATTTAAGCTAATCCCACAAATAATGCTGTAGTCAATCTACAAACTTCAATTTATTTAGCTTATCTATTTTATTGAGCCCAAAGTAAAAATAATCTTTTATGAGCACTCATACTCTTTTCAAATAATTTTCTTAAACACATTCTTTTAATGTTTAAAGCATCCATATAATCTTCTTTCAATGGATCAAATGAGACTTTTAAGTGAGTGTGGAAAAGTATGTCTAAAGTTCTTTCGAATTTTCTTGCATTCTTTAATTATTCAGTATTGACTGGTTCAGGTAAGTTTTTCCATTTTTAGAATGCCATAATAGCACCTCCGAATTAAGTTGCAAACAATTTAGCAAAGAATCTATCTTGAACTGCAGTAATGCTTGAATTTCTTCTGAATTTAGCGAGAATGGCTCTCAATCTTGCATAGTCATTATTCTTAGAGAAATTATTAATGGCTTCCAATAGCAATTTCTTTTTCTCATCAGTCATTGCCCCTTATAATTTTTCTAATTTTCCATCATTATACCATTTCATGAAGAAATATCTTAAATTACTATCAAAGTTTCCAATAAGTCTAAGCAATGCCTTTTCTTTCTTTTATGATTCTTCATCAGGTTTTAATGGAGCGATATTATTCTTGATATGTGAGCCTATAAATCCAAACAAACCAATGACACATTTGCATCTTTCTACTTCTTTAATTAAACCAACATTCTTATTCCATTAATCCAATACTCTTTATTATTCAGATTCTTATGTCTTGATCATCAATATGATTGCTCTCTTTTTCAAAGCTTGTGCATCATCATAAACTTCTTAAAGTGGATTCCAAGTTCTTTTCCTCCAAATATGAAGGGCAAATTTATTTAATTAGGCTTCAAACTTACTTGCTTTAATTAACTCTTCAGCATTAGCCTCAGGAATATTTTTCCATTTATTAAATGTATCCCAAACAGCTCCAATTTGGGTTCTTAATATTCTTGCATTAATTTAAAGAATCAATTTCTCCTTTTTATGGGCTAAAGAGAATTTAGCTAAAATTTATCTATATAATGCAAATTTATTTCCATTTTCAAATTAGACTAATTATTCAGTCAATTATTTTTTCTTCTCAACTGTTAAAGCATCTTCGAAGTTTTAATTCATTCTTTCTTATTGGGCTCTATTTCTCCACAAAAAGAATGCTCTACTTAAATTTTCTGCTTGACCTTAGAATATTAAATGTAAAGCTTTTTCTTTGGCTTAGGCTTCACGTGGATTTTACATTATTGGTTGAACGTTAGCAGTTACGATTTAAGCTAATCCCACAAATAATGCTGTAGTCAATCTACAAACTTCAATTTATTTAGCTTATCTATTTTATTGAGCCCAAAGTAAAAATAATCTTTTATGAGCACTCATACTCTTTTCAAATAATTTTCTTAAACACATTCTTTTAATGTTTAAAGCATCCATATAATCTTCTTTCAATGGATCAAATGAGACTTTTAAGTGAGTGTGGAAAAGTATGTCTAAAGTTCTTTCGAATTTTCTTGCATTCTTTAATTATTCAGTATTGACTGGTTCAGGTAAGTTTTTCCATTTTTAGAATGCCATAATAGCACCTCCGAATTAAGTTGCAAACAATTTAGCAAAGAATCTATCTTGAACTGCAGTAATGCTTGAATTTCTTCTGAATTTAGCGAGAATGGCTCTCAATCTTGCATAGTCATTATTCTTAGAGAAATTATTAATGGCTTCCAATAGCAATTTCTTTTTCTCATCAGTCATTGCCCCTTATAATTTTTCTAATTTTCCATCATTATACCATTTCATGAAGAAATATCTTAAATTACTATCAAAGTTTCCAATAAGTCTAAGCAATGCCTTTTCTTTCTTTTATGATTCTTCATCAGGTTTTAATGGAGCGATATTATTCTTGATATGTGATCCTAAAAATCCAAATAAGCTTATAACAACTTTGCATCTCTCTACTTCTTTAATTAATGAAACATTTTTATTCCATTAATCGAGGGTTCTTTATTATTCTGATTCTTAAGTCTTTATCATTAACAATACTGCTCTTTTTTTAATTGCCAAACCGTCATCATAAACTTCTTATAAAGGATTCCAAGTGTGTTTCTTCCAAATATGAATTACAAATTTACTCATAGATTTTTCAAAAATACTTACTTTAGCCCTAATATCATTATTATCTTCAGGCAATTACTTCCATCTATTGAATGATAGCCAAACCTAAGAAATTGTATTTCTGCTTATTATAGCAAGAGCTTTTCTTTTGAGATTATTTTCTATTGCATTTTAATTAAATCTTCTCAAAACTTCTGTTAGAGCAAAAAATTTAACTTTTGATCCTGCGTTTATCCATCCAATTAATTTTTGCTTGACAATTTAATCATTTAGGGTAACATTTAGTTATGAAAACTTATCAAACATTTTCATTTCCCAGGCTTTTCGATGCCATAATAAAAATGCTTTTTTCAAATCACTTTGTGTAATAGCAATCATTTTATTGATGCAAAATTTCTTTTTAGCTTATCCATCTAATAAGTTATTTTCTAATTAATCCCAAGAATTCAATTTTACAAATCTATAAGCAATTTTACCAAGTGAAATAGCAAATTTACTTACTTTAGCTTAATTTTTCAATGCATCATCTCCAGGTAAGGATTTCCATTTTAAAAATGATGATTCTACTTATCCTATTTAAGTTTGAAGAACTCTTAAATGAATTTTCTTTATCATCTAATTTACTTGTTATTCATTATAAAAGAGTCTGAGAATTCTTCTTAATCTATTTAAGTTATCATTTTTTATGAATCTCTACAGATTGATTAACATAAACTTTTTTTTCTCATCTCCCAATTGTTCTGATATTTTTTATTATTTATTATAATTTTTCCATTTTAAGAATGCTATCATCAAATTATTTGTAAATGAAGACATTAATTTAACCAAGCATCTTTCCTTAGCTTCTGCGTCTTTTCTTGTGTATAAAAAGGATTTAATATTACTTTTTAGCACATCCTATAATGAATCAAAAAAGTTATTGGTTTTTTAACAAGCTATTACAGATTTATAAATTTTATTCATAGATTACCATTGACGTAGAAATCTTTATGGAGCACTTAATTATTTGACTAACATTTATTTAATACACAGTCTTTTAGATTAGATACCTTAATAATAAACTTCTTTTAAAGGATCAAATGATTGTTTTACTCTTTGTTTAAAGAGAAATTGGAGTCTTAACTAGAATTTTGAAACATTTTGTAGCATTTATTAATTAGATGGATCAGGCAACTATTTCCACCTACGAAAAGCATCCATAGCCATTCCACTTGTAGTTAAAATAATTCTACCAAAGTATTTATTTTTAATTTCCTATTATTCTCTCATTATTGCAAATTTTCTTAACACTTATCTTAACAAACCTTTTTCTGTTTTATTTGCTGTATCCCCTAATCTAGAGATAATTTCTTGTTTGTTTATGTTATCTAATTTCTCTTACATTTTTTTTTACATAGATACGTTTTCAATTTATCTCAAAGCATCCATTTTTTATCTCTATTAAATTTTTAAGATCAACTTATTTAGAAATTAACATATTTCAGCCTTTTTACTCAATCCAAATAATTTAAAAGTTTCAAATTTTACTAATTATTAAGTTACATTAGCACTAGCTTATAGAGCTTTAATTTTTCTTAAGTTTGTTTCAGTTAATTTGGCATAGGTATTATAATTTGCCCATTTATAGAAGGCTGTATATGATTGATTAAAAGTAACTTCAATTAATTCTCTTATAACTTTTGTCTTCTTATTTTTAGCATCATCGTCAATAGCCTTAAAGGAATTCCAAACCAATCGTTTATTCTAATCTGCTTTATTTGTTAATTTAGTTATCAATAACATGCCTTACTTTTTCATGTCATTTTCTCTTTTATCAGGCAAATCAACCCATCTTGTATAGCATCTCTATAATCTGCCAAATGTAGTTTTTAACAGTACAGAGAAAAACTTTTTTTTGAGTCTAAAATTCATTAAATCACCTCTCCATTTTTCAAAAGCCTAATTATAATCTAAAATATTTCATACCTCTTTCAATCTTTATCTATCTAGTCTATCATTTCTCATATTGTATTCATCTCCTAATCTTTCAAGAGCTTTCAATTATTTTTACAATTTATCTGATTTTACCTTAGAATAAAGTCTCCACCAATTGAATTTCTCTCTTAAATATCTCTCTCTATGTTTAGAACTGATGCTCCATAAAAGCAAACCCAACATTTTGTCAGAGTCTTAATTTTTTGGTTTCAAAGCAGCTACTGCTGCAGTTTTTAATTAAAAGTCTTTCTTTTATAGGAAAAGTGCCAAATTCATTAAACACATATTTTTTCTTTTTTTAGCATTCATTTTTTTTTGAAGATCTTTTTAACTAAAATTCAATATAAATTTTATACCCTAAGAGATTTTTCAACTTGTGAAAGGCATTGAATTCATTTAATCTAGAGTTGAGAAGAATTTAATCAACAGCTTTCTTAACGATTTCAGGATCGGCTCGTATTTTCCATCTTACTGATAATTTATGATTATACCTCAAAAATGCCTCATGGAGAGAGGTATGACTTTCATATCTCAATAGCTAAGACACAATCTTTCCTTTAATTTTTTTGGATATCCTAGAGACATCTATTTTTTTCTCGATCATCGCCGCTCTCATTCTATTCGAATTATTAAAGAAAAAAATACCTAAGCATAGCTCTGTGGAGATTGTGTTGCGCATGCAAATTTCCGATATTGAATATGTGACTAAGTAATTTACGATTCTCCTGTAACAATTCCAATTTTTAAGGAGTCAACACATTTTTTTATTATTATTTGTTCTTCTGCCTATAAAATATCAGATATTAGCTTACAATTAACCGGGTGGCATATTTAGAAGAATGAAAATAAATTATATTAATAATATAGATTTAAATAGATACTTTTTTTCGTTTTATTTCCATACAAATAATAAATAAATAAAATATCTCATCATAATAAATATTTTTGAAAATACTTTCAGAACATTACCATTCAGCTTTTGTTTAGTTAATTTAAGAATTTCTAGATGATTAGTTTATTCTTATAGTACGCTTATAACATTATTTTTTATTTGATGATTAACTAATAACTTGAATAATTTTAAATCATTAATGAATAATATATAGATTTCTGTATGTAAAATGCAATCAGGAATACTTATGTACAAAGTAAACAGCTGGAATTGAGAGGTAATCCAAAAATTCAAAACATTTTCTCGTTTTGAAATCAGAATATCTATCATATTAAAATTTCAATTTAATTTATTATTGAAACAATCTTTAAAATTGATAAATACTCAAAAGGAAATTATTGAAGAATTTATTAATTTTCTCTTCCTAATCTAAAAACCAAGAATACTTACTCTATTAAATGTATTCTTATATATTTTCATAATTTAAGTAGTTATCTTTAGTTTATCAATTTAATTATTATATATCTATAGTTGAAAAATAATCTAATTTCTTTAAAGTTTTGAAATACTCCACTTATTCCTGCTTATAATGCTGATAAGAATATTTTATTGATTATAAATATATAGAACATATTATAATTATTTTCCAACAAAATAATTCAATTTTTTTGTAGTAAAATGAGCAAAATTTATATTGCTTACTACTTATCAATGTTTTATGAATAAAAATTATTTAGTTTTTATCATGTAAAGTTAATTGTTGCTAAATAATTATAAACCTGATATTTTTATAAAAAAAGAATCGTGAATAGAAAAAGAGATCAGCTTTCTTCTTTATTTCACTTTTTATTTAGAAGCTTATTATAGCAACAATTCAGATTAAAAATTATGGATCTAGTTTGAATTTAAAAGATAAGAAAAGACCCTATTGAATAGTTGAAAATATGAGGTTTACATGAACATATAAATAGTATTTAGTTATTTAAAATAAATTTTATATTTGAACTTATTGATAAAACAAGCTGGAAAATACTTATTTTTTATGGTAAAAGTGGTTAAATTTCCATTTAGCAGATATGACTCACCAATATTTTTAGGACCAGACATACATGCTTCTTATTTGATTTAAAATTTTAGATATATAATTTGCATTAATTAATTAAAGAAATATTGATGAGATATGATAATAATAAAATAGTTGAAGGTGATCAACAATATAAAATTATTGATAATTTTGGTAATTCTTAATGTAAATATAATATCTAAAGAAAGGATGGAATCTTAGTAATTATCTATTGTGAAAATTTTAATTTAGATACCTTATATTTTAGGAGTAAATCAATAGCCTGAGTATGAATCCTAGTATATGTTTTAGCAATCCAAAATTTCAAATTGATGTTTCTCTATAAGGTATAAAAAATTGCTCTTTTGAGGATAAGGTATAATCTGAACCTGGTTTAGTTATTGAAGATTCTGATATATAAATATTATTCCTAGGATTACCTATCAAAGATAAAGAACTATTATATAAAAGAGGATGATTAAAGAGAGGTAATAAAGTACTTGGCTTTCTATTAAGGATTATATACTTGTGTACTCTGTGTATAAATATGGTTGAGGAGGATTTACTAAATTCATTAAATATAGAATATATTGATTTTCTTTTCCCATTTGTAATCTAAATGACAGTGAACACTAAAAGATTCCTATAAAATGATAAAAAATTTAGGATTTTATTCATTTAATTAATACTCGATTTTATTATTAAGAAGAGTTCGATGTTTCTGAATTTTAGAAGAACTTTTTAACTCCCTCTCAAAATCTGTTGGAATCTTTATTCAGCTTTGTTTAAATCATAATTTTTTAACTTGACTATTGAATTATGGAATCTAAGATATTTTCTTTATTACAGCATATTTTCTAAATTTTTTTCAAGAAGAATTAAAATTAATATCAAATATGAACTTATTAGAAATTAAATTAATCATAATAAACAGAGATATTTAGTAAAAATATTTCTTTTTTTAAGTTTCTTTAATTANGTAGTAAAATGAGCAAAATTTATATTGCTTACTACTTATCAATGTTTTATGAATAAAAATTATTTAGTTTTTATCATGTAAAGTTAATTGTTGCTAAATAATTATAAACCTGATATTTTTATAAAAAAAGAATCGTGAATAGAAAAAGAGATCAGCTTTCTTCTTTATTTCACTTTTTATTTAGAAGCTTATTATAGCAACAATTCAGATTAAAAATTATGGATCTAGTTTGAATTTAAAAGATAAGAAAAGACCCTATTGAATAGTTGAAAATATGAGGTTTACATGAACATATAAATAGTATTTAGTTATTTAAAATAAATTTTATATTTGAACTTATTGATAAAACAAGCTGGAAAATACTTATTTTTTATGGTAAAAGTGGTTAAATTTCCATTTAGCAGATATGACTCACCAATATTTTTAGGACCAGACATACATGCTTCTTATTTGATTTAAAATTTTAGATATATAATTTGCATTAATTAATTAAAGAAATATTGATGAGATATGATAATAATAAAATAGTTGAAGGTGATCAACAATATAAAATTATTGATAATTTTGGTAATTCTTAATGTAAATATAATATCTAAAGAAAGGATGGAATCTTAGTAATTATCTATTGTGAAAATTTTAATTTAGATACCTTATATTTTAGGAGTAAATCAATAGCCTGAGTATGAATCCTAGTATATGTTTTAGCAATCCAAAATTTCAAATTGATGTTTCTCTATAAGGTATAAAAAATTGCTCTTTTGAGGATAAGGTATAATCTGAACCTGGTTTAGTTATTGAAGATTCTGATATATAAATATTATTCCTAGGATTACCTATCAAAGATAAAGAACTATTATATAAAAGAGGATGATTAAAGAGAGGTAATAAAGTACTTGGCTTTCTATTAAGGATTATATACTTGTGTACTCTGTGTATAAATATGGTTGAGGAGGATTTACTAAATTCATTAAATATAGAATATATTGATTTTCTTTTCCCATTTGTAATCTAAATGACAGTGAACACTAAAAGATTCCTATAAAATGATAAAAAATTTAGGATTTTATTCATTTAATTAATACTCGATTTTATTATTAAGAAGAGTTCGATGTTTCTGAATTTTAGAAGAACTTTTTAACTCCCTCTCAAAATCTGTTGGAATCTTTATTCAGCTTTGTTTAAATCATAATTTTTTAACTTGACTATTGAATTATGGAATCTAAGATATTTTCTTTATTACAGCATATTTTCTAAATTTTTTTCAAGAAGAATTAAAATTAATATCAAATATGAACTTATTAGAAATTAAATTAATCATAATAAACAGAGATATTTAGTAAAAATATTTCTTTTTTTAAGTTTCTTTAATTATTAATTTTTTAGTTCTAGATCTTAAAATATATTTAAGTTATATTGATTTCCATTAAATTTTTACTAATCTATTTTAGAAAAACCCATTTATATTTGAATATTTATAATAATATTGATAAATAAATCATTATGATTGCTCCTATTACTTGATCGATTTAAAGTATTCATTACACACTTATAAGCCCTAAGTAAGTCTGTTTTCAATAATTTGTGAAGATTTCTTAGAATTTGATCTTCTTGTATCGTCAATATGCTTTTTTGTTTTTTATGCATAAGTACAATCATCAAATAACAATTATACATCTTAATATTATTCCTAAAATAATAGAACAAGATTAAAACCTTAATTGAGTTACTAGAGGATATTTTAATATTGACATTTAATTTTCTTGGTTCTCCTCTATCTATCATGACTTCTACATCTTTTATTTTAGCATGATATATAATGTGTGCCCATTCCTTTTTAACTATTTATGTTTCCATTATGATAAAGTTTTCATCATCTTCCATCCAAAAACTAATTTATGGTTTTATAATACCATTCTCCTGAAGTGCAAGGTTAAAGTTTATCTTTAATTGTCTTAGCTGAAATCCTACATGATAATAATTAACAACCATCAGGAGGTTCATAATTCTACCCAATAATCCAAGAGTTTGTAATATTAATTTTTTATAAGACTTATAAATTTCGATTTTAATTAATTTTCTCCTGACTAATTATCTAAAAGCTAAGGATACTAATATATTAATTACAAAACAAGATCAATCATAAAAAAAATCGCTAAGTCCTTGATTGCAACCTCTTTTAATCCAACAGGCTATCTGTACATTAAATCTACATTAGCATCATGTTTGTCTATAATAGGAGAGAATGCTAAATAATCTAGGTTAGGTTTTAAAATTTTTAGATTTTAGCTATTTTATTATTAAATATAACTTACTTGTATTTGTTATAGATTATTTCATATTAGGAAACAATTACTTCATGATATTAATTTTACTTAATCATCTAATTCATTTTAATAATTGTATAATGATATACTTCATATAATTTATTAATTGTTTCTCTTTCTAATATAAGTTTATCTAAATTGATAAAATGAATAATTATTTAGCATGTTAAAATAATAGTGCATAATCTAAGTGATGGATCAATTAAAAATATATCTAATAATTAATATATTATTTGATTTCTTTCTTTCATAATGATATTAGTGTTTGCCTCTTAAAATAAACAAATTCTTAATATGTCTTTTTCTTTAAACAATAAAACTGATTTTATTAAATTTAATAATAAAAAAAGTAAATTATCGTCTTTTGTTTGTAAATAAATCATTAAATTTGTTCTAATTTTATTTGGAGACATCTCTTCTTATCCATTATTTAATAGTAATTATTTGCAATAAAATAATACATGATCGTTATCAGTAATACCTAAAGCTTTATTTATTGTTTCAATTTCTTTATCACAAGCTTCTTCCTTTAATGCATATGATTGAATGTCAAATAATTGATTTGCTTAACTTACTAATACATCTTAATGTTAATCCCAAAAATTTCTAAAACTCCATGAATATAAATAAGATCTAGGTTATCCTATGTTAAATTCTAGTAAATGACATAGTTTCTTTTGTAATGATGGACTAAATAATAACAAAATAATATTTTTTGATAAATTAGTTGTGTTAAAATTATTTATTAAATGATTTGTAAGATGTAATGTAAAAGAAATAGATAAAGTTTCTTTTTTCTAAAATAATATGCCTCCTAACATTGCTGGAATTATTGTATAAGTTAATAATGAATTATCTAAAATCTAATATTTTTAATATAAATTAATATACATGTGAAATTTCTGGACAAAATGCATAAATATCATTAAGAAAATAAAATACATCTACTAAGTCATCCATTTTCTCTTTGACATCAACATTACCTTCTAAAACTTCTTTATTTGCCTCAAGCCATACATGTTTCAAATAACAAGAGAAGTGAACGAAAAATAATATAAATGGAAATCTTGTCAAATATTTTTTAAGTACAGGATTTTATACTAAATTATCTAAGATATATATATACTTTTCATAATTCCAAGTATTATAGTTCGTACAGCAGTTCTAACCATTATTTCTTTATGATTATAAAACTTTGTTGCTTACCACAATAATGGAAACAAACTCATTCTTTAGTTGAAAAATAATTGTACATTATCTTCATCTATTCTTAATGCTAAACTTTTTAATAATGATATATAATAGTCCACAATTTCTTCATCAGTGAAATCATAATTATACATTATTAAATCCTAAATGACAGGATGAGAAAGAAGATAATTAACATTTTCTTTATTTGTCAAATTAGCTCTAATTGATAGGATTAATAAATTACAATAAAATTGCAAAACTTTAAATTATTCCAATTATTATTTCTTTGAAGCTTGATCTTATCATAATCTTTAATAATTTATCAGCAATGTTTTCTTCAAAAAAATAACTAGTTTTATTAAATAGAATTACTCAAAAAAATCTGAATTGTTTTAATCTCCCCAAATTGAAAATTCGCAAATTAATTCCACTTTTTCACAAATTAACTATTTACTTTTGTTGTCTATTATATTTGAATATTAAAGCAATTCTTGATAATGTTACTTATATTATTCTAATGTGTAATCAGAAGAGCCATTCTACTTTTTATTCGCCTTGTTCATTAGAAATAAAATAAATATTTATATAAATATATTAATAATTATTCCATATCAATTTGATATATTCTTTAGAATACTTTTTACTCTTTTTTTCTCAATAGAACTTTGCTTTAAGTATTTTTTTTACATTTCTATTCATTCACTAAAACTTTCCATCCCTAAAACTAAAACCATTAAATATTTTTGAGATTCTTATTCATCTTTAATTTATCTATTTATAATTAAAAGATTTTATCAATTTCTCTCTAGTTTAATCATCTTAGAAGTTCAGCTTCAATGTTAATATGATGAAATAAGTAAAATCCTAATAATTATCTTCATTATTAAGTTCTTTTAATATTTCTATTAATCATATTTAAAATTGAAAATAACAAAATACCATTTTGATAAGATGATAAATATTCAATTTTATATTAATTGTATTTTTAAACATTATTGATTAATGTAATTTTGCTTTAATGAATCATTAAATTATCGTAATTTGATACATTTTTACTATTCGATTTTTCTATTATTTTATAGAATGCTTCATAGCTTTACCTATAATTAATTTTCTTTTATAATGATAACATATTTATTAATTTAATAACTATATTAGCATTATCATAAAGTTTTATTATAATTCCTTTTGCTATTGAGAAAATTAATATCATAAAGTATAGTACCCAGATTAGAATGGGCTTTAACTTTAATCAATATCTCTTTAATAGATGGGGTGATATTAAAATTAAAAAATATAGATTAATTATTTTTATGAAATAAATAATGTAGGTTCAATTAATCATTTCAGTTTTACGTTTTCAATTTTAATTGACTCAGAATTAGCCTTAACTAAAATTGAATACTATTATCTAATGTTAATGTGAATACATCATAAATATATATAATATTATTTATTATCAAAATGAATGAAGAAATCGATCATCATTTAGAGATGCAAGAGACTAATGCTATGCTGCTTTAGTAATTTGAAAAAGAGATGGAACTGCAAGAACCAGAAACTCCAAATAAATACTCAGATCATTCAGACCCACCTTCTCCTAAAAAATAATCTAAGAAAAAAGAAAGAATGGTTGAAAGATTATTAACTAATAGAGCAAAATTCAATGACAGAACAGCATTATTTAATTTAATCAATACTTTACAATTGGTAAAGGATTCAATTAAGTTTTAGGCTATAACATTATATAATCTAAGTTCAATTATTAATATAGAAGGATAAACAAATTTAAAATTTTATGATTCTAATACAATTTATAGCTTTTATGTTTGGAATAAGCAAGGATTCACAGTTTATTATCTGATTATCATTTTAATAATGGTTCATATTTTAAAATTATTAACATGTTTGGTTGGTACTAATTAAAAATATCAAATAAGGTTATTTTTGTGTTGTATAAAAAAGTGAAAAATTGTTATCTATCTTTATGATGTTAACATTTACTTGTGTTATAACTAGAGGCATAATAACTATATTATTACTAATTGATTATAATTAAATAGAACTTATCTAATCTTATATATATGGAGATTCTGATAAAGTAGCATAATCCTAAGCTGTATAATTTACTATAGTTTTGATTCTATTTGTTGCAGTTGAAATTATAATGGGTTTATAAAGTCTTTTATTAGCAGGGTAAGCTAAGAAAAAATATAAATGTAAAATAATTTATTGATATTTATTAAGCAATGCGAATAAATGAAAAGAAAATTTCTTCTCATTACTCAATGGCATACTAGATTATGTTAAGATAATTTGTAATTTGATTTGTAGAATAAATATATATAGAATGATATTATAGTTTAAATTCATATTAATTCTCAAATAGAATTAAAGTTTAGATGCTTATATATTTAATTTTTATACTTATTATAAATTTGTAGAATATTAAGTATGGACATTAAAAATAATAATAATTTTAATATCTTAATATATCATTAAATTTTATTAATTTTGTTTTTATTAGAACTATCAAAAATTTTATTTTGATCTGAATTTGATACAATATTCTATTTTTAACAAGATTGTATAGGAAAATTATGAGGTTTTGATATGCTTGGTTCTTATTTCTTTGAAAATTAAGAATTTTTTCCATTTTTTTTTGTATATTTGATAATATAATTGGTGTTATTTATATTGTAAAATTAAAAGGTGTTGCTAGTATCAATTTGAGTGTTGTTTATAAAAAAATCACAATTTTCAAGACCTAAACATAAAACAGAGTCTTTAATACAATAATCTTCATATACATCATCAGTAAGTATTATTTAGTTTTAATCTTAAAATTGAATTTAAAATTTATTTATTATGAATATTTCTATTTAGTTTTTTTTATTCATCTCTAATTCTCTAGATATATACTGATCATCATTTAGATCAACTTGATTTGATTTAATTTAAATTCTTGCCTAATCATTCTTTTTTATATAATCTTTCGATATTTTTTCACGTAACCACTTAACAGTACTATCTTTTGAGGTTTACAATTTTATTTTTTCTTAAATTGGATAAATCAATATTTCAAAAGTAATATAATCTACTTTTTTGAATTCAAACAATATATTCAAAGATTAAATTTCAAGATCCATAATTGATTTATATTAAATAGAAGAATCATTCACAAATATTGAGTACTCTTTAGGTATTTAATATTATTGTATAATATCTTTCTCTATTTATTTTAAAGTGTTAGTTATTGAAACATATTAGGTAAATTCTTGATTTAAATATTTGAATCGTAACTTTTAGGTTTCTTTATAACTTTCAATATTTTTCATTATTGAACCTTTTTTTTATATTATAAACTCTATTTTTAATTCAGTTTCCTTATCCTAAAGCAAATTTGAAAGAAAAGTATTATCATTAATTTACTTTTCTTATAAAAAATATTAAATATAAAATTTATCTATTTTATTTGATGGAATTAAGATCCTATCTAAATAATTAATTTGTAATGAGGGATTTAAAGTTATAGTCTTAATTTAAGATGAATTTCTTTTATTTATTAGTATAATATTTAAAATAGAATTATTATTCAATTAGTTATTGTAGATTTCTTTAATTTTTTAATTAGACTTATTTGAAGTATTAATATGTTAATTGGTAATTATAATTGTACTATTATTTAATATCATTTCATCTATAATCAAAGCTTAATGAATTAATGTCATTTATCCATACTATAAATCAAAATCGATATCTTCATTTAAATTGAATTCACTTTTGATTAAGTCACATAAACTACTTACTTTTTCTTAAGAATTAATTTTAATCGTCTTTGATCTTCCATCATTCAATTTAATCAAATATTATGGTTCATTTATTATTTCTATTTGAAAATCATAAATATTAGGATATAATTGATATAGTTCCAGATCATAATCAATAATTTTATTTAAGTATTAGAATTATATAATTTCATTTATTGATCTTTTCCCTCTTATATAAGTGATTATTTTATGAACCTTCCAAGTAGATGGTATATACTCTTAAAACCGTAAATTTTTGAATGTAAAACTTGCAGGTAATAAAATTTAGATATCAACATGACTATTATTTGTTATTCCTGTTTCAAACCAAGTATTTTGTAATTTATAAGGTCCTTTATTGCATAAAAAATTGATTTCATATTTTTAATATGATTTTTTAAATTTCGATTTGATTATATTCTCCTAATTTCTTATTTATTCGATGTAGTCAACTTGTAGAGTAAAATTTTGATAATCACAAACACAATTGATCTATAATAATTAAGAATAATAAAAATAAAGTTCATCTTACTACCTTATTCCTTATGCTTGGATTGACTTATTTAAATCAAGTTCTTTATTTTCGAACATTAATTTAGTTTTCATGGTTAAATATGAATTTTAAGGTAATAATTTCTAATAAATTGAACGGCAAATTAAATAAGGAGTTGAGTATTGGTCTTAATCAATTTATTAAATTTGATTTAATTGTGGGATTACAATTTTTAAGTAATTCATGATTGAGTTTAATAATAGAAAGATTAATATTGATTAATTAAAATATATAAAAATAACTATATGTAGAAATATAATATTATAATAAGATGATAAGTGGATCAGCCAATCTTGATGGAGAATTTTAGATAAAAATGCTAATAAATCATATCAATTCGATTCAGGAAAATGCAAATATATAACATTCTGTTTATATTAATATTGAAGAACAATAAAATGTCATTATAATTTGATAGGAAAGATAGTTTCAATTTAAACATCAAGTTGATTCTAGGAAATAAGTTTTTTATATAATATTTGAATTTATAAAGGAGTCTTATTGTTCAAAAACAAAATATTGAATTTAGAATTTGATAAATTCCAAATTTATTTACTTTATCTAAGTCTTTTATTCATAGTGAAGATGAGAAAATAAAAATGATGAAGATTTTATATCTATCTTATTTACTATTGATTGATTAATAGAAAATGATTGAAATTATGTACAATTTTATATAATTTTAGACATTTTTATACATTCTATCTTTTTAAATTGAATAATTTTTAATGATTTAGTATATCTCATTGTAAACTATATTTTAAACTAATTCAAATTTATTTATATATTATGAATTGTATTATTTTAGAAATATACTTAGATATTTATTAAAAGGAATATCTCAACAATTTGAAATGAGTTTAATAAATCTTAACTTTTTTAATAATATTTATTGTGTTGTATAATTATAATCTAGGATTTTTCCAATTAATGAAAAAGATGTTGAATATACACCGATTACATTGAATTTCTGATTACTAATTCATATTCAATAAAAATCTCTATTATAAAATTAATTGAATTTGATGAATCTATAACTTTACAACATTTTTATGGATATCTCTTTTTTTACTGTTTTTTATTATTTTATATGTCTTCTAATAAAAATATAGAGTAATCTCCAGAAACCCAGAGTATAAGAAATTCAATTCGACATTAGTCCTTATATTAGAGTGTACAAGAATTCTCTGGATACAAAGAAAAAATGTAAGATCTAATGTTACCAAATGTTGAATTTATAGATCCATCAAATTTTAAGAAATAAAATGAATGCATAGTTTGTAGCATAGAATTTACTTAGACTAATAGATAGCATCATTGTAGGTAATAATATTGATATTGCAATTTTAGAATGTGTGGAAATTCATGTTGTGGCGTATGTTCATAAAAAACAATAAATAAGAATAGGGTTTGTGATATTTGTTATATGAAAGCATCTTAAATAACTGCTGAAAAAAAGAGGACAAAATTTTTACAAACCTTAAAGGAATCTGCCAAAAAATTAAGAAAACATATAGAATAAGCAGAAAAGAAAAAATAAGATTTGAAAGAAGAAAGAGATGCTTAATCGGATAAATCACAGATTGACTTAAGAGTAATAGAAAAAGAGACAGAGGATTATCGATTGAAGTATTCATAAAAAACTTAAGATAAATGTTAATATGAACAAGAGGTTGAAGAAATTAAAAAAAAAATATTAGAACTTAACTCTCTTAAAGAATAAATTTAGTAAGAGTTTTAAGAAAAAGAATAAGAAATAAGAGCTTATGATACTAATTTATATCTAAGGGATCAAGAATTAAATGATAAAAAGACTTAGTTACAAAGATTAAGATAATAAAAAGAAGAATTAGAAAATATGTCCAATAAAATTGAATAAAATCCAGAATTAGTTGAAGAAATAAGTATTCCAGAGCCTATTTAACAAATATAAAAAGAGTAACAATAATAATAATGGTACAACACGAATATTGATATTGATGAAATTATGTATGGAAATAGTGATAATTCTAAGGATTCAACAACTTTAATTAAACAAGAATTACCTCAAAAATAGCTTAAAAAATAAAATCCTAATACACCAAGTCAAACAAAGGAAAATAATGAAGATGAAAATGAAGATAAATATAAATGTATTATTTTCTGATTTACAATATTAAGTGATTATCACTAACTATCTAATAATTATTATATCATGCCTAATGATTTTTAAATTTAGTCTTTGGCATTTTAATATTTTTTAAAATCTATTTCTGAAATAGCTTATTATAAGACACTTTTAACTTAGTTTCTCGTTTATGATTATTCAATAGGTGTTAATTTATTTATTTATGTCACTCCTTATTATGCTAAAATAATTATAAAAACATTACTTTAAGGTTGCTATTTTGATTATATTTCTTATTAATTTATTGATTAAGGTTATTAAGGTATTTATGATTATTATGGTATATAGGGTTATGATGGTTATTATGGTTGTTAAGGCTAATATGGCTATTATGGTTATTATGGTTATTATTATTATTTTAACTATTATTATTATTATTATTATTATAACAAGAGTTATTATTATTATTATTATTACTACTACTATTATTATTATTATTATTGTTATTATTATTACTATTATGGCAAATTTTAGGGAGTTTATATTTAAGGAGCTACAGGTTTTACAGTCTATAATGGTTGTTAATTAATTGCTTATTTATCTTAATATTGTTATTATTATTATTGAATTTAATTCTACTATTGATGTTGTGACTTTTAAATTTATTATTAGGCAATTTATTCAAGTTCTTCTTCAATGGGATCTTTGGGTTTTGGTTTAATCAAGGATGGATCCTTAATTTTTTTATGTTATTCCACCATCTTAAATTTTGCATACTTTTCTATAAACATTAAAGTTAAAATTACGCTTTTCTTATTAATCTTAAGTTAGTGGTTCAAAGTATTGAAGTACTTCAATGGACTTTTGAACTGACCCAAACATATGCAAGAGTTCTTAGGAAACCTCTCCATCCCTTTCTCTAGTGTCTGCATCATAGAAGAACTTGTAAACAAACTCTGTATAATGCTTTTTGTTCTCTTCTTTATTTTATAATTAAGGATTCTAAGCTTTTAGACCCTCCAACTCATTTATTAATTATTAGAGCATTTATAAGTAATTCTTTAGAAAAATTTAATTAGAATTAATACCTATTGTTGAGTTTTTTTGTAGAGTGCATGTAATTTTTATGCAACATAGGCTTTTGTAATATATCCAAAAGTGATATTAAAACTACTAAGTTGTTAAGAGTGCTGGATTAGGGCTTATATTTGTTTGAATTCTGGATTTTATTGCATGAATAAATAATTAATATATATATTAATATGTATTAAGGGGAAATAGTAATAATAATTTTAAAAAAGAAATGGATGAAGATTAAAAAGAATAAAGTAATGAGATTTAAATGAAACGGGCAGATTCTTAGTCAGGAGTACTAGATATGTAACCACCTTAGATAGGTGTAGAATAAACAGCTTAGCAAGTACAGGAGGCGGATTAGGAAGATGATGATTGTAAGTTTGATTTTCTATTTTTAAATTAGAAGTTGTATAGACTTAAGTTGTGTAGGGAGATCAATAGGTAGTTTAAAAGAATGGAACTTAGAATGGAGCCCAGAATGGAATGAATTCTCAATCTAATATTCATTAATCAGCAATAATAAATAAACATGTTTAGGACATGTTGGATTAATCAGTTTATTAAGTTCCAGGGTAAATTGAAGAAGATTAAGCAAAGGAGGAACCAGCTAATCCTATATTAGATTTATTAGCTGAAGATTACTACCCTCCAAATGATTGGCAGGCAGAAAATTAAGAATAGATACAACCTTTGATTCATCCTGACACAATTTAATTCCATGATTGCTTTGGAATGGATTCAAATAAGAAAAGCAATTTATGGTTGATAGATTCATAAACTTTTGTGTATGCAAGTAGTATCAGTTACCATTTTTATAATTTTGTATAAGGAACAAATGAGATATTTTTCAGTAGAGATGGAGGTGGTATTGGAAGTGTAGCAGTCCATCCATCAAGAAAATATTATTCAGTGGCAGAGAAAGGAACATTTCCTAATGTTTACATTTATGATGTGACTCATAGATTGTATAGAATATTAATGAAGGGAACTGAAAGATCATATTCAAATTCAAGTTTTTCTAAGGATGGAGATAAATTTGCAACTGTAGGTTCTTCTCCTGATTATTAAATCTGTATTTGGGATTGGAGATAAGAGAAGATTTTATTGAAGGCTAAAGCATTTTCATAAGAAGTTTATAAAGTAGGATTTTCTGAATATAATGTGAATTAATTGTCTACAAGTGGTATGGGTCATATTAAATTTTGGAAGGTGGCAGAAACATTTACAGGACTTAAATTAAAAGGTGAAATTGCAAAGTTTGGTTAAGTTGAATTATCAGATGTGTATGCTTTTTACCCATTTCCTGATGGTAAAGTATTGAGTGGAACTGAATATGGTCGTTTAATTTTATGGGAAGGTAATGTAATAAAAGTGGTTATTGGAATTTCTGAAGAGGAACCATGTCATAAAGGAGCTATTGAATCTATATTTTTATATAAGGATTGTATAATAAGTGGTGGAAAAGATGGATTTCTACGATCTTGGAAATTAACAGAATTGGATCAAGCTGAAGGAGATGATTAACTCAATTATTTTACTTAACCTTTAAAATCATTAGAATTGGTTGATGATGGAGAAAATGCATAAATAATTTAAGTAGTTACTGATGAGCATTTTTGGTTAGTTGGTGATTAAGGAGGTAGAGTTTGGAGAGTTGATTGGGAAACAGGAAAGAAGGAAATAGTATATAGAAACAATTCTGGTGCCTATTTGGATCTTGCACCTTCTCCTTAATTAAATGCTGCAATAACTGTTGGTGATGATGGAGCAATTACATTGTGGGATTATGTTAAGAGTGAATAAACATACAAACGTAAATTTGCTAAGAAAGCTACTTGTATCTAATGGATGCCATTTACTATGACTAATAAAGGTAGGGTAATTGTTGTTGGATATAGTAATGGTATTGTTAGATTTTTATTACTCAATTAGGATAATTTTATTTTATTAAATGTTTAAAAAGTACATCCAAATCCTATTTAAAAAATAATTGTAGCTAGTAATACAAATTATGTAGCTGTTTTATCAACAAAAGGTGAGATCTTCTTTCTTAAATATTCTGATTCCAATATTCAAGATATATAAGCATATTGTTTATGGGAAACAAAACTTAGTATAAATGATTTTTGTTTTGATAAAACTGGAACTAAAATTTTAATGGCATGCAAAGATGGTTATCTTTATGAAGCTGCAGTACCAAATGATGTTGATAATAGTGAAAATTACCTATAAGAATTTAATGCTAATAAATATTTAGTTAGAATGATGGAATCTTAAAAACCTAAAAAAGAGGATCTTGATTTATAATTTTTAATGAAATTAAAGGATGATAAAATGCCAGATGTAGAGTGGGATCCTGCTAGTGTAATGAATGTTGCATATTATGGAGATAAGGTATTTTGTACTGCAGAAGGAAAATACTTAGGTTGTTGTTATATTATCGATCTTAATAAAGATAGACCAATAGAAATGATTCCAATATAAAAAATGTAGACTTTTCATTTGGATTATAAAGATGATGTATTGACAATAGGATATAAAAATGGATAATGGGATGTTCGTCATAAAACAGATTTTAATAAATAGATTAATAAATAATCTCATGATATGGATTATGGTCGGGTTCGTAAAGTAAGTTTAACTTTTGATAGAACAGGAGTGTTAAGTGTGAGTGATGATGGAACATTCTATGTTTATAAAATAGATTTCTAAAGTTTCTTAATGTAATTGAGTGGCACTGAAATTACAGAATTCTAATACCCAGAATTTACAATGGGAATTAATAGTGGAACATTTGCAGAAGAAATTCCTTATGAAGAAACTCAAGATATTTTAGATGATACTATATATTCAATACAATAAGCAAAATTATTAGCTGAAGAAGATAATCGTAGAAATGAGGCTAATAAAAAGAAAGAGACTGTTAAATCACGTATTTTGTAATTAAGAGAACAATTTTCTTAAATGAGACAGAAGAATTAGACAGCAGAAGATGCTGCTAAATTGACTGAGGATGAATTATGTGTGGATCCTGAATATAAATAGATGTTGTTGGATAGAGTAGCAGAAGATGTAGAGGAAACCAGATTAGAATTAGAGTGGGATAGAACTTTAGCAAAAATGAAGGCTGATAAATTAAAAGCCTATATGATTGATGAACTTGAAATAGACAAATTTATGGTTAAAGGATTCAGAAATTAAGCTTCTGTTTAGACATTCAAAGTCAAAAAATTAAGCAATTTTCTTATTGAATAATTGAAAGAAACCTATCGTTTAATAGAAGAGGAACGAAAGAATTAAGAAAATCAACCTTAAATTGAGAATAAAACTTAAGAGAAAATTTAAGCATAATCTTAAGTTAAGATTACTGCAGTTGATATGAAAGAAGATTAGTAAAAAGCTACAATTTAATAAATGGATCCTGATTAAAAAGTACCATAAGCTAAATTGGAGAGGGAAAGATTACGTTAAGAAGAGGAAAGAATTAAGAAGGAGTAAGAATTGCTTGAGAAATCAAAACCTATTGAATTGGCAAAACCAGAAAATGCACCAGATATTTAAGAAGCCATAAAATAATATGGTGATTATAAATTAAAGAGTTCTCCTAATTATGAAGTGCCTGATAATTAGAGAATGAATGTAAGTAAGAAAAGAAAACATATGTATATGTTAGAAGAATTCATTTATAATACTAAATTGAAATTCAATTAATAATTATTAAATTTAAAAAAAAGAAAAGTGAATTTGATAGATAAAATTAAAAAATATAATTAATAAATAAAGAAAATTAATGAATAATTAGGAAAGTAAGAACAATTATTTTAACCAGAAATTGATAAAGAATTAGAAGATCCCCATAGTTTTATGGAAATTAGTGATGAATAAATTAATGAATTTATTAGTAAATTGTAATAATAATAATAAAAGAAGGATGAGTAAAAGAGAATTGCTCCTGCTCAAATTTCAAAACCAGCTGAATAAAATTAAATTAAGACAAGAAAAGGAATTAGAGTTTAATAATCAAGTTTAGAAGAAGAGATGAAGACTATTCAAGATATGGTATTAAATGCAGAAAAATAAAGAATGATTGAAGAGATGTAGGAAGAAATCATTCAATTTGATAAAGATGTTGTTAAATGTTAAAATGAAAAGAATGTTCTTGAAAGTGATATGTTAATAGCTTAGATGAAATTAGTAACATATTATTAAGAATTAATCATTTTAGAAGATATGGAAGATTTTGATAATAAATTAATAAAGGAAGTTTTAGATTTTAAAAAGGAAAAATAGAATTTGGAATAATAAGTTGAAAAGATTTTGGAAAATCTTGCAACATTATAGAAAAAGGAATAATAAAATGATAAAGATTTAATAGAATAATTAAAGGCATGGAAAGAATTAGTACATCCAGATGATGAATAAAAGAGAAATAAAATTCATGATTATTATCGTAAGAAATTCAAAAGAGAAATGTTAAAGAGATTGAAGAAATAATAAGAAAAGGAACATTCAGATTCTGAAGAGAATGAAGATGATGAAGAAAATGAAGATGATAATGATGATGATATTGTATCTGATGATGATGAAGAAGAAAAACCTGATATCTCTCCTGTTGAATAAGATCCAAAAGTCAGAGATGTTATTGAGAAAATATGTGGATTGGAAGAATAATAAGATAATTTCAAATAGGAAAAAATATAAAATGAATAATAAAAGTCTAAATTAGCTAATAAGATTGCTTAGAATGATATATATTTAAAAAGAGCTAATGATGATTTGACATAATATTAAAGGAAGAAATTGTAAAGAGTTAATCAATTGGATGTTAGTTTTGTATTGAAATTATCATAAGTTTAAAATCTTAATGATCAAAAATAATTACCTGCTGATCTTAATAAATCTATATTATTTACTGAATATGATTTTTTCAAACTTTGTAAAAGAGTTATTGAATTGAAACATGAACAAGGAAAAATTACAAAATAAAAAGCATAAAAAGATAAAACTAAGAAAATGTAAGAGAAAGAAATTAAATTAAAAGATCTAAGAATTGAAGATTTGAATAAAAAATATGAAGAAAAACATATGCTTAAATTTGGAGATATTATTGATCTCAAAATACTTGATGCTTTAGAACCAACTAAAGCAGTTTTAGATATGAGAGCATAATTCAATTTAGAAGAAAAAGAAGCTCAAAGAAAGGTTTCTAGAGCTAAGGAAGAATTATCTAAAGTTAAATAATAATTATTAGAAGTAAAGAGAGAAAATACTAAGATTTTTACAAATATAACAAAATTAGGAAAATAACAAATGGATTTAAGTAAAAAACTAACTTCTGGAAATAAATAATTGTTTAAGGGTGATAATAAAGAGAAAAGATCAGATATGGATAGTGATAGATAGAGTTTAGAGGATCTTGTTAAATTTTTAGGTAAAGAGATTGAAGACTTAAAAAATGAGATTGGATTATATAAAAAGAAAGGTATATTATTCAAATAAATAATTAGGTGGACATATTTATACAAGTATTACATAAACAAATCAAAACTTTGTTTAAAGATGATATTTAAATCCAATTATTATTAAAAAAAATCAAACTATATCATAATCATCTTCATCATCCATATCCCATTGATTTTGAGCTGAAGGCTTGAAATCCTTTTGTACATCATATTTATAATTTTTATCTCCTGGTTTAACAGAATTTTTCTTATACATAGATTCCATAATTTCTTTGTGTTTTTTTAATTCTTCAGTTGTCATCTTATTTAAATTCAATTGATTATATCCCATTTTTTAATAGAGCATTTTATATTATTCATCTGTAATTTCATCATCTGAATCCTCTTCATAATTTTATTCATAACATTCTTCATCTTCATCTTCATCATCATCTTCTAAAACAGGTTATTTACCTTTTTAATTTTTCATAGCATAATTATATAAATCCTCTTCAGACATTCCATAGTCTTCTATATCCTTTTATAATTTAGATTATGTTTTAGACATATTTGTTGATGCTTAAGTAGAAGAACTCATAGGTCTTGTTGAAGAAGTTGGTCGTTATAAAGTAGCATTTGCATTTACATTTGGTTTTGTAATTTATAATCTTTTTTAAATCTTTCCAATTAACTCTATTTTATTGATATAATATTTGCTTACCCAACAATTACTTTTCTGGAATCTTATTATTCATAAAGTACATAGCATGTTTCTTCTTTAAATACTCTAAAGCATGATTAGCTGGAGTATCAGGTTTCATTTTAAGTAGTTTCATTTTATGATGATATAACTTTCCTGAGGATGGTTATAAGTATTCAACAACTAATGAATATTAATTGAATATTAACTGATCATTGGAGGATCAAATCTAATTGCTAATCTTTTAGGTTCCATATTCGATAACTTTTTACTTTTATCTCCTGTATCATTCTTTTTTGTTCCTCCTCCTGTAGTAGTCTTTTAATTTATATCAAAATTATATGGGTCTTTTGTTGCAGTTTTAGCAAAATTATACATAAAATATTAACTTACAGATTTAAATTATTAATGGGACAAAATAATTGTACTCCTAACATACCTGGATTGGAAAATTGTTATGCAAGATAAGAGTAAACAGATGAAAATAAATATCCTTATTTAGTAGCTAATAAACATAGATTGGCAGAATCATAAAATTCATAAATTTTTGAATTATATCAAAAATAACAAGATCAACTTAGATGTTATTTATAGACTTCTCGTTAACTCTCTTAATCTACTAGACGTAATTATGAATTTGAAGGACGTTTTCTTAAACTTCCATCACATCTCATATGTCACATTATGTATTTTGTTATTGATGATTATCTCAACTTATTATTAGTTAATACTTTATGGTATACAAGATTAAATGAAGCTTTTTCAAAAACTGTTAGTATAGTTGATGAAAAATTTTAATAATCACATTCCTTTTTAAAATTAAAGTAATCAAAAAATGCTTTTTAAACTTTTCAATTTGGAAGACAATAAGGTTTCAGATTAGATAGATGTCTAATTGCAGAAATCACTCCTGGAATTGAAAGTAGTATCTAATATTTATTTGAGATTCGATTGTTAAAATATCATACAACTACCTCTGTAAAGGATAATAAAAAGCTGTTTGTTATAAATTTGCAATCCTAAGGAAGAATACTGTAAGAACTATTTGGATTGGAGTTGATTAAAGCACTGTAATAATCTATATTATTATTTCTATAGAATATATATGATAAGCAAACAATTCCTATAATCTAACCAGTCTTACCCTTTTGTGTTGGAGATTACATCAAAATTCCATTTACTTTATTGAATCTTTAAGGATAAGTCAATTTATAAAGTATTAAATGGAATAAACCATAAATTGAAAAACTTGATGTAGGCATTTTTGGAAGTATCATTAATCTAATCTATAATTTAATAGATCCCAAACATGTTTCAATGTAACCACCTTCTAGATTCGAACCTAAAGATGCAGATTGGACTTTATTTTAATACTTTAATCATCCAATGAAGAAATGCTTTGATAATTTTTAGCAAATAAAATTAAAAGAGTGTAGATGTTGTGGTAATGGATTAGTTATAAATCGTATGAATTACACATGTGTTTCAGAGGGATAACTTATGTTTCCATAATTAAATATGAAAATGATTGTTAAATAGGGTTGTATAACAAATCAAATTAATCGAGCAACTGTTAGTTATGAATTAGATAATACTTTAGAATTAAGAATAGGAGATTTATTAACACTATACTATCTAAGAGGAGGAGACTCTTGAATTATAATATATATAAATATATCAGAAAGGATTGTTTAAATAGATTTTTATTTAAATAAATAAATAAAATAATATCATTATGTAAGAAATACAAGATCTAGACTAAAAATAAGGAAATTCATATTAGAATAATTAATAATTTAAAAACTCTTAGTAACAAATAACTTATAATATGTAAATTATTACTATTTATATTAAGACAACCAAAATTTTAATAGCATTCAGAATTGATATAATATGAGTAACCCCTCATTCAATAATTAGTATTAAATAAAATTGAGACACTTGGAAAAACTATATCATAAGTATTGGCTATTGAGATGTTTAAATAATTTACTACCAAAACTAGAGGATGGAGTTTATATTTATTATAAAATGAAATTTCAGAGTAGAGAAGGAATTTTTTAAATTTATAAGAGGATTCTTTGAAAAATGGGTTATAGGAAGAGTGGTAGGTAGCAAGAGAAGAATTCAAGAAATTTTTAAAGATGTTAGAGGATTTACTTTAAAATTAAGAGCACAAATAATTATTATAAAATATTCTATAACCTCCACCTGCATTATCTTTTATAATGATTCAACCAGACATGAAATTCTTCAATGCATTAGAGAATTATCATTATTAATCAAAAATAAATTTTCATAATTCTTTGTAGTTGGATAATACAGGATAAGATTTGTTGGAAAAGATAAAAACTTATAAGAATGAATTAGCAAAATTTCTTTATTTCAAATTTATTGAATAAGGAATTAGATATCTTGATTAACTTTTAAATTATGTTTTGATTCATAAGATTTAAAATAATCAGTTTACATTACAATTATTAAATGATTATATTAGATAATTGAGAACTGAAAATGATAAATAATAATTATTGAATGAGATTTAATTAATAATAATAATCTTTCCTGAATTAGCTTAATATTTCTAAGAAATTTATAATATTATTAATGATGAATTGCTTTATTTTGATGGCAGGGTAGAACTTTAAGAGTAATAATTTGAGATTGTAATGCTTATTTATGATTATATCGTAACCCCTATAAGAATATTGAATAGAAAATTGTCTAATAAAACTATTTGTGTTATGCAACAATTAAATTGGATTTATAGAACTGGATCAGTTTAAACAAAGTAGAAATAATTAAAAGATTTGAAGAAATATATTAAATAAAATCATAGTTAAGAATTATAACTTGATCTTGATTACCTTTCTGATCTATTTATTTCAACCAAATTGAAATTATTAATGAAAATGATATAACAAATAAATGTTCTTTAAGATTCTGATATCAAATTTGAATATTTTAATTTTCATGCATTTTCATTTTAAGATTAGGATATTATTTAATAATGTCTAAAATAAGAAGATGGTCATTTTTTAAATATTTATCATGAACCTTCAATTGATGAATAATAAATAAATATCTAATAGGTTTTCAATCAATTTAATAATGTTATTGAATTTGCAGCTCATTGTGAAATGGATCTTAATAAGAATGCTTAAAATAATAGTTTAGAGTAATACTTTTCTTTATTATATTAGGGAACTAAAAAATAAGATAAAGGACTCAATATAATCTCTTGCAAATTAAATAACATCAACTAAAACAATTATCAAATTATAAGCTTTACTGAATCAGATTTTTTGGTTTTAAAAATTAAATGGGAATACTTTTCTTGTTTTATATCAATATAACTAAGAAATTAGTGAGATACAATTGAAAAAATAAGATATTATTGGTAATGAAGAGGTAGTTCCTAATTTATACTTATTATTATTGAATTTTGATTAGGAAAAGGATAAGGATATATTATTTTAAAAGAAAGTTAAAGAAATAACAGAGTTAATATCTGAAGATTATGCTGTTGATTTTAGTGATTTGATTAAAGAAATAGAATAATTTGATTAAAAAAATAAAGCAGCATTTATAAAAAATGCAAAATAATATTATTATAAGGATTTCAAGGTGCATCTCTTAAATTTATTACAATATGGCACAAAATAGTTCTAAGAAGCAATAAACTATTTAATTTAATAAGTAGATCCATGAAAATTATATTTTAAATTATATAAATTTATTTAATAATAATTATTTAATTAATCATTTTTATTAATAGGAATATGGAGGATTAGAATTTTTAATGTATTAATTATTTTGATTGAATTGATTGAACTATTTTATGTAATTTTATGTATTGAATTCAATAGTCTAAAACTGATTATTTTACAAATTTAATTGTTATGATTAAGGTATAAATGGTTAATTTGTATTATAGTATTTAGGCATTTAACCAACAAAGTTATTCTGTAAAACATTCTTGTTTAATCCTTAATTAAACTATTATTATTAAGGATTAAAGGATTTAGGGGTATTGTCTTACTTCATTTAATTATTACTATTTTCATTATTAATAAATACAAATGCTATTATTGCCCTTAATTAATTTATGGTTTTATTGGCATTTTGATTTATTAGTTTGGAACAACTTGATTTTAAAAAGTATTTTAAGGTTTTTAATTTTTATACAAATCAGGATTCATTGGATCAAAATCCATATTTTTGAGTTATTAACGAGAAAAACTCAAAAGAATTTCACTCTTCTGACAACTATTATCATTTTCTAAAGATTTGTCCATAAAAAATGATTAACAAAATAAATAAAAATATTATTATATTATAATTTGGATACGAAATAAATATATAAATAATCTAGTATTAAATCTATTTATTAAATAAATAGATAATTAAGTTAAAAATAGGTAACTCAATTCAAGATAAATTATTTTGTAAGTAAGTGGCAAGATGAGAGATTTCAATTTTTTATTAAGAAATATTTATGTAATATTATTCTATTAAAAAACAACCATATAATTCATACTAAACTTATCAAATAAATTCATTTCCAATTTCGATATAGTATTTTATTCATGTTTGTTTAATATATCAGAAATTCTTACATGAATTAGTGTATATATAAACAAAACCTTTATTTGATGGTGTTTTTAATCATTGTTCTATACACCTGATAAAGAGAATATCCTATTTCTTATATAAATTTTAAAATAGTATACAGACTATAAAATTTATGATATGATTTCTTTGAAAATTTGAAATAAATTATTTATAAATATTTATAATATAATTTATATTTAAATTTAAGAGGATTACCCTTTTTTAAAAATTACTTTTGATTATAGATAAATTGAAATTAGTTTAAATAATATGAATTTCTATTTAGTATTAATTTTCTGAAGAATTAGGACTTAAATATGTAATTATATGAATAAATTTATTTTTATTTGATTAATTTTATTAACAAATATTTAAAATACTTTCACAATATATTTTAGAAATAATGAATAAGTTTATTAAAAATAACAATCCCAACTAAATAATTATCAATAATACAATTTAAGATAACAAATAGATAAATTTATTCTTGTTTATATTTTACAAAATATTATAATAAGATGTTCTTCATTAAATATAAAAAATGGAATAATTGATTCTATTAATTTTATGTTTAGATGAAAATATTTTAAATATTTATTAATGTAATCATAAATTTCTGGCGATTTAGAAGCTTAAATAAGGATCGCCAATGAGTAAATATCTATTGAATAACCACTTATGGAGTAGGAGACAGAGGATAGAAATAAAGAATAGGAGGAGGAATTGACTGAGGAGCAGAAGGAAAGAAGAAGAAAAATATTGGAAGTTCAATTGGCTAATAAAAGATTATTATATAGTATTCATAATAAGGATATGGAAATCTTTAGAGTGAAGAAAGAAATTGAGGATCAAAAATAATTATTAGCTGAGCTTTAATAGTAAGAGTAAGAAATTGTTAATGATTCTTATTTATCTCACAGAGCATTGGTTTCATATGATACTTATTTAAGAGGAACACTTAGGGAGTAGGATAGAAAAATATATGAATTAGAATTAAATAATGCAGATATAAGTGAAATATCTGCCAGAATTGAAAAAATAAATAAAGAATATGAGAGAAATATTTAACCTCTTGTTGTTGGAGATTTTAAAACTTAAATAGATGCAGATATTAAGAGTTCAAAAAATTAAATTGATGCATTGAGAAATTAATTTAAAGAGATTGTAGATGATATTGTTAAATTACATGAAAAACATCTTGATAATATAGACATGTATTCAACTTTATAGAGATAATTATAAGTAATATTATTATATATATTTAAAAGGAATAATTATTAGCAAATGAATAATTAGATTATGAATTAAGTCAATTAAAAAAGAGCAAGGAGTAAAGTTGATTCATAATTTATATATTTATTCATTAATATATCATTTATATAATATATAAGATTATATTATGATTATAAGATGATTATTTTAATTTGTATCATTATAATTTGCCTAATTTTTACCACATATTATGATTATCTGAATAATTAGGAACAGAAAAGACAATTTACTTTTTAGTAATTGGAAATATTTGATCTAGAGTCAATGAAAAAGCATCATCAAGCATTCTAGGAATTAGTTTTTATAATAATGGACTAGATTCTTCTAAACATGGATTAGAATTAATTTCAATAAGCCAAACTTTAAAATCATCATCTATCATAAAATCTAATCCAAATATCTCAAAACAGTATCTTCTTCCAAGAATATTGATTTTCTTTCTAACTGATTAAAATGCTTTTAAAGATATTTGTTTAATATTTTCTACTATCTAAATTATAATATAATTTGATAACCTATTTATAGAAATCTCCTTTATTCTTAAAATATGTAGCTGCTTAATCAAATGATAATTGATTTCCATCTTCTAATTTACCATAATTTGGACTATATTTTTATATGGCATTATTAGTTAAATGTACATATTAATTTAATACATTTTTAGTTGTGTATTCTTCAGATGCCATCCTAATATATCCTTATTCAAAAAAAAAGAATTCAAGATCTTAATTTAACAATCCCCAAACTCTGATATCAAATTTGCGATTATTAATTAATAATGGTTTTTCTAAATATTTTTAGATTACAAATTATTTTGATTTAATAATTTAACCATCTTTCATTTATTATTTACCAGATATATATTAATCTAATAAATGAGTCATTTAATCCAAATCTTTAATTACATGTATACCTCTACCACGATTATATTGAGTTGGTTTTAATATCCACAAATATTCATGTCCATAAAATGTACTTGGAATTTTAGATTTGTTGATTTATATAATCTTATCGGTAATCTACATGTAAGTATTAAGTTAACGTCTGATTAGATAAAATTTATTCTGTGAATCATGCAATTTAATAGATTAAGGAGCATTATTTTCATAATATTAAAGGAATTATAATAACCATATATCTGCTTTTTCGGTAGTGAAATCTAAAACAAAGGTAAGAGGAACAAAACTCAAAATATCTAATTGATTTTCCTATTTAAGTTAGGGTATACTTCACAATATTGTTAGAGATTTCTAAAAAGATTACTCTTTTATGATATCTCTGAATGAAATTCAAAATGGTTTACTGCCTATTTGACTTTATTGTTTTATAACAATCTATCATACTGGTAACCTTTTTATGTCTATTACCACCTAAAATTTATTAATGAATCATTCTTATTGTTTGTTGATATCCATTCATTACGTTTGGAGAGAACTCTTTGTACTACTTGATGATTGTTACCAGTTCCTAAGAAGTAGATATAATTATTTTTTAATAAGGTTGGCAATGGTACAACTTTGTTTTGGTCATTACTTCTTACATCTTTTCCAAGGATGACTGATTATGTTAGTTTTGGTTAATCTTTTAGTTTAATATACTTAGATGCTAAGGCAATGGCTAATTATTTTGGATTATTTAAATGAGGCAAGGCAGACATTTAATTTTAAATGAATCTTGTAAATCTAGCTGTATCAATCTGTTATACATCCTTCACTTTTACTTAGGGTAGATTCATCTTTATATATAATAATAATAATTAATCATGTAAACTTCTTCCATGGATTTTCGAAGAATGAGTCTTTGATAAAATGATCATAACTTTATCCATTCCATTAGAATTTCTCTTCCCATTTTTTATTTTTCTTATCTCTCTTTTGATTTTAAGCAAAAATTTCTTCATTTTTACGAGTATATTCTTTTAAAAAAGGAAATTTATCCATAATTAATAAAAGTAATCATCATTTGAAACCAGGGAGAACCGTCGGCTTGCTCAATTTTAACAACCTTCTCTTATTTAGGTACTTCATAGACACGAAACCTAGTCTCAAATAAAATCTAAATATTTACAAATAAATTATATACCTCATCAAATGATTACAATCTCTACCACATCTTTTATGAAATGTTTACATTCTATTAATAAATCTTTTGAATTCATTCAAATTTAATTAACCATTCTTGCTTAATTAAATAATCATTTATGCTATATCTGGAGTTTTATTAAGATTACCAAACATTGTTTCGAGAATTTTATCATTTATTTCTTAAGCTAATTCATATCCTGGTATTCTATTGATTGCCTTTTATATGATATCTTATTCGTTCTATTCTGGCATTTCATTTGTCATTTAATCATAAAATAATTATTCTTCTTTCTGTTTATCATCTTACTCTTATTAAACTTTATTTAAAACTAGATCATCTTTTGTTTTATTTCTAGGAGTATAATATTCACGAGGAGAAATAGTTTATGATTAAGTACCTGTTGTAGTGTACATTCTTCTATGCTATTGATTTAAATGTTTTTCCTCTTATTATTCATAGATTTTCTATTTTAATGATTTTCCTTTTGAAATATTTTTTTGATCTTATTATAGACTATTTTAAGTTTAAGATGTGTATAATTCTTATTCAAGTTTCAAAGCAACCATTTTTTTTTGACGTATTGAAGATGATGGAGAGGGGAATATATTTGTTTAATGAGATGATTATTGATTACGAGGAGATGGTAGATTTGAATTGGTATTTGATGATTGCATAGGAGAATTAAGATTACCTATTCCCATAGTTCCAGCAGAATTGAAATTGAAAGTACTACTTGTAGTAAGTTATTATTATGAATTGATTTTATTATTTGAGTTTTAGAATTTCAAATTTTCATTTTATTCATTCTATTCTATTTCTTATAATAAATTTTATTATTTATCTGTCTGAAATATATTTGAAATCATTGTTAAATCTGTCTATTAATATTGATCCTTAGTTTCCTTTTTATCCTTTTAATCTAATTTAATAGAATTTTATCTATTTATATTTTAAGATGACTTTGCTTTTGATAATGGATAATGTGGTGTCAATTAATTAGGAGAAGTATTTATTATCTTAAGACCATCCATTTTATTTCCTTATTATTCAATTCTTTTATAATTACTATTAGTAGTAGAATTATTTTTATTGTTTATTATTTATTAATGTTATGATTATTCAGTTGGCAAACTAACCTTGATAGCAGGTTTATCATTATTAGATTCAATTTCGAATGAAGTTTAGAGTAAATTCTTACTAAGAATATTTTATTTAAATTTAATTTCTAAATTTCTCATTGATGATAATTGATCAATATTATTTGATATTTAACTATTGTCCATATTATCATTCTATAATAAATCATTTTCTTCAATATCCTTTATCAAATCAGCTAATTCATGAATTTAAGAACTTGCCTTCTATTCTAATATAAATTACATTTATGTTAATCTTCTTGTTTAATTGTTCCCATCCAAAGCATTTACTAATTTAACTAATCTTTCCATTTATTAAGTTTTCTTTTAAATATTGAAATTATCTTTTGGACTTAAATATATTTATTGTTTTGATGATTATTATTGAGATTAATCTCTACTTGTAGTTCTAGGATTACCTGATATTGCATTTATTATTATTTCATCATTACTGCTAGATGATAGATATCCTCTTTCTCTATCACTATTCTTTTTAATTAATTTTGAATATTCCTTATATATATTATCTAATTTTTATTTGAATTCAGATTTTTCACCTTCTAATTATGAGAGTTATGCTTACATTATTTTGAATTACTTATCTTTTTATTCATTAAATACTTGAAGTTCTAATAATTAAGTATCCTTTTTTGAAATATCATTTTGTGCTGATTCTAATTTATTTTTCAATATCAAAATTTCATTTACATATTATGAACATCTACAATCTTCTTTATTATTATTATTTACTTTTTTCTTTATTTTACTTTTCATATCATTTATCATTTATTATTACTTTTCTTTCTCTTAATATCTTTACTTATATCGATTGATTATAGCAATTGCTGTTTATTATTATATATGATGAATGTGTTATAAAAGGAATTATACAGTATTATCATAATTTTGAATTCCTATATTGTCTTAATTCACTGACTTCATTAATTATTCCAAATTTAACCTTTTAAATTGTATATCTGATATAACTATATCCAATTCTTCTGGCTTTCCTTAAAATTCAATATCTAATTATTTTTTATTAGCCAAAGCTTCACTTAACATAGATATAGTATCATTTGTAAATTCTAACCATTCTCTCATTTCTTCTTCTCTCCTCAAAATATCACTTGATGCTTTCTAACAATTTTAATAATAGTCAATAATAGTACTAGTACCTACATCTTAATAAGTTCTTAAATTTCTAGTTCCTTAACCTCTACATTTATAATCACTCCAAGGTATTTGTTGATAATTTTTTATATATTATGGAGTACCTTATTAATCAATGATGTTGACACTTCCTAATTAAAGTTCATTAATAAAATCTGGAAGTTAGGGTGTCAATAGAATTGATTTTGGTTCAGGATGAGGTTTAATTTAAGATTAAGCCTATTCTAACATTTCTCTTATTAGATTAAACAATTTATCCATTACATTTCCAATTTCAACACTTATTTAACTCTATACAATTAAGACACATTCAGAGAAAACTTCATAACATTCAACATCAAGTTTAGAATTGTTTATCTTACTCTTTTTTTAGAGATGTTCAACAAAACTTTATAATCTCTTTATTTACTCTTCCATTTATTTTATTTTATTAAGGAAGGTTGAAATAATAATATAAAAATCATATAACTATATAAACATCAATCAAGTATCACCTATTTCATTTTCAAGAGATCTCATAATTCTCTAATGTAAACTATTAATAGAACTAAGCATATGTTATTCAAATTTCAATAGAAACAAGAGATCTTTAGTCATTTATTGTTTGATATTATTTTATGATTATATGGAAGTTTACATTTGCTTAAATTTTTCTTTATTTTTCTTCTTATCACTTTTAGAATAAGTTATATTTGATTTATTCTATTGAAATCTATCTAATTCAATAACATCATCATCGAAATTGATAGAGATCTCACTAACAGACATTTAAAATAATGATATTGATGAATATNTTTTTTGAAATATCATTTTGTGCTGATTCTAATTTATTTTTCAATATCAAAATTTCATTTACATATTATGAACATCTACAATCTTCTTTATTATTATTATTTACTTTTTTCTTTATTTTACTTTTCATATCATTTATCATTTATTATTACTTTTCTTTCTCTTAATATCTTTACTTATATCGATTGATTATAGCAATTGCTGTTTATTATTATATATGATGAATGTGTTATAAAAGGAATTATACAGTATTATCATAATTTTGAATTCCTATATTGTCTTAATTCACTGACTTCATTAATTATTCCAAATTTAACCTTTTAAATTGTATATCTGATATAACTATATCCAATTCTTCTGGCTTTCCTTAAAATTCAATATCTAATTATTTTTTATTAGCCAAAGCTTCACTTAACATAGATATAGTATCATTTGTAAATTCTAACCATTCTCTCATTTCTTCTTCTCTCCTCAAAATATCACTTGATGCTTTCTAACAATTTTAATAATAGTCAATAATAGTACTAGTACCTACATCTTAATAAGTTCTTAAATTTCTAGTTCCTTAACCTCTACATTTATAATCACTCCAAGGTATTTGTTGATAATTTTTTATATATTATGGAGTACCTTATTAATCAATGATGTTGACACTTCCTAATTAAAGTTCATTAATAAAATCTGGAAGTTAGGGTGTCAATAGAATTGATTTTGGTTCAGGATGAGGTTTAATTTAAGATTAAGCCTATTCTAACATTTCTCTTATTAGATTAAACAATTTATCCATTACATTTCCAATTTCAACACTTATTTAACTCTATACAATTAAGACACATTCAGAGAAAACTTCATAACATTCAACATCAAGTTTAGAATTGTTTATCTTACTCTTTTTTTAGAGATGTTCAACAAAACTTTATAATCTCTTTATTTACTCTTCCATTTATTTTATTTTATTAAGGAAGGTTGAAATAATAATATAAAAATCATATAACTATATAAACATCAATCAAGTATCACCTATTTCATTTTCAAGAGATCTCATAATTCTCTAATGTAAACTATTAATAGAACTAAGCATATGTTATTCAAATTTCAATAGAAACAAGAGATCTTTAGTCATTTATTGTTTGATATTATTTTATGATTATATGGAAGTTTACATTTGCTTAAATTTTTCTTTATTTTTCTTCTTATCACTTTTAGAATAAGTTATATTTGATTTATTCTATTGAAATCTATCTAATTCAATAACATCATCATCGAAATTGATAGAGATCTCACTAACAGACATTTAAAATAATGATATTGATGAATATAATAACATATATAAACATCTGAACTGTATGGTATTATTTAGGTTTATAGAATATGGGGATTTAATCACTTTTTAGATGGTAATATCCTCTATAATCTCTATTAATCTTATTAATTGAACAAAGGAGTCAATCGAGTTGCTGAACCTGAAGGTTATACCTCTGTCACTGTTCTTTATTTCATTCTTTCTTGTAATTATTATTGAGCCTATTAGATTGGATCAACTTATGCCTAATAAAATGTTAATATATTTTTATACATCATTTCTGCCAGTTAGAATTTTATCATAGAAATTTCTTAGTTGTTAACTCTATTATGATCCTCTGGCAGATAATGGTTAATCAGTAGATGGTGGTGGTTATTAAGCAGCTGGTTATTCAACTTATCTTTAAATTGGTAGTATGGGTCTGGTTGCAGGTGCTTAAGATGATTTCTCCTTTAATTTAGTGAAGAATTCCTAATCATCCTCAACTGTCAATTCCTCTTTAACTAAATTCTATTATAATATTATTATTAAGAGACTTTACTTTTTTTAATTATACTACTGGTACACTCTCTTCATATTTAATTACACTATTGGCTAATTTAGTGAAAGTACTCTTTATTATATTAATATCATCTTGACCCAAGGGAATAAAGAGACTTTCAAAATCTGATAAATTTTTGTGTTATGATGTTTCAAATGGCATATTATATAAACGATGTAACACATACTCGTACATTACCTTAATGTTGATCTTTTGCTTCACAGAAGTAAAAAGCAAAGTTGCACCATCTTATTATAAATATGTTAACTCTTACAATTCACACAAAATTAACGTAAACAAAATTAAATGATTTCTGCTTTCTAATCCCAATCCTTGCCTTTGTCATCTCTTTCTAAAATGTCTGATTTATTCACCATAACCATCAATGGTATTCCCAAATTTGTCTTCAATAAACCTTCATGTACTTAACCTCCATCCATTTATGACATATATTACATCACTTTTATTATATTAAACATATATACCATTTGATTTCATCTCTTCCAATTCATTTAGACTTAATCTTAAATCAGCCATCATATCCTATAATACACTAATCCATCTATCTAAGTCTTCCATGAAGGTCCAAGGCTCTTACATGTCCAAAGCTATTACAACAAAAGTATTTTTGATATTTTTGTGATTCAAAATCTGAGGTAACAAATACTTCTGCCCCTCTTCTTCTAAAATATACACATTCAGACGAGCATTCGTGTTGTAATCAGGGTCTCGAAGATCTATCAAATTTAAGTAGGCATAATCAACTATTGGTGTAATGCCTTTTTGTCGAATAGCATCTAAAAATTACTATGAATCAATATACTCTTAAGAGTCTTTGTAATTTCAGCCAAAGAATCAAGTAAACTTCTTTTTCCACTACACTTTCTTCCTAATATTAACAAATTCTTATTTATAAAACCTCCCTATCTACTTTTCTCAAATAATAGTTAATTCCAAACATTCTCTTTTTTACTCATTAATTTTAATATGGGCGCTTGTAAATCTTGCACTCAATAACCATCACCAGAAATCAAATCAGGTGATATGGAATAACCTGGTATTCGTAGTGAATCAATACATANCATCATTTCTGCCAGTTAGAATTTTATCATAGAAATTTCTTAGTTGTTAACTCTATTATGATCCTCTGGCAGATAATGGTTAATCAGTAGATGGTGGTGGTTATTAAGCAGCTGGTTATTCAACTTATCTTTAAATTGGTAGTATGGGTCTGGTTGCAGGTGCTTAAGATGATTTCTCCTTTAATTTAGTGAAGAATTCCTAATCATCCTCAACTGTCAATTCCTCTTTAACTAAATTCTATTATAATATTATTATTAAGAGACTTTACTTTTTTTAATTATACTACTGGTACACTCTCTTCATATTTAATTACACTATTGGCTAATTTAGTGAAAGTACTCTTTATTATATTAATATCATCTTGACCCAAGGGAATAAAGAGACTTTCAAAATCTGATAAATTTTTGTGTTATGATGTTTCAAATGGCATATTATATAAACGATGTAACACATACTCGTACATTACCTTAATGTTGATCTTTTGCTTCACAGAAGTAAAAAGCAAAGTTGCACCATCTTATTATAAATATGTTAACTCTTACAATTCACACAAAATTAACGTAAACAAAATTAAATGATTTCTGCTTTCTAATCCCAATCCTTGCCTTTGTCATCTCTTTCTAAAATGTCTGATTTATTCACCATAACCATCAATGGTATTCCCAAATTTGTCTTCAATAAACCTTCATGTACTTAACCTCCATCCATTTATGACATATATTACATCACTTTTATTATATTAAACATATATACCATTTGATTTCATCTCTTCCAATTCATTTAGACTTAATCTTAAATCAGCCATCATATCCTATAATACACTAATCCATCTATCTAAGTCTTCCATGAAGGTCCAAGGCTCTTACATGTCCAAAGCTATTACAACAAAAGTATTTTTGATATTTTTGTGATTCAAAATCTGAGGTAACAAATACTTCTGCCCCTCTTCTTCTAAAATATACACATTCAGACGAGCATTCGTGTTGTAATCAGGGTCTCGAAGATCTATCAAATTTAAGTAGGCATAATCAACTATTGGTGTAATGCCTTTTTGTCGAATAGCATCTAAAAATTACTATGAATCAATATACTCTTAAGAGTCTTTGTAATTTCAGCCAAAGAATCAAGTAAACTTCTTTTTCCACTACACTTTCTTCCTAATATTAACAAATTCTTATTTATAAAACCTCCCTATCTACTTTTCTCAAATAATAGTTAATTCCAAACATTCTCTTTTTTACTCATTAATTTTAATATGGGCGCTTGTAAATCTTGCACTCAATAACCATCACCAGAAATCAAATCAGGTGATATGGAATAACCTGGTATTCGTAGTGAATCAATACATATGAATAGTAATCTCCCTATGGAATAACCTGGTATTCATAGTGAATCAATACATAAGAATAGTAATCTCCCTATGGAATAACTTGGTATTCGTAGTGAATCAATACGTAAGATTAGTAATCTCCTCAATGAGTTTGAGACTTTTCAAATTATAAAGAAGACTTCATATTCATTTATTTAAGATGCTGCATTCAGAAATGGAAGAGTCATTACAAAGAAATTAATCAATACACAAGGGACAGTCAAACCAATTAACTTATCATAACTACATGAAGTAAATAAAGGATTGGAATAATTCAAAGCGCTTGCAAATATATAAGATAAATGTGAGATTGAAAAGTCAATGAAATTCAAATGTGGTTTAGAATTAGGAGATAAATTCCCATAGATAAAATTTCATATGCTATTGAAGACAGAATCTTAAACAATAGTATTATAAGATAATACTTATACTTTAATAAAATCTTGGGGTTAAGGTGAATAGATGGTGAATTTCCAACATGCCATAGAATTGGTTGAGTCATTCAAAAATGTACAATTTTAATTGATTGGCTTAACAAGAGGCAATGAGGAATAACAATCTGTGTATGAAGAATTAGTGAGATCTAATCCAGGATGGTAATAACATCAACACATTTATGTACTTACAGAAGAACCAGAAAATCATATATTCGATATATTTTATTAGGAATAAACAAATGATATTGAGGAAGGTTATATAGCAAGTGCATTATTGTTTTATGGTTAGAATTTGATTTGGAAAAGATATGCATTAGAATGGGATATGTCAGCTGATTCTGATGAGGTAGCTTTGGAAGTAACAAATCTTTTGAATAATGGAGTAAAGGAATATGTTGGAATAAGAGAAATGAATTAATAAAGCAATATAAATAAATAATAATATTTGGATTTAAAGAGATTTATATTATAATAACAATAATAATAATAATTTACTAGAGGTGTGGAAGTCATTATAAATAAAAAAACAATATATGGTAAGAATAATAAATAAGTTATTTATGAGAAACCAATAATTTAAGTGTCATGCTCACCTAAATCATAATAGATTACAGAAAATTTTATTAACCCTCTGTAATAAAAGCCATTAATTTGGGATATATAGATTTTAAAGAAATTATTGACATAAAAAATTAAAGAAAATAATCTCAATATTGAAGCTTCTTTGGAGAAATAGATTAAAATTTAAATAAATTATGAAAATAATGTAATATAAATTCCTAATTGGGAATTAGCAACACTTACTCCTTATTATAAATCTACATAATATATTTCATAAGTTAAATAATGGATACATGCTAGAGATCGTATTTTAAGTGAAGTACAGGATTCTAAAGATCCTGTATTATAAAGAGTAAATAAAATGATTTATCAATTTTTCAATAATATACCTACTGTTGAAAAAGTACTGAATTAATAATATGGTAAAATTCCATATGCAGAAAAACGTAAGCCTCCATATGAAGAAATGTCAGTGTCTAAGAGTTTAGGTAATGAAGAGATTACAAGAAAATAAGATAATATATTGTTTATTTTATTGATTGATTATGAAAATGATGATACTTTGGATATGTTAAAGAATTTAATAAATTTTAAGAAAAAGGCTTCTATATAATTGTAGATTGCTGTATTAGGACATATTAGAGCAGAA